AGCTTAAAATCAATTGTAAAATTAGACAAGATGACCAGCCTAAAATCAATTTTATCTTGTTTTTGAAACCCTAACCACGAAATGGCCAAAAATTAACTTGCCGTGAAAGTAGGTTTTTGGAGCCAAAAACTCAGCTTACAATGGTATGCTTAGTACTGACTAAAGTTTATTTGTAATCAATTTATTGATTATGTGACACGAGAAACCACAGAGCTCCGTGGTCTTAGTGGTTAGGGTTATATATTTTTTTGTGGAAACATAACTGGGAACTAAGAAGTATCACTAACACCATTAGAAAGATCTAAAGAGAGATGGGATACTTGATATATCTAGACTATTATGACCGTATTTCAATAACTTCAATTTATAAATTTTCACTAAATACACTGGAAACACGACATTATGTAAGATTTAAGCCAACCTGGGAAGGCTGCGCCACTAAAATTCTTTTCAAAAACAAAAAATAAAAATAAAAATAAAAATAAAAAAGGCATTTCTGCATTCAAGTTTTAGAGCAAATAAAACAATTGATCTATTTAAATCCCTAACCCTGCATCGGAAATTGATTTGACTCGAGTTAGGCATGCTTTATATGTCGCATAGCTTAAAAATAATTTCTGTTTAAGGAAATTGCTTAATTAGATATGAAGCCGTGTGTACAGAGAAAGATCTTTCTCCTCAAACATCCATTTCAATGCTAAAAAAAAAAAAATTAGTTAGAGGTTTTTTTTATTATAATTATAATATCAACATCGAAGCTATAGATGACAAGGGTTTTTATATATAAATAAAAAAAAAATTATTTATTTATTTATTTTATACAGACTCTTGGCAAAGATTGTTTGCATGTATATTTTTTTTAAAAGAAAAAACTTAGGAACGATAATTACTAAGCACATAGCAACAATAAATTATTTTGTGGAGTGGACAACTTGAAGGGAAAAACAAAAACAAAAACAAAAAATTACAAAAGTTAAATAAACTCACCTATGCAGAAATGTATATCCTTAGAATATAAATAATTTAACAAAAAAAAAAAAAAAAAAAAAAACTTCATCGTATAAATGATTTGGTTTAGTTTCTTTTTACTTCAATAACTATGGGGGTAAACCTGACTGGTTTATTCTTGGAGAAAGTAAATATCTTAATTTTAAGATAATTATATAATTAATGACCATTTAGTTTAACAAAAATGGTAACGTATTGAGTCAAGCTCGCCTCGCTCTTTATTAATGACAATGTATTTTTTTTTTTTTTTTTTTTTGACATTAACAAACGGAAATGTTTGGCACCCTCGACAATGACCCCGATACCTAAATATTTTCTTATTTTGAATATTGAGAGGTAACATACCTTGACAAGCGTAAGGTAATATGCTATAAAACTTGGTGTTAATGTTGTTAGTTGCTGCTGCTTTGCACAGCAATAGTGCTAAGCAGCCACACACATGGTTATTCTAGTATTATTTCTAGTGAGAAATATCACCTTAACCACGCCGTTAATTGTATGCCATTAAGTATGTGTGTGAGACTAGTAAACATTTATGTATTGTCTATGGAGAAATACAAATAATTCCAATTGGAGCGGGTCTTAAAACTATCATTCAATCAACTTTAATCATCCATTCCAATCTCCTCATATCATTCAATAGCTTTGCAAGACCCAGATCTTATTCATATGCATCGTGACACTGACGGGTCATTCTAGACATCATAATTCTCAATTTCTTACTCATAAGCTGTTATTTATTTTATTCAAAGTAAGCCTGAGCTATAAGACCTATTCATATCTATATCTCAAACATTTATTCTTTGACAGTATTTGAATCTATCAACAAAAATGGAGTCATCACTAAAATAAAAGGAAAAAAAATGGAATGAGTCTATTATAATCTTTCAATTTTTTTTATATAAGCATTATTATTATGGTTTATAAAATAAACATTGAAAGTAATGTTAATCAAAGTTGATATTAATTCATTGCGATCAATATTAAATATTGAATAGTTATTCATATAAAATAACTAATAATAAAGTTTGAACAAATTTCAAAGTAAAGAGATTCTAAAAAGTTTGAATTTAGAATGATAATCAAGTATCACAATTTTGCAAAACTTCGTAGAAGATATGACTAATATCAATTCCCCGGTATTGTTTTAGACTAAAGGTCTCTTGCAGTTAGATTCCCATGATGATGATCAACCAATAACATATTGAGCTAAAACGGACCGTATCAACAGAAAGAATAATACTTTGCTAAAAGCGAGTTAAAGGCTTTACATAAATTCAGTGATATATTTTGATTATTTGTTAATTAACAAATCTATTTAAACAATAATAAGCATATTATGTGCAATGTGTTGGCATAAGCACATGTAACTTTGTTTTTACTTAAGCTTAAGTGCCAGTACCAAGATAAGCATAAAAAAATATTATTAATAGGCATGTATAGTTTACAGCAATTTTTTTTAATGTAATTATTCTTACGCGAAACCTCATTATTGAGGTTAGCCATATGGCATAATTATGACTCCTTCAAAGGAACAAACCTTACAATAAATGGCTAAAAGCCACATAACCATGCACTATTACAAGAAAGTTTAAATTTAAGAGATTTAAACCTGTGTTAAAAAATGTTCTTCAATTTAGAGCCTGCAAATAAATATATTAAAGATATGTATTTAGATATAAATAAAAATATAAATATACATCGTAGATAGTGAGAGCGGGAATCGACTAAATATTAAATTACAATATCAACTAAAGGGATAAGATAAAGAAGAGGAGTTGAGATAGTAGTTTGCCAATATCACAGTTGCTATGAATCGGAAGATAATTTCGATAAAACCAACTTGCTGATCAAAGGATCTAAAGCACGTCAATGAACAAGAGGTAATCCTACAATCTGGTGATGTTGTTAGGGATGGGATAATTAATGAACTGGAAGTTAAAAAGGAAGTAATATTTCTTTTATATAATAATAAACAAACATCGCTCACTGTTCGCTATGCCAATGTTGGAATGTTCACCGTACAGTACAGAGAGAGGTTGGAGTACCTGTTGCCACAAGAGTTGTAGATAGAGCATTGCAGTTCGCTGAATGGGCAGCCTGTGTTGTTGAACAGATCGCTGGTGCTAACCTATAATACCAAGTTATAGAGAAACGATTCGTTTGGGTAGACAAATTCTGGAAAAAAATATAATAACGGCTCAGCCTTACCTGACTAAAAAAAAAATAAAAAGAAAAATCATTTCTTAATTAAGAATACCTAAATCTTAACATTAAATTAAAATTTAATGAATTTTCAAGGAAAAGAAACGAAACCCAACAGGAGAAAAAATTTTCACTACTTCATATTAATTAATAAGATCTGTAATTTTTTAAGGCAAACCAAAATGATGCAATAATGACTAATTAGTATATGTAAAAGAATTTTAATGTCATTCGCTTGTCAAAATTTTGTTTTCAAACAAATTAAGAAAGGGAAACTTTTGGAGATGGATAACAAACAAAGAACAATCTTAAAAGGCATTAACTGTTAAAGAAAAAGTGTAATTTAAGTATGACCTTGTTTTAAACTACTCAACGCAAGTAATAAAATAAGTTTCTAAAAAAGGATCAATTCATTTCTAGAATAAGTTTAAAAAAAGAAGAAGCACATAACTTGATTAGGGAATATTAAGAGAGGAATTTCCTAAGTAACAAATTTAAAGGCGAGAAATTAACAAAAAATGAAAAAAAGTCTAACAAAATAAAGAATGCTGGCTTTTCAAATATAAAAAAAAGTAATAAAATAAATTATAAAGTATTATATTTTTATATATATAAGATTAACAAAAGGACCTAATAAAAAAATAATTTTCTTTTCAAACATTAAAATAGGATAATAATAAATTATTCCTTGAAATATACATTTTCCTTAAACCTATTAAGATTAACTTTTTTTAAAACAACTTTTTATTTTAAATTTTTGTTTTTTTTCATAATTTTATTACAACAATATTGTTGTAAAATATTAACCATTTATGGTTCTAGAGGTAAATACTTAACATCCAAGTGCTATAATCATTTTGACGCTAACTAAAATAGAAGCAAAAAAGAAAAAGAAAAACAATTAAATAAAAGAGAATTCTTTTTAACAAATTTCAGTAAGTACATTTCAAAATTTAAAGACAAATAAGTTAACAAAGATAAGGGAAATGCGAATCAGTGCATTATTGATTCCAGTTTTTGGAATCTCAGTGGCATTGGCAACTTGTGTCACAAATAGCACAATCTGTGATACAGTTTGTAGTTATTCTGACTCAACTATTTCAAGTAATGGGTTGGTATCATCCACTATATTTGGTACATCTTATTCATGTACTGTAGCTACCACGTCAAGTGGCACATCAACAGAAGGAACAACAGTATCAGTTATATCGGCATGTTACTATTGTTTAAATCAATATACCAGTCTAAAATCAAGTCACACAACAACAGTTAATTGGCTGAGCCATTGTAATACGAATGATGCACTAGTAAGTCCGGCAGCAAATACCCAATGCATTTGTGATATTGGAAGTATTGATAGCAGCAATTGTCAGAGCATCTGTAATACCGCAAGTAGTTATCAACCAAATTTGTTAAATGTCGTGCTATGTGGATTAGTTGATACTGTGGTTAGAAGAAATGTTGTTGGGTGTTTACTTTGTGGAAATATTGCAAATTCAGTTACCAGTTGCAGTGGTTTTTTAGGGTGTTTAGTAGGGGGTTTAGTATCTCTCGTAGGTGGAATCTTAACTGCTGTCGGAACACTTCTAAATGCGGTTCTGAATATTGTGATAGGACTTTTGGCATCTTGCAATCTGCAAAGTGTTAACTTGTGCTCGATCGATACATGCGACATCAGTGACTTGAATACAGCGACATGTAACTCATACTGTACAGAAGCAACTACGTTAGTGAGTAGTGGGTCATTGAGTTCCGAGACATGCAGTGGATTGTCTGAAGGTGAAAAAATGGTACTGGGAGGATGTCTGATGTGTGGTTCAATCATTGGATATACGACGCCATTGGGCTTACAAAATTCACTGGTGGGAATCTCAAGCATTGGAGAAAGCTGTGTGGCAGAGTTGCAACAGGGGGTATGTTCCGGGTTGTATGCAAGAGATTTATCGGAATCAGAAATTAAGGCGGATTCTGAATCAGAAGTTGAGCTGGCATCGGAATCAAAAGCTGACTTAGCATCAGAGTCATCAGAAGAGGAAGCAGATAAGGCCTCTTCTTCTTCCGAAGGTGCTGCTGATGAAGCTTCATCTTCATCTGAGGATGCTCTTGACAAGGCCTCGTCTTCTTCCGAAGCTGCTGCTGATGAAGCTTCATCTTCATCTGAGGATGCTCTTGACAAGGCTTCTTCTTCGTCTGAAGCTGCTGCTGATGAAGCATCTTCTTCATCTGAGGATGCACTTGATAAGGCCTCTTCTTCTTCCGAAGCTGCTGCTGATGAAGCATCTTCTTCATCTGAAAATGCTCTTGACAAGGCCTCTTCTTCTTCTGAAGCTGCTGCTGATGAAGCTTCATCTTCATCTGAGGATGCTCTTGACAAGGCCTCTTCTTCATCTGAAGCTGCTGCTGATGAAGCATCTTCTTCATCTGAAGATGCTCTTGACAAGGCCTCTTCTTCGTCTGAAGCTGCTGCTGATGAAGCTTCATCTTCATCTGAGGATGCTCTCGACAAGGCCTCTTCTTCTTCCGAAGCTGCTGCTGATGAAGCTTCATCTTCATCTGAGGATGCTCTCGACAAGGCCTCTTCTTCTTCCGAAGCTGCTGCTGATGAAGCTTCATCTTCATCTGAGGATGCTCTTGACAAGGCCTCTTCTTCATCTGAGGCTGCTGCTGATGAAGCTTCATCTTCATCTGAGGATGCACTTGATAAGGCCTCTTCTTCATCTGAGGCTGCTGCTGATGAAGCTTCATCTTCATCTGAGGATGCACTTGATAAGGCCTCTTCTTCTTCCGAAGCTGCTGCCGATGAAGGATCCTCATCTTCTGAAAATGCACTTGATAAGGCCTCTTCTTCATCTGAGGCTGCTGCTGATGAAGCTTCATCTTCATCTGAGGATGCTCTTGACAAGGCTTCTTCTTCGTCTGAAGCTGCTGCTGATGAAGCATCTTCTTCATCTGAGGATGCTCTTGACAAGGCCTCTTCTTCGTCTGAAGCTGCTGCTGATGAAGCTTCATCTTCTTCTGAAAATGCTCTTGATAAGGCCTCTTCTTCGTCTGAAGCTGCTGCTGATGAAGGATCCTCATCTTCTGAAAATGCTCTTGACAAGGCCTCTTCTTCTTCTGAAGCTGCTGCTGATGAAGCTTCATCTTCATCTGAGGATGCTCTTGACAAGGCCTCTTCTTCATCTGAAGCTGCTGCTGATGAAGCATCTTCTTCATCTGAGGATGCTCTCGACAAGGCCTCTTCTTCTTCCGAAGCTGCTGCTGATGAAACTTCATCTTCATCTGAGGATGCTCTCGACAAGGCCTCTTCTTCTTCCGAAGCTGCTGCTGATGAAGCTTCATCTTCATCTGAGGATGCTCTCGACAAGGCCTCTTCTTCTTCCGAAGCTGCTGCTGATGAAGCTTCATCTTCATCTGAGGATGCTCTTGACAAGGCCTCTTCTTCATCTGAGGCTGCTGCTGATGAAGCTTCATCTTCATCTGAGGATGCACTTGATAAGGCCTCTTCTTCATCTGAGGCTGCTGCTGATGAAGCTTCATCTTCATCTGAGGATGCACTTGATAAGGCCTCTTCTTCTTCCGAAGCTGCTGCTGATGAAGCATCTTCTTCATCTGAGGATGCTCTTGACAAGGCCTCTTCTTCGTCTGAAGCTGCTGCTGATGAAGCTTCATCTTCTTCTGAAAATGCTCTTGATAACGCCTCTTCTTCGTCTGAAGCTGCTGCTGATGAAGGATCCTCATCTTCTGAAAATGCTCTTGACAAGGCCTCTTCTTCTTCTGAAGCAGCTGCTGATGAAGCATCTTCTTCATCTGAGGATGCTCTTGACAAGGCCTCTTCTTCTTCCGCAGCTGCTGCCGATGAAGGATCCTCATCTTCTGAAAATGCTCTTGACAAGGCCTCTTCTTCTTCTGAAGCAGCTGCTGATGAAGCATCTTCTTCATCTGAAAATGCTCTTGACAAGGCCTCTTCTTCGTCTGAAGCTGCTGCTGATGAAGGATCCTCATCTTCTGAAAATGCTCTTGACAAGGCCTCTTCTTCTTCTGAAGCTGCTGCCGATGAAGGATCCTCATCTTCTGAAAATGCACTTGATAAGGCCTCTTCTTCTTCCGAAGCTGCTGCTGATGAAGCTTCATCTTCATCTGAGGATGCTCTTGACAAGGCTTCTTCTTCGTCTGAAGCTGCTGCTGATGAAGCATCTTCTTCATCTGAGGATGCACTTGATAAGGCCTCTTCTTCTTCCGAAGCTGCTGCTGATGAAGCATCTTCTTCATCTGAAAATGCTCTTGACAAGGCCTCTTCTTCTTCTGAAGCTGCTGCTGATGAAGGATCCTCATCTTCTGAAAATGCTCTTGACAAGGTTTCTTCTTCGTCTGAAGCTGCTGCTGATGAAGCATCTTCTTCATCTGAGGATGCACTTGATAAGGCCTCTTCTTCTTCCGAAGCTGCTGCTGATGAAGCATCTTCTTCATCTGAAAATGCTCTTGACAAGGCCTCTTCTTCTTCTGAAGCTGCTGCTGATGAAGCTTCATCTTCATCTGAGGATGCTCTTGACAAGGCCTCTTCTTCTTCCGAAGCTGCTGCTGATGAAGCATCATCTTCTTCTGAAAATGCTCTTGATAAGGCCTCTTCTTCGTCTGAAGCTGCTGCTGATGAAGCTTCATCTTCATCTGAGGATGCACTTGATAAGGCCTCTTCTTCTTCCGAAGCTGCTGCTGATGAAGCTTCATCTTCATCTGAGGATGCTCTTGACAAGGCCTCTTCTTCTTCCGAAGCTGCTGCTGATGAAGCTTCATCTTCATCTGAGGATGCTCTTGACAAGGCTTCTTCTTCGTCTGAAGCTGCTGCTGATGAAGCATCTTCTTCATCTGAGGATGCACTTGATAAGGCCTCTTCTTCTTCCGAAGCTGCTGCTGATGAAGCATCTTCTTCATCTGAAAATGCTCTTGACAAGGCCTCTTCTTCTTCTGAAGCTGCTGCTGATGAAGCTTCATCTTCATCTGAGGATGCTCTTGACAAGGCCTCTTCTTCTTCCGAAGCTGCTGCTGATGAAGCTTCATCTTCATCTGAGGATGCTCTTGACAAGGCCTCTTCTTCATCTGAGGCTGCTGCTGATGAAGCTTCATCTTCATCTGAGGATGCACTTGATAAGGCCTCTTCTTCATCTGAGGCTGCTGCTGATGAAGCTTCATCTTCATCTGAGGATGCACTTGATAAGGCCTCTTCTTCTTCCGAAGCTGCTGCTGATGAAGCATCTTCTTCATCTGAGGATGCTCTCGACAAGGCCTCTTCTTCTTCCGAAGCTGCTGCTGATGAAGGATCCTCATCTTCTGAAAATGCTCTTGACAAGGCTTCTTCTTCGTCTGAAGCTGCTGCTGATGAAGCATCTTCTTCATCTGAGGATGCACTTGATAAGGCCTCTTCTTCTTCCGAAGCTGCTGCTGATGAAGCATCTTCTTCATCTGAAAATGCTCTTGACAAGGCCTCTTCTTCTTCTGAAGCTGCTGCTGATGAAGCTTCATCTTCATCTGAGGATGCTCTTGACAAGGCCTCTTCTTCTTCTGAAGCTGCTGCTGATGAAGGATCCTCATCTTCTGAAAATGCTCTTGACAAGGTTTCTTCTTCGTCTGAAGCTGCTGCTGATGAAGCATCTTCTTCATCTGAGGATGCACTTGATAAGGCCTCTTCTTCTTCCGAAGCTGCTGCTGATGAAGCATCTTCTTCATCTGAAAATGCTCTTGACAAGGCCTCTTCTTCTTCTGAAGCTGCTGCTGATGAAGCTTCATCTTCATCTGAGGATGCTCTTGACAAGGCCTCTTCTTCTTCCGAAGCTGCTGCTGATGAAGCATCATCTTCTTCTGAAAATGCTCTTGATAAGGCCTCTTCTTCTTCTGAAGCTGCTGCTGATGAAGCTTCATCTTCATCTGAGGATGCTCTTGACAAGGCCTCTTCTTCTTCCGAAGCTGCTGCTGATGAAGCATCATCTTCTTCTGAAAATGCTCTTGATAAGGCCTCTTCTTCGTCTGAAGCTGCTGCTGATGAAGCTTCATCTTCATCTGAGGATGCACTTGATAAGGCCTCTTCTTCTTCCGAAGCTGCTGCTGATGAAGCTTCATCTTCATCTGAGGATGCTCTTGATAAGGCCTCTTCTTCTTCCGAAGCTGCTGCTGATGAAGCTTCATCTTCATCTGAGGATGCTCTTGATAAGGCCTCTTCTTCTTCCGAAGCTGCTGCTGATGAAGCTTCATCTTCATCTGAGGATGCTCTTGACAAGGCCTCTTCTTCATCTGAAGCTGCTGCTGATGAAGCATCTTCTTCATCTGAAGATGCTCTTGACAAGGCCTCTTCTTCATCTGAGGCTGCTGCTGATGAAGCTTCATCTTCATCTGAGGATGCACTTGATAAGGCCTCTTCTTCTTCCGAAGCTGCTGCCGATGAAGGATCCTCATCTTCTGAAAATGCACTTGATAAGGCCTCTTCTTCATCTGAGGCTGCTGCTGATGAAGCTTCATCTTCATCTGAGGATGCTCTTGACAAGGCCTCTTCTTCTTCCGAAGCTGCTGCTGATGAAGCATCATCTTCTTCTGAAAATGCTCTTGATAAGGCCTCTTCTTCGTCTGAAGCTGCTGCTGATGAAGCTTCATCTTCATCTGAGGATGCACTTGATAAGGCCTCTTCTTCTTCCGAAGCTGCTGCTGATGAAGCTTCATCTTCATCTGAGGATGCTCTTGATAAGGCCTCTTCTTCATCTGAGGCTGCTGCTGATGAAGCTTCATCTTCATCTGAGGATGCACTTGACAAGGCCTCTTCTTCTTCTGAAGCTGCTGCTGATGAAGCTTCATCTTCATCTGAGGATGCTCTTGATAAGGCCTCTTCTTCTTCTGAAGCTGCTGCTGATGAAGCTTCATCTTCATCTGAGGATGCTCTCGACAAGGCCTCTTCTTCTTCCGAAGCTGCTGCTGATGAAGCTTCATCTTCTTCTGAAAATGCTCTTGATAAGGCCTCTTCTTCGTCTGAAGCTGCTGCTGATGAAGCTTCATCTTCATCTGAGGATGCACTTGATAAGGCCTCTTCTTCTTCCGAAGCTGCTGCCGATGAAGGATCCTCATCTTCTGAAAATGCACTTGATAAGGCCTCTTCTTCATCTGAGGCTGCTGCTGATGAAGCTTCATCTTCATCTGAGGATGCACTTGACAAGGCCTCTTCTTCTTCTGAAGCTGCTGCTGATGAAGCTTCATCTTCATCTGAGGATGCTCTTGATAAGGCCTCTTCTTCTTCTGAAGCTGCTGCTGATGAAGCTTCATCTTCATCTGAGGATGCTCTCGACAAGGCCTCTTCTTCTTCCGAAGCTGCTGCTGATGAAGCTTCATCTTCTTCTGAAAATGCTCTTGATAAGGCCTCTTCTTCATCTGAGGCTGCTGCTGATGAAGCTTCATCTTCATCTGAGGATGCACTTGATAAGGCCTCTTCTTCATCTGAGGCTGCTGCTGATGAAGCTTCATCTTCATCTGAGGATGCACTTGATAAGGCCTCTTCTTCTTCCGAAGCTGCTGCCGATGAAGGATCCTCATCTTCTGAAAATGCACTTGATAAGGCCTCTTCTTCATCTGAGGCTGCTGCTGATGAAGCTTCATCTTCATCTGAGGATGCTCTTGACAAGGCCTCTTCTTCTTCCGAAGCTGCTGCTGATGAAGCTTCATCTTCATCTGAGGATGCTCTTGATAAGGCCTCTTCTTCATCTGAGGCTGCTGCTGATGAAGCTTCATCTTCATCTGAGGATGCTCTTGATAAGGCCTCTTCTTCATCTGAGGCTGCTGCTGATGAAGCTTCATCTTCATCTGAGGATGCACTTGACAAGGCCTCTTCTTCTTCTGAAGCTGCTGCTGATGAAGCTTCATCTTCATCTGAGGATGCTCTTGATAAGGCCTCTTCTTCTTCTGAAGCTGCTGCTGATGAAGCTTCATCTTCATCTGAGGATGCTCTCGACAAGGCCTCTTCTTCTTCCGAAGCTGCTGCTGATGAAGCTTCATCTTCATCTGAGGATGCACTTGATAAGGCCTCTTCTTCATCTGAGGCTGCTGTTGATGAAGCTTCATCTTCATCTGAGGATGCACTTGATAAGGCCTCTTCTTCTTCCGAAGCTGCTGCCGATGAAGGATCCTCATCTTCTGAAAATGCTCTTGACAAGGCTTCTTCTTCGTCTGAAGCTGCTGCTGATGAAGCATCTTCTTCATCTGAGGATGCACTTGATAAGGCCTCTTCTTCTTCCGAAGCTGCTGCTGATGAAGCATCTTCTTCATCTGAAAATGCTCTTGACAAGGCCTCTTCTTCTTCCGAAGCTGCTGCTGATGAAGCATCATCTTCTTCTGAAAATGCTCTTGATAAGGCCTCTTCTTCGTCTGAAGCTGCTGCTGATGAAGCTTCATCTTCATCTGAGGATGCACTTGATAAGGCCTCTTCTTCTTCCGAAGCTGCTGCTGATGAAGCTTCATCTTCATCTGAGGATGCTCTTGACAAGGCCTCTTCTTCATCTGAGGCTGCTGCTGATGAAGCTTCATCTTCATCTGAGGATGCTCTTGACAAGGCTTCTTCTTCGTCTGAAGCTGCTGCTGATGAAGCATCTTCTTCATCTGAGAATGCACTTGATAAGGCCTCTTCTTCTTCCGAAGCTGCTGCTGATGAAGCATCTTCTTCATCTGAGGATGCTCTCGACAAGGCCTCTTCTTCTTCCGAAGCTGCTGCTGATGAAGCTTCATCTTCATCTGAGGATGCTCTTGATAAAGCCTCTTCTTCATCTGAGGCTGCTGCTGATGAAGCTTCATCTTCATCTGAGGATGCACTTGATAAGGCCTCTTCTTCATCTGAAGCTGCTGCTGATGAAGGATCCTCATCTTCTGAAAATGCACTTGATAAGGCCTCTTCTTCATCTGAGGCTGCTGCTGATGAAGCTTCATCTTCATCTGAGGATGCACTTGACAAGGCCTCTTCTTCTTCTGAAGCTGCTGCTGATGAAGCATCTTCTTCATCTGAAAATGCTCTTGATAAGGCCTCTTCTTCATCTGAGGCTGCTGCTGATGAAGCTTCATCTTCATCTGAGGATGCTCTTGACAAGGCCTCTTCTTCTTCCGAAGCTGCTGCCGATGAAGGATCCTCATCTTCTGAAAATGCTCTTGACAAGGCCTCTTCTTCTTCTGAAGCAGCTGCTGATGAAGCATCTTCTTCATCTGAGGATGCTCTTGACAAGGCCTCTTCTTCTTCCGAAGCTGCTGCTGATGAAGCTTCATCTTCATCTGAAAATGCTCTTGATAAGGCCTCTTCTTCGTCTGAAGCTGCTGCTGATGAAGGATCCTCATCTTCTGAAAATGCTCTTGACAAGGCCTCTTCTTCTTCTGAAGCAGCTGCTGATGAAGCATCTTCTTCATCTGAGGATGCTCTTGACAAGGCCTCTTCTTCTTCCGCAGCTGCTGCCGATGAAGGATCCTCATCTTCTGAAAATGCTCTTGACAAGGCCTCTTCTTCTTCTGAAGCAGCTGCTGATGAAGCATCTTCTTCATCTGAGGATGCTCTTGACAAGGCCTCTTCTTCGTCTGAAGCTGCTGCTGATGAAGCATCTTCTTCATCTGAGGATGCACTTGATAAGGCCTCTTCTTCTTCCGAAGCTGCTGCTGATGAAGCTTCATCTTCATCTGAGGATGCTCTTGACAAGGCCTCTTCTTCATCTGAAGCTGCTGCTGATGAAGCATCTTCTTCATCTGTAGATGCTCTTGATAAGGCCTCTTCTTCTTCCGAAGCTGCTGCTGATGAAGGATCCTCATCTTCTGAAAATGCTCTTGACAAGGCCTCTTCTTCTTCTGAAGCAGCTGCTGATGAAGCATCTTCTTCATCTGAGGATGCTCTTGACAAGGCCTCTTCTTCTTCCGCAGCTGCTGCCGATGAAGGATCCTCATCTTCTGAAAATGCACTTGATAAGGCCTCTTCTTCTTCCGAAGCTGCTGCTGATGAAGCATCTTCTTCATCTGAGGATGCACTTGATAAGGCCTCTTCTTCTTCCGAAGCTGCTGCTGATGAAGCATCTTCTTCATCTGAGGATGCTCTCGACAAGGCCTCTTCTTCTTCCGAAGCTGCTGCTGATGAAGCATCTTCTTCATCTGAGGATGCTCTCGACAAGGCCTCTTCTTCTTCCGAAGCTGCTGCTGATGAAGCTTCATCTTCATCTGAGGATGCTCTTGATAACGCCTCTTCTTCGTCTGAAGCTGCTGCTGATGAAGCATCTTCTTCATCTGAGGATGCTCTCGACAAGGCCTTTTCTTCTTCCGAAGCTGCTGCTGATGAAGCTTCATCTTCATCTGAGGATGCTCTTGACAAGGCCTCTTCTTCATCTGAAGCTGCTGCTGATGAAGCATCTTCTTCATCTGAAGATGCTCTTGATAAGGCCTCTTCTTCTTCCGAAGCTGCTGCTGATGAAGCTTCATCTTCATCTGAAAATGCTCTTGATAAGGCCTCTTCTTCTTCCGAAGCTGCTGCTGATGAAGCATCTTCTTCATCTGAAAATGCTCTTGACAAGGCCTCTTCTTCTTCCGAAGCTGCTGCTGATGAAGCTTCATCTTCATCTGAGGATGCTCTTGACAAGGCCTCTTCTTCATCTGAAGCTGCTGCTGATGAAGCATCTTCTTCATCTGAAGATGCTCTTGACAAGGCCTCTTCTTCGTCTGAAGCTGCTGCTGATGAAGCTTCATCTTCATCTGAGGATGCTCTTGATAAGGCCTCTTCTTCTTCCGAAGCTGCTGCTGATGAAGCTCCATCTTCATCTGAGGATGCTCTTGACAAGGCCTCTTCTTCTTCCGAAGCTGCTGCTGATGAAGCTTCATCTTCATCTGAGGATGCTCTTGACAAGGCCTCTTCTTCTTCTGAAGCTGCTGCTGATGAAGCTTCATCTTCATCTGAGGATGCTCTTGATAAGGCCTCTTCTTCTTCCGAAGCTGCTGCTGATGAAGCTTCATCTTCATCTGAGGATGCTCTTGATAAGGCCTCTTCTTCTTCTGAAGCAGCTGCTGATGAAGCATCTTCTTCATCTGAAAATGCTCTTGACAAGGCCTCTTCTTCGTCTGAAGCTGCTGCCGATGAAGGATCCTCATCTTCTGAAAATGCACTTGATAAGGCCTCTTCTTCTTCCGAAGCTGCTGCTGATGAAGCTTCATCTTCATCTGAGGATGCTCTTGACAAGGCTTCTTCTTCGTCTGAAGCTGCTGCTGATGAAGCATCTTCTTCATCTGAGGATGCACTTGATAAGGCCTCTTCTTCTTCCGAAGCTGCTGCTGATGAAGCATCTTCTTCATCTGAAAATGCTCTTGACAAGGCCTCTTCTTCTTCTGAAGCTGCTGCTGATGAAGGATCCTCATCTTCTGAAAATGCTCTTGACAAGGCCTCTTCTTCATCTGAAGCTGCTGCTGATGAAGCATCTTCTTCATCTGAAGATGCTCTTGACAAGGCCTCTTCTTCGTCTGAGGCTGCTGCTGATGAAGCTTCATCTTCATCTGAGGATGCACTTGATAAGGCCTCTTCTTCTTCCGAAGCTGCTGCCGATGAAGGATCCTCATCTTCTGAAAATGCTCTTGACAAGGCTTCTTCTTCGTCTGAAGCTGCTGCTGATGAAGCTTCATCTTCATCTGAGGATGCTCTTGACAAGGCCTCTTCTTCTTCCGAAGCTGCTGCTGATGAAGCTTCATCTTCATCTGAGGATGCTCTTGATAAGGCCTCTTCTTCATCTGAGGCTGCTGCTGATGAAGCTTCATCTTCATCTGAGGATGCTCTTGACAAGGCCTCTTCTTCATCTGAGGCTGCTGCTGATGAAGCTTCATCTTCATCTGAGGATGCACTTGACAAGGCCTCTTCTTCTTCTGAAGCTGCTGCTGATGAAGCTTCATCTTCATCTGAGGATGCTCTTGATAAGGCCTCTTCTTCTTCCGAAGCTGCTGCTGATGAAGCTTCATCTTCATCTGAGGATGCTCTCGACAAGGCCTCTTCTTCTTCCGAAGCTGCTGCTGATGAAGCTTCATCTTCATCTGAGGATGCTCTTGACAAGGCCTCTTCTTCATCTGAGGCTGCTGCTGATGAAGCTTCATCTTCATCTGAGGATGCACTTGATAAGGCCTCTTCTTCTTCCGAAGCTGCTGCCGATGAAGGATCCTCATCTTCTGAAAATGCTCTTGACAAGGCTTCTTCTTCGTCTGAAGCTGCTGCTGATGAAGCATCTTCTTCAACTGAGGATGCACTTGATAAGGCCTCTTCTTCTTCCGAAGCTGCTGCTGATGAAGCATCTTCTTCATCTGAAAATGCTCTTGACAAGGCCTCTTCTTCTTCTGAAGCTGCTGCTGATGAAGCTTCATCTTCATCTGAGGATGCTCTTGACAAGGCCTCTTCTTCTTCCGAAGCTGCTGCTGATGAAGCATCATCTTCTTCTGAAAATGCTTTTGATAAGGCCTCTTCTTTGTCTGAAGCTGCTGCTGATGAAGCTTCATCTTCATCTGAGGATGATCTTGATAAGGCCTCTTCTTCTTCCGAAGCTGCTGCTGATGAAGCTTCATCTTCATCTGAGGATGCTCTTGACAAGGCCTCTTCTTCATCTGAGGCTGCTGCTGATGAAGCTTCATCTTCATCTGAGGATGCTCTTGACAAGGCTTCTTCTTCGTCTGAAGCTGCTGCTGATGAAGCATCTTCTTCATCTGAGAATGCACTTGATAAGGCCTCTTCTTCTTCCGAAGCTGCTGCTGATGAAGCATCTTCTTCATCTGAGGATGCTCTCGACAAGGCCTCTTCTTCTTCCGAAGCTGCTGCTGATGAAGCTTCATCTTCATCTGAGGATGCTCTTGATAAGGCCTCTTCTTCATCTGAGGCTGCTGCTGATGAAGCTTCATCTTCATCTGAGGATGCACTTGATAAGGCCTCTTCTTCATCTGAAGCAGCTGCTGATGAAGCATCTTCTTCATCTGAGGATGCTCTTGACAAGGCCTCTTCTTCGTCTGAAGCTGCTGCTGATGAAGCATCTTCTTCATCTGAGGATGCACTTGATAAGGCCTCTTCTTCTTCCGAAGCTGCTGCTGATGAAGCTTCATCTTCATCTGAAAATGCTCTTGACAAGGCCTCTTCTTCTTCCGAAGCTGCTGCTGATGAAGCTTCATCTTCATCTGAGGATGCACTTGATAAGGCCTCTTCTTCTTCCGAAGCTGCTGCCGATGAAGGATCCTCATCTTCTGAAAATGCTCTTGACAAGGCCTCTTCTTCATCTGAGGCTGCTGCTGATGAAGCTTCATCTTCATCTGAGGATGCACTTGATAAGGCCTCTTCTTCTTCCGAAGCTGCTGCTGATGAAGCATCTTCTTCATCTGAGGATGCTCTCGACAAGGCCTCTTCTTCTTCCGAAGCTGCTGCTGATGAAGCTTCATCTTCATCTGAGGATGCACTTGATAAGGCCTCTTCTTCTTCCGAAGCTGCTGCCGATGAAGGATCCTCATCTTCTGAAAATGCTCTTGACAAGGCCTCTTCTTCTTCTGAAGCAGCTGCTGATGAAGCATCTTCTTCATCTGAGGATGCTCTTGACAAGGCCTCTTCTTCTTCCGAAGCTGCTGCTGATGAAGCATCATCTTCTTCTGAAAATGCTTTTGATAAGGCCTCTTCTTCTTCTGAAGCTGCTGCTGATGAAGCTTCATCTTCATCTGAGGATGCACTTGATAAGGCCTCTTCTTCTTCCGAAGCTGCTGCTGATGAAGCTTCATCTTCATCTGAGGATGCTCTTGACAAGGCCTCTTCTTCTTCCGAAGCTGCTGCTGATGAAGCTTCATCTTCATCTGAGGATGCTCTTGACAAGGCTTCTTCTTCGTCTGAAGCTGCTGCTGATGAAGCATCTTCTTCATCTGAGGATGCACTTGATAAGGCCTCTTCTTCTTCCGAAGCTGCTGCTGATGAAGCTTCATCTTCATCTGAAAATGCTCTTGATAAGGCCTCTTCTTCATCTGAGGCTGCTGCTGATGAAGCTTCATCTTCATCTGAGGATGCACTTGATAAGGCCTCTTCTTCTTCTGAAGCAGCTGCTGATGAAGCATCTTCTTCATCTGAGGATGCTCTTGACAAGGCCTCTTCTTCTTCCGCAGCTGCTGCCGATGAAGGATCCTCATCTTCTGAAAATGCTCTTGACAAGGCCTCTTCTTCTTCTGAAGCAGCTGCTGATGAAGCATCTTCTTCATCTGAGGATGCTCTTGACAAGGCCTCTTCTTCTTCCGAAGCTGCTGCCGATGAAGGATCCTCATCTTCTGAAAATGCTCTTGACAAGGCCTCTTCTTCATCTGAAGCTGCTGCTGATGAAGCATCTTCTTCATCTGAAGATGCTCTTGACAAGGCCTCTTCTTCGTCTGAGGCTGCTGCTGATGAAGCTTCATCTTCATCTGAGGATGCACTTGATAAGGCCTCTTCTTCTTCCGAAGCTGCTGCCGATGAAGGATCCTCATCTTCTGAAAATGCTCTTGACAAGGCTTCTTCTTCTTCCGAAGCTGCTGCTGATGAAGCTTCATCTTCATCTGAGGATGCACTTGATAAGGCCTCTTCTTCTTCCGAAGCTGCTGCTGATGAAGCATCTTCTTCATCTGAAAATGCTCTTGACAAGGCCTCTTCTTCTTCTGAAGCTGCTGCTGATGAAGCTTCATCTTCATCTGAGGATGCTCTTGACAAGGCCTCTTCTTCTTCCGAAGCTGCTGCTGATGAAGCATCATCTTCTTCTGAAAATGCTTTTGATAAGGCCTCTTCTTTGTCTGAAGCTGCTGCTGATGAAGCTTCATCTTCATCTGAGGATGATCTTGATAAGGCCTCTTCTTCTTCCGAAGCTGCTGCTGATGAAGCATCTTCTTCATCTGAGGATGCTCTCGACAAGGCCTCTTCTTCTTCCGAAGCTGCTGCTGATGAAGCTTCATCTTCATCTGAGGATGCTCTTGACAAGGCCTCTTCTTCTTCTGAAGCTGCTGCTGATGAAGCTTCATCTTCATCTGAGGATGCTCTTGATAAGGCCTCTTCTTCTTCCGAAGCTGCTGCTGATGAAGCTTCATCTTCATCTGAGGATGCTCTCGACAAGGCCTCTTCTTCTTCCGAAGCTGCTGCTGATGAAGCTTCATCTTCATCTGAGGATGCTCTTGATAAGGCCTCTTCTTCATCTGAGGCTGCTGCTGATGAAGCTTCATCTTCATCTGAGGATGCACTTGATAAGGCCTCTTCTTCTTCCGAAGCTGCTGCTGATGAAGCATCTTCTTCATCTGAGGATGCTCTCGACAAGGCCTCTTCTTCTTCCGAAGCTGCTGCTGATGAAGCTTCATCTTCATCTGAGGATGCACTTGATAAGGCCTCTTCTTCTTCCGAAGCTGCTGCCGATGAAGGATCCTCATCTTCTGAAAATGCTCTTGACAAGGCCTCTTCTTCTTCTGAAGCAGCTGCTGATGAAGCATCTTCTTCATCTGAGGATGCTCTTGACAAGGCCTCTTCTTCTTCCGCAGCTGCTGCCGATGAAGGATCCTCATCTTCTGAAAATGCTCTTGACAAGGCCTCTTCTTCTTCTGAAGCAGCTGCTGATGAAGCATCTTCTTCATCTGAGGATGCTCTTGACAAGGCCTCTTCTTCTTCCGAAGCTGCTGCCGATGAAGGATCCTCATCTTCTGAAAATGCTCTTGACAAGGCTTCTTCTTCTTCTGAAGCTGCTGCTGATGAAGCATCTTCTTCATCTGAGGATGCTCTTGATAAGGCCTCTTCTTCTTCCGAAGCTGCTGTTGATGAAGCATCTTCTTCATCTGAGTCCTCTGAATCTGTTTTTGTGTCTGAATCTTCTGAATCAGCTTCTGTTTCTGAGTCCTCCCAGTCTGCCTCCGAGTCTTCTCTATCCGCATCTGTTTCTGAGTCCTCTCAATCTGCTTCTGAATCTTCTGAATCTTTTGAATCTGCTTCACAATCTTCTGAATCTTCTTTTGTTTCTGAGTCTTCCGAATCTGCTTCTGTTTCTGAGTCTTCCGCATCCGGTTCTGTTTCTGAGTCCTCTCAATCTGCATCTGAGTCTTCTGAATCTGCTTCTGTTTCTGAATCTTCTTTTGTTTCTCAGACTTCCGAATCTGCTTCTGTTTCTGAGTCCTCCCAGTCTGCCTCCGAGTCTTCTCTATCCGCATCTGTTTCTGAGTCCTCTCAATCTGCATTTGAGTCTTCTGAATCTGCTTCTGAATCTTCTGAATCTTTTGAATCTGCTTCACAATCTTCTGAATCTTCTTTTGTTTCTGAGTCTTCCGAATCTGCTTCTGTTTCTGAGTCTTCCGCATCCGGTTCTGTTTCTGAGTCCTCTCAATCTGCATCTGAGTCTTCTGAATCTGCTTCTGTTTCTGAATCTTCTTTTGTTTCTCAGACTTCCGAATCTGCTTCTGTTTCTGAGTCCTCCCAGTCTGCCTCCGAGTCTTCTCTATCCGCATCTGTTTCTGAGTCCTCTCAATCTGCATTTGAGTCTTCTGAATCTGCTTCTGAATCTTCTGAATCTTTTGAATCTGCTTCACAATCTTCTGAATCTTCTTTTGTTTCTGAGTCTTCCGAATCTGCTTCTGTTTCTGAGTCTTCCGCATCCGGTTCTGTTTCTGAGTCCTCTCAATCTGCATCTGAGTCTTCTGAATCTGCTTCTGTTTCTGAATCTTCTTTTGTTTCTCAGACTTCCGAATCTGCTTCTGTTTCTGAGTCCTCCCAGTCTGCCTCCGAGTCTTCTCTATCCGCATCTGTTTCTGAGTCCTCTCAATCTGCATTTGAGTCTTCTGAATCTGCTTCTGAATCTTCTGAATCTTTTGAATCTGCTTCACAATCTTCTGAATCTTCTTTTGTTTCTGAGTCTTCCGAATCTGCTTCTGTTTCTGAGTCTTCCGCATCCGGTTCTGTTTCTGAGTCCTCTCAATCTGCATCTGAGTCTTCTGAATCTGCTTCTGTTTCTGAATCTTCTTTTGTTTCTCAGACTTCCGAATCTGCTTCTGTGTCTGAATCTTCCGAATCTCCTTCTGTTTCTGAGTCTTCCCAGTCCGAGTCTTCTGAATTCGCTTCTGTTTCTGAGTCCTCCCATTTTTCCTTCGAATCTTCTGAATCCTCCCCCGTTCCTGAGGTTTCTCAATCTTCTTCTGTTTCTGTTTCTGTTTCTGCGTCTTTTGAATCTGCTTCTGTTTCTGAATCTTCGTCCATTTTGGAGTCTTCTCTTTCTCAATCTATCACTGAAGTTTCCACTTCAACGGAAACATTTTCCGTACCTATTTCTTCAGCGGCCTCGGTCTACTGTATCCTTCCCATGAAACGTGATGCCTCTTATGAATCCTGTCTTACAGCTTGTGGTGTTGTTTCTAGTACTGTTGATGCTAATGGTGATTCTTGTGCTGTTTTGTCTTCGATTGTTGAAGCTTACTCAGTTTGTTATCAATGTTTGTCAATCTATGATTCCGGTCTTGATCTCAATCAATCAGTCATTTCTGCGTTTGACTCTTGTGACCTTGAGATTATTGTCTGGTGTCCAGTGGAAACCAGCGAGTCTGAATCTTTTAGTTTACCTATTGAAACTGGTGAATCTAGTATTTCTCACTTTTCGGAATCTGTTTCCGTTGTTTCATCTGAATCATCCGTCAATTCTGAATCTGGTACTGGAGTTGAATCTAAATCGGAAGGTTTTACATCTTGGTCGGAGTCCAGTGTTGATACATTTTTGGAGTCATCATATATTTCATCCTTCTCTTCTTACGTTCCATCTACCAGACCTTCTTGGAACTCAACTTTTACTACTTCTGTTTCCCAATCTTCCACTATAAATCCGGATACCTCCACCATTAACACACAGACTTCGCTAGTTAATTCTGAAACTTCTACAACTAGCATTGGAACTTCTTCAGTTAACTCTGAGACCTCTGTTTCTGCAACACTTACTTCTTCAGTTAGTCCTGAAACATCTGTTCCTGTATCACTGACTTCTTCTGCCAACCCCGCGACCTCTGCTTCGGCATCACAGACTTCTTCCCTTAATCGTGAAACTTCAGTTTCTGCATCACAGACGTCTTCCCTTAATCGGGAAACCTCTGTTCCAGCAACACAGACTTCTTCTGTTATTAATTCTGAAACGTCCTCAGCACCTAGCGAAGTTATTACCTCTGCTGCAAGTTCTGTTATCGTTACTACGACCACTTCATTTACCACTTACACTACGGTTATTGGAGACAACACTCTTACGGTCACAGTCCCATATACGACTACTTCTGTTCTTTCTACCGAAACTGAGTTTTCCACTTACACTACTGTGATTAATGGTGAAACTACTACGGTCACTAAGTCTTGTGATAATGGGTCTTGCAAGGCCACCACTTCTGGTTCAAACGTTTTCTCTTCTTCTGGTTCGGAGTTTTCCGCTGGTACCTCTGCTCCAGTTAGTTACATTACTTACACAACAGTTAGTGGTGATGTTACTTACACTGTTACTGAGCCTTGTGTATCAACTACCTCTTCTCTCGTTTCTCCCCCCTCTTCACCTGTTCCAGTTAGTTACACAACCTACGCTACAGTTAGCAATGGTCTTACTATTACCGTCACAACACCTTGTGATACTACTTCATCAAGCACATTTTCTGCCTCTGCTTCCTCAATTCAGACAAGCTACTCCACTTACACTACAGTTAGTGAGGGCATTACTTACACAATCACAAAGCCTTCTGAAAGCACCTCTTATGATGTTTCTTTCCCCAGTTCCTCCGTTGCTACCTGGGCTTCTTCCAGCTTTCCTCTTCCTGAATCGTCTCCAAACCTCAACACTCAACCTATCTCTGTCAATAGTGAAGGCAACTCGTTGGGCACCACTGCGACAGATTCTCCCGGTGAAGTTGGTACTGCTGTTTTGTCCTCCAAGCTGGGTACGACCTTTTCGGTAACTAGTTTGGGAATTTCTCTGAGAAGTGAATCCGGCAATGCTACACCTTCATCGTCAAGTTCAACCTTTGAATCAGCTTATGAGGTTGCCACTTCTTCTCCTAGACCATCTGCCTCATCTCATACTGAAAGTTCTTCTGAAACTGTTGTTTCACTCATTCCATCTTCTGTTTCTATTGTAGTTTCTTCTAAGTTTGAGTCGACCTCTAATGCAGAAGGAAAACCTACTTTTACTTCTACCAATACTGAATCACAAAGTTATGTTGTTCCCTCAGGTTCAAGTTCTGGTAGTGAATCGGAAATCTCGTCATTTACTGTTAAACCTTCTTTGTCTTATACTACTACCTCATTTGTTACTGAGGGTGTCACGTATTCATATGTGGAAAGTAGTCAACCTACTGGACCTGCCCAAGCTTCTGTGGAATCTGTTTCAACGAATGTGCCATCCAAATCAGAAAGCAGTTCTAATAGAGTTTCTACCGGCACTCTTGGTGTTCCTTCACAATACACGGGTGAAGCTCCAACACACTCTGGTGAAATTCAACAAGTCAACTCTGCCTATACAATTACGCCTAAATTTGGTGTCATTGTTCTAATTATTTTGTTTTTTATTTGGTGATTATCTTATTTTTGATATCATTTGATTCTTTTAAATTTTGAAAAATATTTTAAATGGGGGTTTTATCGTTTTCTTGTTTTTTTTTTTTTTTTTTTTTTATTTTATTTTATTTTATTTTATTTTATTTTATTTTATTTTGACGTCTTTTGGCATTCATGGTTATTTTCATTTATTTATGTCCTACTTTTGGTTATCCTTATTTTAGTTATTTTTATTCTGGTTATTTTAATTTTAGTTATTTTCATTCTGTTTATCTTTCTGGTTTATTTATTTTCTGTTTATATTTATGTTTATGTTTATTCTTTTTAATTTTATAATGTCGTGTTTCTAGTGTTTCTTGTGTAATATATAGTTATAATTAGAATTTATAAAATTTTGGTTTTTTGTCCAAATATATTTAATTAGATTCCATTTATAATAATTTACAAAAATATGGATAAAAATCTATTTCCTTCCGGTAAAACTTTTATCATTAGATACAAATCCCTAGATCTAGATCTCTAGAAGTAAAAATAATAATTATGATAGACTTTGTTTCCCCCTGTAGGCCATCCAGATGACACTTTAAGTGTCCACACTAAGTGTCAACAGTACTGTTGAAAATATATAAATGGCTGGCAAAAAAGTAATTTTTGCCTTCTTCTGGTGGGAATTTAGTGATTAGTAAGAGTTATGTCACTGATTACCAATGAAACCCAAGAAGAGAAATTTTTCATGATCAAATTGGGACGAGGAAGAAATAAATATCAATTTTTCGTGGCAGATTTTAGTTTACATGATATTACTTTTGGTTTATTTAATGTGGAAAATAAAATAGTTTGTGACAATGGTGTTGTTGATGTGCCAAAAAATAAAACTTTTATTGATATCTTAGATTTTTTTTTTTTTTTTTTTTTTTTTTTTTTTGAAATTACATAATCTATTTAATTTCTGCCTTGTTTCTACTGTACTACAAAATATATTACAAAAAATTAAATGTTTTTAATTTTCCCTAATTTATTATGCCAGCTGTGAAGGCGCGTGGTTGCTTGCGAGTGGCTTTGGAGTTGGTTTTCGGTCTGCCAGAACTTTGGCCAAAATAGAATTATTAAACGTGGAGGAAATCCCAACGGCAACTCGGCGTTTAATAAAATCTGTCTTGGGTGTCTAGTTTTGCAGTCTGGACGACTTGTGAGATTATGTCATGAAGGTCGTTCGTGAAAAGGTGAAAGGGGTTCCCAGTGCGAAGGGAAGTTGGGATGAAGTCATAGCATGGGCATGCTGTGAGTATGTGTTTGGGGGTTTCCGGTTCTGCTTCACAGAGCGGGCACTTGTTTTGTATGTTTTCTTCGTTCTTGGTGCGTTCTGCAATGTACTTGGCGAATCTACCATGTCCTGTCTTGAGTTGGATGGCTCCTGACAGAATGTGTCTGGGGCCTTCCATGGCTCTTCTGAGTTGTAGTTTATTGTTGTTAGTTTCTACTTTGTTGTTCGGGTAAGTTCCCTTGTACCATGGTTGGTGGGGGCTATTGGATGCCTTGGTAGTCGCAATGGCGTGTTCATGTTGCCATTGGATGAGGGCCCTGCGCTTGGATGCCTGGGCTGGGCTGATTCTAGGTCGGTTGACGCTGATGATGCGGTTGATGCTGTTTAGTCTGTTGTTTGCTTCAGCAGCTACGCTTCCGCTCAGGAGTTGAGCTTTGGTGGGGTTGTCCCTGTGTGTTCTTGTGGGGTCCGAGAGGCGATGTGCCGCCCTTCTCGCCAGATCTTCGAGTTTAATGTGCAGAGGGAGTACACCTGCTTCTCTGTGAAGTATGTAGATTGGGGTGGTGCGGTATGCACCAAGCATTCTCCGTAGAGCGATGTTTTGGGTTAGTTGGATGGAGTTGCCCATTTTCTTGACGGTGTTGGGGTTGTTACCCCATACTCCCACGCCATAGGAGATAATGGGTACTATACATGAGTTGTAGAGGAGCTTGAAAGCGAATCCCGTGAGGCCATCCGTTGTACCTCCCAGACGGGTGATGAAATTAATGGCTTGGATGGCTTGTTCTTTTTTGAGTGATATGTGGGGTTTAAAGTTGAGCTTGCGGTCTAGTATGACTCCTAGTACTTTGGCTTCGTCTTGCGGTTCACGAAGCGCTTGTTGGCAGGGTACAGGGAGTCTTGGATATCTTAGATTATCTAATAGATAACAAGAGATCTCTTTTTAAAATCACACTTTAAAATTAAATTATAATTTAATTGTAATTACAATATCCATTCGAATGTATTCATTACATAATTTGTTTTTAATCTGCCCAAGTTTCTTAAATTAATTTTTATAAAAATTGCATGCTTGATATATGTCTGGACATTTTATTTGCTTAGTGTGGCGTAATTAATTTCCATAGTCAAAAAAAATTTCTACGATATCGATAAGTCCTTATTTTTGTGCATTCCTTTTCGATTTTTTGTTATCTTTCATCATTTATTTGAGCTTCCTTCAAATCTCAAAAAAAAAAAAAAAAACAATAGCAGTTTTTTCCCCATTTTCCATGTTTTCCGTGTCTTCCGTGTTTTTCGGCCTTTTTTTCGTTTGACCGGTCTAAACATTTATCAACTTTTTGAAAATATAGATAGGACTTAGCCATTACGTTTTATTTGAATTCAGCTTGTAAGTTTATGTGATGACCGTAGTTTTTACTGAGTGTCTTTTAACAGCAGATCTGTAGGAGCCAATAGTTGTCCCTTTATAATCAATAAAAAAAGTTTTAGTGCATCGTCCGTTTCCAGAAATCTCTTGAAATCGAATGAGTTCTCTTAATACTCTCCCATTGGAGGCTCTTCACCAAATAGTTTCTTATGTTCCTTATGAAGATTTTAAAAACCTTAGGCAATCATGTGCCAAGTTACATGATTCCTTAGAGCCCTTATACTGGGAAGGCTGTGTAATTGATTTATCCGACCCTTTTAAAAAACCAATTAGAATTATTAGTCAACTTTTTGACAGTGAATCAGATGAGGACGTTTCCGATTGTTTAGGCTATAATCTTTTAAAAGAAAAATACCAACGAGTCTTTAAATACCCAGTGGTTCCTTGGAAAGTTTTTAACAATCCAGGAGGTTATTCCTGGTTTCCCAGTAAACATGTTTTGAAAGCATATGTTTTTGGGTATTCTAAATATCCCAATGAAGATTGTTTAAAAAATTACCCATGTTTAGTTTCAGTTGATTATATGAGCATGTTATTTTTTAGAAAAAAATTTGAAAGTTCTTTTAATCTACAAAAAATTAACAATCTATATTTTTCACCTCTTGTTAACTTTTCAGGGATTTTCTCTGTTGAATGTTATAAAATAACTGAATTCCCTGATGTCATGAACTCGTTCTCTAATACACTGAAGAATCTTAAACTTTTATTTTCTTTGAGCGACGCAGGAAAAACATTGCTGGTATCACCAGGGTTTGAGTTAAACAATTTGGAAAGTCTTTTTATAGAAACGACTAATGGTGGTCCTTATCTTAAAGACTTTTTCTCACAGTGTTCCAAATGGCCCAATCTAAAAACATTGACCCTGAGTACGAGGGTAATTCTTGAATCGATAAACACCGGTCAAAAAACATTGTACTCAACTCATGAAGAAGTATTGTCGTTACAAGCTATTCCCCATGTCCAAAACTGCCGATTGAAAATTGATATTTGTGAGGCCTCCCGGCTTTTGGATGTCCAGAAACCTTTGAGTGATCTTCCTTATGTGAACGTTCCAGCAATAACCACTCTTGAGATTGAAGATGAGGCCTCACTTTTAGGTTTTGAAATGTTAAATCAAGTGTGGAATTTTCCAAACGCAGAGTTGGAATTATTGATCACAAGAAAGGAGTATCCACAGGCATTGGTAGAGTATTTACCCATTATCTCGCAACACATAAATATTCTGTCTTTTTTCTTGCCGTTTAATTTTGTTTTTTCTCACAGACCAGTGTTTCCTAAGTTTCAAAGTTTGTCGTGTCTTCACTTTCAACCGGTTGCTTATGAAAGTTATGGGAACGTTTATCTCTCTGAGTATACCGATGAAGGTAAAATAAAGAGTTTTCTTGAACAATTTTTATTAAATTTTCGAGAAACTGATCCAAAGAATGAGCTTGAAACTGTAAAAATTATAGAGCCTCTTTTGGAAAAATTTTGCATAGATAAAGACCAGTATCAGCCACTTATTGACGTGCTTTGTGGGCTAACGACAGACTCTAAAAACATGATGCACCTTTTGGAAACTTTTTCGAGGTTCCCAACAAAAGTCTCTTGTTCACAATCGATATATTCTATTGCTGTGAACGAAATGATATTCCGCGATATGATGGAGATTAAGAATTTGAAATATTTAAGTGTCGAAATGAGCAAGGGATTTTATCCATCGCCGTATTTACAGCGTCTTGCGGAAATTCATACTTCTTTACAGCAAATTCGAATGTTTTCAAAAAAAAATACGACATCAATCTCCTTGAAAATTCCATCGTATGCGCCATCAGTTGTTGGCATGGGCGATGAATATTCCCGGCTACAGCAGCCAATCCCTCTTTCACAAAAAGAAACCGAGAAATACATGTATAATGTATTTCCTGACGTTCATTATAAGTATTTTTTTGAGTTTGATGTATCAACAAATGTTGTCTATGGTTATGGAGACCCTGACGTGACGGTAACTGTGATGATCGATTGTGTTATTGATGTGGCAAGGAAACGGAGGTTCTTAAACACGCCGTATCAGCAAGCCTTTATTCCAGAAAGCCAAGTTTCAAAGGATTTAAAGTTTTACAAGCACAATATATATGATTTTGATTTGATGATCAAAGGTCCTAACTTTCAAGGCTGGCTTTAACCATGGTAAAATAGGGTTCCATGATTTTAATGAGTTTGTTGATAGATTGGTAGTAATCAAATTTGGAGAGCAGGGGTTATTTTTCTATTCCTCTTTCCTCAAACAGACTTGCTTAAATGCCTAAATCACGTGAATATTTGTTACAAGTTTATGCTACAATAACCAAAATATTCCTCGCCCTCCCCTTCGCGCGTTCTATTTTTTTTTTTTTTTTTTTCACAACCAAATAATAATTATAAACATCTACATCCCATAACGAATTTCAACAATAGCAATAACAACAACAACAAATCTTTTTTTTTCTCTTTTTTTTTTCTCTTTTTTATTCTCAAAGTCTTATATCACTTCCGAAACCTTGATATTTTGAATTTTTTTTATTTTTATCTTGTATTGGGTTTTTGAATATTTTTTCTAGCCACTCCTTGATACAAATAATAATCTCCAGAATCTCCTTTATATAGACTGTGTAATCCTGTTTCACAGAACATTAATAACACTCGAAACCCTTGATACACACACATTCCCAGCGATTTTCACTAACCAGTCTTTCGCCTTTGTTTCCTTTTCATTTATCTCTATCAGTATTTTGAAGGATACGGCTGTTTTTTTTTATTTTTTTTTTTTTTTCCTTTTGGAATTAGATTGGAAATTTTCTTACCAGTTATATTAATTATTATTACTACTCTTCCCGTTTCAACACTGATATCATGCCAGAACCCACGTCTCCAAAAAACGATAACATTGAAATTGTGATTGCACTGGGAAACTCACGACAAACATATCGTATCCGCTCATCATTACGGTTTGAGCGGTTTTTCGAGGTTTATCTGTCCCGACACCAAGAGCTGGCAGACCGAAACTTGACATTTAGTTTTGATGGCACAGTGCTAAGGGGCTCCGATACTCCAGAATCGATTGGCATTTATAATAAGGCGGTTATTCAGGCCCAACCCATGGGTGTCACCGGTTAATGAGAATGGGATTGGTCTTAAAAAAATATATGCTGGAATATTGTAAACCCTAAGAACAAACACGCAAAATACGTTAAAAGAAAAAAAAATTAATTATAATTTAAAAAGAAAAAAAAATATGAATAAATTCCTACGATTGAATATAATGAATAACGACAAATGACGACGAGATTTTTTTGTTTTTTTTTTCCTATTTTTGTTTTGTTTTTTTTTATTGACATGCTTTTTTACTGTTACAAAATTTGTTATCATTATTTAATTTCACAATACATTTGCTTCTCTTGCTTTAATACCTAAAGATATATATACCCAGACCATACTGCCTGGCCACACTGTTTGATATTGGAAAAGAGAAGTATTGCTCATGAAAAATTCAAGTTGAAGTCACAGGTTTCCTCTTTTTTGTATCTTTAAAAATAAACGCGTGCAGATGTTTATATATAATTCTTTTGCTAACTTAATGCAACTTTGTTTTCTTTTTTACTCTTGTTCTGTTTTATTTAAAAAAAATTTTTGTCATATTTTGCTATTTATATAACTTTCAATATTATATTTCTTCTTTTTTCTTGTTTTTTCTTGTTATAATTATTTCATTCGCTTCAATATTTCCCTTTTTTTCTTCAATCGTACTGGCCTTTCATTCGTCATTTACACCTTGACTTTAGCTGAAGTCACAGTGCTGGAAGACGTTGGTGCAGAAGACCGGTGAGCTCGGCCACTCGACATGCGTCCATTGCTACTGCCACTCCCACCATTCCTGCCATGGTTAGAGCTCAACCGACGTGGCCCACGACCCAACGGGCCTAACAAGGACGTCGATGCGCTGCGCTTGGACCGGATTTTAGGGCCATTGGTTTGTGAAGTTGTTAAAGTCGACTCTGTTGAGAAGGTCGAAGAAGATGTAGACAATCCTGGAGACCCTGTCCGGTGACCTCCATTGTGACCACGCTTAGATGATGTTTTGGAGCGTCCAGAAGATGCAGTAGTTGCCGATACTGCCGCCGATGCTGCTGCTGACTCTGCTGCCGATGCTGCTGCTGTTGCTGCTGCTGTTGCTGCTGCTGCTGCTGTTGTTTGAGTTTCAATAAGCTCGTCAAGTGACGTTGCACTCGTGTTTGTGTACAATGTTGGAGTAGCACCGACTCTGTACTGCGTAAGAATCTTGTTACTGTTGCCTGGGATAAGTAGCGAGACGCGTGAGTTGATGCGCGGTTTAAACTCTCTGTTGAAAGCTGTGGCTTGTGTTTCGGACCAAAAGAAAAGGGTGCACAAAAACTGATCCTTAGGAACAACAAGCCCCTTGTCCCAATCCTCAGGAGGAATTTCACATCGATTCTCTCCTGTTTCTGCAAGAGCGGGATTATATTCAGAAGACATATAGTAAGGCATTGCAATGGGAACCTTGCTTCCATGTGACTGGTCCAGCTCGTCAATGTACTCCCGGAATTGGTCCTCAAACTTTCCAAGTCGTGATTGAGGATTAAGCTCAGTGCCGAGAGGTTCATCATTAGCATATTCGTGGTTAATCGGTATCAATGTCTCTTTAATTTGTTCCCCATTCTCTTCTTTAGTTACCTCCAGATCAGAAATGACGACAGAAGATATATGATTATTTAAAAAGGGTTGTTGTTGTTGTTTTTGTTGAACCTTGACCATAGATGGAATGATAAAACTGGTAGGTCCATTATGGGAAGTGGTAGACGTAGCGGTTTTGCTATTGTTGTTAGTAACAGTATTGTTAGAATTGGTGCCACGCATAACTGGAGTATAGATTTCCTCCTGGTTAGTGGCCTGAGGAGTGAAAACCGTTTGGATTGTGGAAGTACGTTTGGGGTCCAAGGAGTTAAAAGGTGGAATATTTTCTGATAAAACAATAGGTGAGACCGGAAACGGCAAGTCCTTGGAGAAAACGGTTATTGAATGAGACAGTTGCGGCTGTTGTAGCGGCTGCTGTGGCTGCTGCTGTGGCTGGTAATGTTTGTGCTGCTGATGATGGCCAACTGAGTTAGTTGATTTTGGAGTAAGAGTATTATTGCTTCGAAGAGGTGATCCTGTGTTGCTAAGCTTTTCAGCAATAGTTGATTGGAGAGCTTGGATGGAATTAATAGATGGTGCAGTTTTAAACTGGGATGCAATATCTTGTTGTGCGCGAGATGGTGGGAGTGAGATGCGAGGATTCATAACAGTTCGTACAATATCAGCAAAAAGAGTTTCATCAGGTATATTGTTAAAACTTGGAGCACGCGTGTGATGCAATGCTGAGGGTGGAATAGCAATGTTTGGCATGTACGGCACGGTAGCAGAAATAGGAGACACCGCTACATGGGGGTTACCAACATTGTTAGTACTGACAGAAGCAGTAGCAGCAGCAGCAGCAGCAACTACTGGATGGCCCAAGCCATAGGGGAATCCAATTTCTGCAAGATATGCAAGTTCTTCAGCACTACCATTCCCACTAGTCACAATCATTTCTGGAATATGGGCAGAAAGAAGTCCCGGGCCGCCTCCGGGGAAAAATGCAGAGGGAGGCGGAAGGCCAGTTCCTCCAGTTGGGGTGATAGGGCCTGCGCCAGCTGGAATAAAAGGTACTGCATGGGGAGCTCCAGTAGTATGCCCGACATTACCGCCATGTATTGAGCGTGGTGGGGTAACAGATTGGTAAGAAGAAAACATGCCGTTAGTAGAAGAAACATCAGAAGCAATAGGGGAAGAAGAAGATGCGGCTGCGATTTGGGAAAAGGAACCAGGAGATGCAATAGAAGCAAGACTTTCGACAGGAGAATGCTGTTGGGGGTACATGTCATCGACACCGCCAGTGGGGAAGAATCGTGAAAATCCGCGAGCCATAGATGGAGGCTCGTGTAACCCAGACGAACGAGAAACAAGTTTGGAAGTGCTTCCATTATTGCTTGAAGACTCCGAGACGCTTTGTTGGTGAGGATGGGAATGCATGGAAGCCATTGGGCTGCTAGGGAGTGACGCCGAACGCTGGCTAGGTTGTTTGGAAGATCTTTGCTGCTGTCTTTGTGAGGGTTGTTGCTGTTGCTGTTGCTGTTGCTGTTGCTGTTGCTGTTGCTGTTGCTGTTGCTGTTGCTGTTGCTGTTGCTGTTGCTGTTGCTGTTGCTGTTGCTGTTGCTGTTGCTGTTGCTGTTGCTGTTGCTGTTGCTGTTGTTGATCTTGATGCTGTTGTTGATCTTGAGTATATTGTTGTGAAGATGCGGGCTGATTCTTCCATGAAGGTTCGGGAACAAGAACCGAAGTAGAAGAAGATGTAGAAGACCCATCACCATTGAATTGATGATCAAATGGATGGTGCTCTGAACCAGCAAGATTCCCCCAAGCAGGAAGTATATGAGAGCCACTAGCAGCTCCTGGAGCTGCAGCAGGAGTTGAATTTACAGCAGGCTTTGAGTAAAGATTTTGGTGGTGGTGGTGGTGGTTGTGAGGGTGGTGATGATTAGTTGGGAAAGTTGATGAGCCCCAAACTTGGTGGTCCTCAGAAGCTCTGGGACCATGCATGGGCATCCAAAAGTTATTTGGCCCATCAGCAGGACTCATCGCATTTTGTTCATGGTCCTGATAAGGTCCTTGAGACAACGTTGTATTGTTTCCAGGACTATTTACCACGGTAGAAGACGCACCACCACTACCATCACCAGTCGCTTCTTTAGAATCATTATCCCAAGTCCGCATTCCGTCATTTTTGTTGTTTGTGGTATTGCTCTCTTCAATGAGAGAGTTTACAGCTCGGATTGCAGCATTATCTTCACCACTAAGACTATTGTTACGTTGGCCATGATTATCTGATTGTTGTTCGGTTTTAGCCTTTTCCTGTTCTTCACGACGCTGTTTTTCCTCGTGCTCCATTTGAAGCTTTGCCTCGAGTTTAGCCAAACGCTCAGCAGCCTTGCGACGAGTAGCTTCTTCTCGCTCCCGCTCGAGACGGAGTTCCTCTTCACGACGTTTGATTGCATTTTCACGGGCAAGTCTCATGGCATCTTCTTGGCGCTCCAAAGTTTCCGACCGATAAAAGCGAGGTTGGTTGGGCTCATGATGAGGAGTGTGGTAGCGACGGATGGGAGAGCCACCGCGGCGATTTTCTTGGAAATCATCATCGTGGAAGCCAGAGTGGCGGCGTTCATACGTTTCGAGAACATTTTCTGAGCCTCTGCGACCGCCTGGGCCGCCACCAGTGCGGATATTATTACTGTTGCTTCCTCTGTGACGATGGACAAAAGTTTCAATTTGGCCGCTGTGCTCGTTGAAGAGCTCAGGCTTTGAAGATGAGGGGTTTTCAGGGCGATAACGTCGTTCATAATCAGAAAAGCGGTAGCGGTTATCTACCTTTGGTCCGTCATTATCGGTATAATTTTGGTTGTAGCCGGAGCCACTGTTCCAGTAACGTTGGTTGTGCTGCTGCTGTTCTTGTTCTTGTTCATGTTGTTGTTGATGTTGATGTAGATGTAGATGTAGATGTTGCTGTTGCTGTTGCCTTTGTTCTGACAACTCCTGGATTTGTTTAGAGATGGGAACAAAGTTACTAGATACCTGCGGGACTTTCCAGGTGGTTGTTGATGTAGAGGACTTATGGGGGGGTTCATACTTTTTCTGAGAAGATGATGATGATGACGCAGATTCAGTGGTTGACTCTACTGCAGTAGAAGAATTTTTTAAAGTGCTAGTAACAGAAGATGATGATGGCTTGTCAGCAAAGTCCAAGAAGGTAGACTTTGCAATTTCATCCCAAGATATGTCATCATCTTCATCCCAGTTGAATTCTCTGCGAGGGGCATCAGCTGAAAGACGGCGAGTAAGATAAATTCCTCTGCGAAGGAGTTCTTCTTCCGAAATGTCATCATCATCACCATCATCATCATCTGTGGTAGCTGTGGCTGTTGAAGCTTGGGCTGAGGCATTGGACTTTGTGTCCTTTACCGAGTCATCAAATGTAACGTTTTTAACGGGTGCTTGGTGTGTGGTAGAAGCTGGTGCAGTTGTTGTAGTAGTGGTAGTGGTAATGGTAGCTGTAGTTGTAGTTGTAGTTGTAGCAATACTGGCTGAGGTGTCATTACTTTGCTTTGTAACTGAAGTAGTTGTTGTTGAGTTGGTGGTTGCCGCTGGAAGAGTTGCCGACGTTTCATCGGCCGTACGTTTCCAAACAGTAGAGACCACGTCTGATCGAGGGCTTCCGGTTGAACCTGAGGATGATAGATTGGTAGATTTTTGAAATGGGGAGGCCTCACGGCGCATGGTTGTTGCAAGTTTGAATGCACCAGTGGCGGTTGACATGGATGTTATCTGGTGGTGGCTCCTAGTAGACTTGCTACTTGCAAGCGATGCATAAGTACTGACAACAGGACTAGGTTTCGAGACTGAGGAAAAAAAAAAATTAGAAAACATTGATATAAAAATAAGAAGATTTCAAACATACCAGAAGGGCTTTCTAATTTTGGTTGAGAAGCAAATGCATTGGAGGAAGGTTGGTGAGTTGCTGGAGAACTAGAAGAAGCTTGAACCTTAAGGAAGAGTGAGTTGAGAGACTTTGGCTTGATTTGTTTCTTTGATTTCGAAACGGCAAGGATAGATGCTGGGGGTTTTTCTGGAGATGAGGAAGATGCAGAAGAAGATGATGATGATGATGAAATGGATACATTTGCTGCCGGAGAAGGGGAACCAAGCTGAGAAGTTTCCGCTTCTAAGGGAGGTGATGGTGAATCTGCAGGGACAGAACAAGTGGTAGCAGCTAGTAAGTGTACGGAGCCATTGGACGAGGGAACCGGAGCGACGGCAGGAGATGAAGATGAAGAAGAGAATGCTGAAGCTGCTGCGGCGGCAGAGGGTTGGTCCATTTAGGCGAAATGGTCTTTAACAAAGGTTTTGATGGTTGTGGTATTAGTTGATATTTTTGTTGTTAGGTTGCAAGAAAGATTAGACTTAAGGGATTAGATGCTAGGATTGGTTTAGAGCTTTTTTTTTTCTTTTTTTTTTTAATTTTTCAGTTCATTCAGAAATCATAAAGAGAGACAAAGAAGAAAAAAAAAACTTGAATGAGAAAATCAATTTGAGAGAAAAGAAAAGAAGGTTGAGTGGCAATTGGAGAAAAAAAAAAAAAAAAAGGGGGGAGAGGGGATTAAATGGGTGGTTGGATGGTTAGATATATTGGTGGTAGTACTTAATAGTGGAGGTTTGTGGTGGTGGTGGTGGTGGTGGTGATCATTGGTTTGGAGTTTTTTTTTTTTTTTTTGTTAGGCTTAGCATACATACATACATACAACTTATATACCACTTGGTAACTTTTTTTTTTTTTTTTAGCAACCGTTTGCGTTTGCCTTTCTGTTTGCCTGTCTGGCTGTTTTGTGCTGTGAATGTGTTTGAAAAATTTTCTGTAAGTTTGCAGCGGCGGCGATAGCGACAACGACAGCGACAGCAAGACAAGACAAGACATAAAAAAAAAATTAAAAAAATAATAATAATAATAATAAGCCCCCAGAATTTTGAGAGACCGAAATGGCCAGCAAAGTCTCCTTTTTCTTTTTAAACCCCATCAATATATATATATATATTAAACAATCTAAATATATATTTGAAAATTCTATAAATCTTATCCAAAAGTGAGCGAAAAGATAGATTATAATCTATATTACCATACATCTGCCAAAGCACTAAAAGTGCCATAATGTGTGTACTCCATCTACGGATCCGGGTGGGTCAGTTCCCGCATATGGACAAAAATGACACAGAAACTCATATATATGAGGTGCATCATCGAAATAGGTTACCTGGTATTTTACTTAACATGTTGACTCTCTTAATTCAAGTTACCAGAGTCTGACTGAGATTCCTTTTAATCACCCACCAGCCCAATCTCTTTCATTTTTTTGTTCCATTTCATTAGGACCCGGTTATAGCCTCCCCAATATTGTAATGCTCAAGAGACTTTACTCCTCTGCTGCTGCTGCTGCTGCTACTGTTGCTGCTACTTTTGCTACTTCTGCTACTTCTGCGCATCCGTTCCGTGTTGCAGTGGTGGGATCAGGTCCCGCAGGGTTCTACGCCGCGTACCGGCTACTCGAGCGACTCCCACAAGCTTCTGTGGACATTTACGAGGCCCTTCCTGTCCCCTTTGGTCTGGCCAGGTTTGGTGTTGCTCCAGACCACCCAGAAGTCAAAAACTGTCAAGACAAGTTCACCGAAGTTGCAGAAACACAACCTACCCGTCTTCGGTTTGTTGGCAACACCGCCGTGGGCCGCGATGTTTCGCTCCCAAATCTTGTCAATGCTTACAATTCCGTGCTTTTTGCATATGGAGCCGCCCATGAACAATCTTTGGGGGTTCCAGGAGAACAGCTGCCAGGAGTTTATTCTGCTCGCCAGTTTGTAGGATGGTATAATGGCTTGCCATCTCAAGCCGGACTCAACCCTCCCCTCGAAAACGCAGAGGTCGTCACCGTTATTGGTAACGGTAACGTGGCTTTGGACGTGGCCCGTGTACTGCTGTGTGACCCGGAAACAAGACTAAAAGCAACAGATATCACCGAAGAAGCGTATGAAGTTCTTAAACGCTCACGCGTGCGTCATGTTCGCGTGATTGGTCGCCGTGGGTTGCTCCAAAGCGCTTTTACTACTAAAGAGATTCGTGAGCTTGTCAATGAGCCCGGAGTGACCATGTTACCACTACATGAGCGCTACATTGCTCCCTATCGAGCGTTGATCCCCAAACTCGGACGCGTCCAAAAGCGTATGATGCAAGTAATTGAAAAGGCCAGTAATGCCTATGATCCAACTGTGCCAGCTGCAAAAACCTTTTCTCTAGAATACTTACTTTCTCCTAAAGAGTTTTTCCCAGGAACAACCCCTGGACTGCTCTCTGCAACTGAGTGCCGGATCAATGTTTTGCAACAAGACGACCTGACTGCTCCTGCACGCGCAGTGGTCACCAATGAAACTGTGGTTTTGCCCAACGAGCTGGTGTTCAAGAGTATTGGCTACAAGGCCGAACCACTTCTTGGAATGGATTCCCTGGGTATTGCGTTTGATGAGATCCGTGGGGTAGTTCCTAATGAGTTGGGTCGTGTGTTGGTGAAGACCCCTCATAACGGCAAGAATGAGGCTTCCACTCCAAGCAAGAGCCTGTACGTGACTGGGTGGGTCAAAACAGGGCCGACCGGAGTTATTGCTTCTACAATGCGTGAGGCTTTTGAAGTGGCCGATCTCATGGTTGATGATGTGCTTAGCGGCACAGCAAACACAGACATAAAGCCTGGGTACGCCGGGGTTGTTTCTGAGATTGAAGCGTCGACGCACCCAGTGTCATGGGCCGAATGGAAGGCCATTGATCAGGCCGAAGCCGCTCGCGGGGCCGAGATTGGCAAGCCGCGAGTCAAGTTTCAAAGTGTAAGTGATATGCTTGATGTTTTAGGTATTAAGTCATAGGTATTAAGATATAAATTGTATATATTGTTGTAATGTCACAAAGTTTTGTTTCTTTTTTTTTTCTCTCTCTCTCTCTCTCTCTCTCAATATAGACCAACCACAAAGCGCCCTTTTGACCATTACAAAACTGCCAAACAGACGGCCTGAGATTTCTTAATTTTTTTTATTTTTACACCAGTAACAACAAAAAAAAAAGTCTGTTAGAAGCTCCTCCTTTTTTTTTTTGTCACCTTCTGTTATCACTGCCACCACCACCACCACCACCAAAAACTTATAAACATTCTCTCTACACCAATTTCACAATGCTCAGTACAAGATTATTGACGGCCCCCCGCATGGCCACTCTTTCAGCGGTGCGCGCCTTTTCCATTTCTGCTCGCACTTTGAACAAACAACAGCAAACCACACCCGATGTTTTGGAGATGACTGAATCGTATACTCCTGCGGAAATTATTTCCGGCGCACCTGCACATTTGTCTACCAGCCGGGTTGTTCGCATTTACCAAGCTGCCAAGCCGGCCACGCAGAGCGGCACCTGGGGCACCCGCGTTTGGCGTGTGGACTGGGACATTGTTGACCGGGCCAACCGCTGGGAAAATGACCTTATGGGCTATGCCTCGTCCGGAGATTATATGCAGGGCACGGAAATGAAGTTCACCTCGAAGGAAGCTGCTGTGCGTTTTGCCACCAACCAGGGCTGGGATTATTATATTCAGGAGCCTCACACTCGCAAGATTAGACCCAAGAGCTATGCCACCAACTTTGAACACTCTGTTGGCAAGCTTAAACACATTAGAACAAAATAAATTGGGTTAGAAGAACGTTGGAGATAAGTTAATGCATTTAGTTAAATTAATATAAATTTGTTATGAAGTTAATTGAGATTTTTTTTATAGATGTTATTTTAGTCGTGTGTATGATTATGTAATTGATTGGAAATTTTTTTTTTTTTTATTTTGGGTTTTTGAAAAAAAAAATTTTAAAAAATTTTTAGAAAAAATCAGTCCTTCCTTTTATACACAACACACAATGACCGAAGAAGAAACAAAGACATTAAGCAAAAAAGAGCGAAAGGCTCTCGAGTTTAAACAGAAACTTGATGATAAGAAGAAAAAGAAGGAAGATAAGAAAAGCGAGGAAAAACGTGATAAAATAAAAGACAAGAAGCCCCGGCCAAAGAAGCAAGAATCTGAAACTAGCCATGAAACAGAGCAAGAAATTTCTTCTTCTACAACAGTAAAGCGGAGGCACGAGGATGACGACAAATCAGAGAAAAAGCAAGATCAAACTTCACTACAGCCAAAGAAAAAGAAGCGCAAAGGAGCATCTTCCAGCACACGGTTTATTTTATTTGTGGGCAATTTACCCTTCAAGTATAGCGTTAGCGAATTAGAGGAGCACCTCAAGCCATGCAGTCCCGATGTAATTCGGCCACGCGACAATAAAGGCTTTGCTTTTGTAGAGTTTGCTGGCGATGATGCTTCTCGACGTCTCAATATTGCGCTGACCAAGTTGCATCATACAACTTTTATGGGCCGCAAAATTAATGTGGAACTGACTGCTGGTGGAGGTGGAAACACGGTGGCTCGCAAGGATAAAATTAGAGAAAAGAATGCCAAGCTGGATGAGTCGCGCAAGGCCGATGCAGAAAAGGAAAAGGCAGAGAAGGAACAGCGGAAACACGTCAAGTTTGGAGAAGACGGGAAAGAAGCACCAGCAGCTGAGCCAGTTTCTGATGGAATTCATCCATCTCGCAGAAAACTTGTCAAAAAGAATTAAGATAGAACAGGGAAACTCATTTATACTCATTAAAAAAAATACGTTAAACAATTAAACACTTCTTCTTCTTCTTCTTGGGAAGTTGCGGTGTAAGAGCCACATGGATTGCTTCATCGAAAACAGCTTTAAGACCCTTTTGAGTAAGGGCTGAGCACTCGAGATACTTGACTGCTCCGATTTCCTTTGCGCACTGGACGCCCTGTGCATATGTAATGGGGGTCTGGCGTTTTTCCTTGAGTTTTTCAATAGTCTCACGATCCTCGCGCAGATCCAGCTTGGTGCCTACCAGTATTATGGGCGTGTCTGGAGCGTGGTGCGTCACTTCTGGGTACCATTTGGTCTTAACGTTTTCAAAGGATGACGGGCTAACAAGAGAAAAGCATATAAGAAATACGCCAGTTTGGGGGTATGAGAGTGGCCGCAGTCGGTCATAATCTTCCTGGCCAGCGGTATCCCATAATCCCAGGCTTATCGGTTTATTATCAACCATAACATTTGCGGAATAGTTATCAAATCTGTTTCGAAAAAAAAAAAAAAAAAAAAAAAAAAAATATTAATAAAAAATTCGGTTAAGATTAAGCAAGTTTCAGTTAGTAAATAAGGTCGTAAAGAGAGAACAAAACGCGTAAGGTTTGAGAAGGTGTCTGGAGAAAGTGGATTTTTTTTTTCATGGCTGTTTAGGGAAAGTTTAATATAACAGCACAGTATGTTATAAAATAGCAACAGGGGCCATGAGTATCAATACCAGTATTCTCTTCAAAACAAAATTATCAACTTAAATATAGAAGAAGAAGAAGAAGAAGAAGAGGAAAAAAGGATTAAAACTTACACTGTAGGAATGTATTCACCAGGAAATGCATTGGTTGTATAGCTGATAAGCATGCAAGTTTTTCCGACCGCACTGAGAATTTAAGTTAGAGATGAGAATTTAAATGAAGCTTTGGTATTTAATGAAAGAAAATATACATACCCGTCTCCGGTGACAACACATTTTATGCTTCGCATGGTAAAAAAAAAAAAAAAAAAGAAGGTGATGTTATAAGGGTATTAGTGTATTATAAAAGAGGTTTGCGCACGGGCGCAATCAAAAAAAAAAAAAAATCTGATGGAAAGAAATGGTAAGGGTTTTATAGATTAGATTTTTTAAAGAGTGGATATTAAAGGATTATTAGGTATGCAATGTAGAGAGTTTTTTGTTGATTTGAGAAGAATGACCGATAATTTTGATTACAAGAGACTCTATGGGTGTTTGAATATGGGATAATTCAAAGGAGTTGTTTAGTTGGTTAAAGTATGACGGGATATTTTGGTGATGATGATGATGATAATATGTTGAGATGGTGGAGGAAGGAAAGCAAGAAAGAACAAAATTTGGTGGTTTAGGAAAGAAAAAATTAAATAAAAAAAAATTAAATTTTTAAAAAAAAAAAAATTAAAAAAATATATATATATATTTAAAAAAAAAAATATATATATATATATATAAATATATTTAAAGAAAGTTTTGAATATATAAAAAAACAAAAATTGAATAATTTAAATAAAAAAAAATTTTAAAACAAATAAAACAAATAAATTTAAAAGTCAAGTTTTTATTTTTATTATTGACAACAAACTGCCATTTTATAAACAAAAAAAAAAATTATCACCACCACCACCACCATCACCATCACCACCACAATTCCAGGGCCTCAAAAAAAAAAAAAAAAAGCCCCAAAGCTGCGTCGTCCTCAAAAAAATAAAAATAAATAAAAATAAAGAAACACAGCCAAACTATGTGTGTCGTATTTTTTTTTTACACACAAAAAAAAAACTCCACAGGTTTCATATTTCACATCTTAAGAAACGCGTACAATTAACAAAATATCAACAATATTGTTGATTATAATAAATAAAAATACGACCTATTGTTTATAATTATAAACATGTTATTTAGATGGATTATATATATTCAGCTACTTTAAAAAAAATAAATAAATAAATAAATAAAAATAACCGGGCAAATTTTCTATATTTTTAAAGACCCGTTCGGTGCTCGGTACTTAAAAATACCAATAGTTTGGTAGATGGGTGGGGGAGGGAGGAAGAAGGGAAACATTAAGAGTTAAAAGGAAAGGCTATGAAACATTTTGTTACATTATTATTACATCAATTTGTTACATTTTTATGTTACACTATATTGATAATAATGACGTTTTCTGTGACAATTTTTTTCCTAAAAGCTTCAGCCTCATTCATAATTTTCATGTGTATTCTAAATAGTTCTCATAAGTTTAATTTAATTATTATTAACTATATATAGCCACTTTACAAATTATGTCTAGTAAAAAAAAAAAAAAAAATAAAATAAAATAAAATTCTTCATTTGCACTATTGCCTGTCACTGCAAAAACCCTGACTGCTAGGTTTCTATATTTACACCCATATAAACCACCATTTTAAACCATCACAACCACTATCACAACCACCATCACAACCACCAACCTTCAACTACCAACCAATGGATCCAATCTCTCCGACGTCGACCGTGTCGTCTCCGTCCCTCACGGCTACTTCCACTTTCCAGAGTGAGCACTTTTCTGCCACCTCTCCAAATGCTATGCCTCCAATTCCAGCCTCTTCCTCCATCACCCCTTCTGGGTTTTCAAACGAATCTCCCGACTCTCCAGAAAACCGCCAATCTATTAGCGGCACTAATAGTAACAATAACAATAGTAATAACAATACCAATACCAATAACAACAATAATAATATCAACAATGCATCGGGATTTACTCCCTCTCCGTCTCATGTTCAAGTAGAATCTTCTGCTTATCTTCTTGAAGAACCTAATCTTCGTGAAGTCATGCTCTCCGATGTCGGAGTTGACTCTCTTTTGGCCCGTCTTAAACAGAGCTACCTCACAGCAACAAACATTGCTACGTACCTCAAGAAACGCGCAGGCTATGAGTCGGCCCGCATCCAAGACTTAAAGCGTCTTTCCAAATCCACCCACGATTCCATCCGTCGCTCCGACTACCGCCAGGGCACCTTTGTGCGCCAATTTGGTGAATTTCTTAACTTTGAAGACCGCCTAGTGGATTCTTCCCAGGCCTTCCTGACAGCCATCCAGTCCATGTATGAAGAACTTAACGAGCTTTCTAAGGCAATCCACAAATCCCGCAAAACTGTCAAAGATACTGCTCTTCGTCACGAACGGACCCTTGTCGAAGCCGAACAAAATGCAGAAAAAGCTAAATCAAAATACTATGGCCTTTGTGAAGACATGGAGAAGCTCAAGGACCCTACAAAAACCAAGCTCTTCAAGTCTAAAAACAACCCACAACACGAACAAGAGCTCCAAACAAAAATCAATGCTGCAGAACAAGAGTACCGCTCAAGAGTCGATGCCGTCCACAAGCTCCGTAGAGAACTCATCCATACCCACCGCCCACAGTTCATCAAGGACCTCAAGGACTACATTCTCGAGTGTGACGCAGGTATTACTGTTCAGCTCCAAAAACTTTCTACTCTTAACGAAACCCTTCTTCTTCAACAGGGTTTCATTGTGTGTCCTCTAAAACCTGCAGGTTCAACAACTGCCCCACTCAGCCTCAAGGAAGTCGTGGCTAAAATCGATAACGATTTGGACTTTTATAACGATATTTTAAAGATCCGCAACTCAAAAACCCTTAACCGCCCAGAAGTTAATTTTGTCCAGCATCGCTATATGACGGCCTTTTTAAAATCACCAGCCCCAATCTCATCAATCTCTTCAACTTCTACAAACCAACAATCGCTTAAAAACACTGGAACAACTTCTCAGTTTAATGCTCTTAACCCACCCTCGTCCCAAAATAACAATTCTGCAATTTATTCTAAAGATGTGACCCCTGAAAATAACAACAACAACAACAACAACAACAACAACTTTGGGCAAAGAAATTCAGGAGGTCAGTCAATGCTCTCTGCTGGAGCCGCAACAGCTGCCATTGGTGCAACCGTTGGAGCAGCTGTAACAAAAACTGTTGCTTCTGACTCTACTACTTCACCAAATTCCTTTTCACACACCTACCCCACCTCTTCAAGCATGCTTTACCCAGATAATTCAAAGGATTCCTCACAATCCTATAATGATCAACAAACTATACCAATACCATCTCCTACAACTCTACCCAATCACAACAACAACAACAACAACGGCTCTACTACTACATCTGGCCATACCCCTATCCCAATGCCATCTTTCCCTTCTTCCCCAACTCAACAGGAAACTTTATACCCAACAAGTACATCCCCTTCACTTCCACCTGCAGGAACTTCCTTCAGCAACGGATCTTTTACAACTGCAGAATCCACTACCTCTCCAGGAAACTACGTCCCAACATTTGGGTCCTCACTTGATGATTTAATTGCCTACGAAAATCCTCCAGTTTCCAGCCCAATTCCGCGCGTGGTGCTCAAGTGTGTGGCAGCAATTAGTTCCTTTGGAATGGGAATTGAGGGTATTTATCGGATTGCAGGAGACCCTACTCAAATCGAGACCTTGCGCCGCATGTTTGACGAAGACTCATCTGCAGTCGACCTCAACAACCCTTCCCAATACGGCATCAACGATATCCATGCCGTCTCAGGAACTCTCAAGCTCTACTTCAAGCAGCTGCCGGACCCTCTTCTCACTAGTCTTTTCCACAAAAACCTCATTGATGCTGCAACTATTGATTCGGACAATGCTCGCCGCGAAGCCATCCACACTATTGTTAACCAGCTTCCTGATAATAACTACTCAGTCCTTAAGTTTATTGCTCTTCATCTTAACAAGGTCGCCCAGCACGAGGCTCAAAACCGCATGTCTATTTCTACCCTTAGTAACATGTGGGGTCCTGTTCTTATGCACTCCGGATCTCCCGATATCAATGATATGGCTCTCATGGGTCGTGCAGTTGAAACCATTCTCTTCTTTTGTGAAGAAATTTTTGAATATGATGATGAGTTTTTTGAAGGAATTGGATTTCAAATTTAAAAAAAAAAAAAAATCAAAGAAAAAGCAAAGCAAAGCAAAGCAAAACAAAATAAAACAATTTTTTTTAATAATTTACATATAAAAAATTAATAAACACCATTATGATATATATTGATAAACATCTGGATCATTCTGATCTCGTTCCACAAAGTTATTGTTAATAAGATCTTCTATCGCCCGTTTAAACTGCTCGTTTGTCACGGCCCCATGCTTGACTGTTTGCTGTGTCACACTTACAAACAAGTCAGCATGTGACATTATCTTTTGAGCTTTGAGCACACGAACCACCGCAGCCTGCACTCCGAGATTACGATCCAACCGAATCTCATTTTTGAACTGCGCACGCTCAGATGCTGCCTCAGTGCTATTCCCCCCACGACTTAGCCACTGCTTTGAATTGTATGAATACAAGTTTAGTCGCACCGTCTTATCTTTGAGCCCCACATTCACGCTAAACACGTCTCCAGTACTCAGCTTGAAAGTGTCCGTAATACCTTCTCCAGATTTCTCTTGCTCGTGCAGCAGCACTGGAACCTTGCCATGTGACAATGACAACAGCGCTGGGTTCAACTCCTCAGGCCTTAGCCCTGTTTGTTTCTGCAGTTCGGCATACGTCAACTTTGGACGCTGCTCTGCCCTACCTTCTCCATTGTCATTTAGCTGCAGCAACACTACCGCCTGGTACAAGTTCACGTTCAACTCCTTGACACCCACATCAAACTGGGCCCGGATGAGACACATGCTACGGGCTGGAATCCAGCGTATCCGTCGGAATTTGTGCTGACCCAAGTAAAACTTTTCAAACTTATCCTGCAGCTTCTGCATCTGTGGCGGTAAATTAATTACAGTCTCGTGGATCATCGGCCAGTGTGATTCAGTAAGTACCTTGGCTTCAAATGTAATTGGGATTGGTGTCTCGTCATCCTTCAAATTGAGCTCTGCAAACTGTTCAGTCAGCGCTTGCGATTGAACAATGTCACTCAGCATCTTTTCCAAATGCTCAGTCTCCTTCTTCCCTACCTCCTTATTAAGCATTTCAACCATCTGTTGCTCCTCATTTTTGTGATACGAGCGACTTTGTAGCAATCGTCGCGATAAGTCACGCTGGTAATACTTGCAAAATAGCTCCTTGCTATTGTCCAGGTGTCGAAATATGCTTTTGGTAATCGTAAGTCTTTCCCGCAAATCACTCTCACTCCAATTCTTATCACGTAGTGCCTTGTCCACATAAAACGCAAGACTTTCTACAATGTAGTCATCAGTATCTGACGAATTAACCACATTCTTCCATGCTGAATTAATTGCCATTCGCATGTCTTTTGCGCGAGAAGATAGCTCTTCGTCATCATGATATGTCGACTCAAGGTTTACAAACGAGTCAAGAACCTTGCGCAGTTTGGATAACGCCACCACAAGGTCCTCTTTCCCCTTGATATTATCTACTATCCCCTTCAACCGAGCTTCAATTGTGAGACGTATTGTTTCTAAAAACCCGGAGAAATATGTTGTTCGTGCATAAATCTCAAAAGTCTGGCTCAAAACCGTCAAAGAATTATTGAAATCAGGATCAAAACATCTTGCAAGATCTTCGAGTAACTTGCTATCCCACTCATCCAACACAGCATGTATTGTTTTCAAGTGAAACATTTTCCCAATAGATTGCTTAATTCCAAAAGACCTGTTTTCTGCAATTTCCTTGAGCATCAATGTTATGCGCTTGCAAAGTATCTTCTCTTTAAAGTTTTTCATCCTGTTGTGTAAAATCCAATTAATCACTTCAGGTTCATAGGTGCTAATGCTCATTTTGCCTTCAGTAAGCTCCAAGTATACATCAGGTGCCAAGGCTTGCAAATTATCAAAAACTCTTGAAAAAACGTCCCAAGGCCCATATTCCTTAAGGAATGCATGAAGCATAATTCTGCGTAGATTTATAACAAGGGCCTCTTTGACCTTGGGGAACCTGAGATATTCCGCATATATATCGTTACATATTGAAGATATTGTCTTTTGTTTTTGGTATTTCTGCAGATAAAGCGTGCTAAGCATGTGCAACTCATAGGTTAGGTGTTGAATCACGTATTCAATAGATTCAATATGCTGCATAAAAAGATTGGCAAATTCGTAGCCATCTGCTTCATTAAGTTTTTGTGGAGTTTTCATTAACGACTCTGCCTCATCTAGTAAAGTCTTCCCCCAAACAGAAATCCCCTTATTTATTTGTTTTAAAATGGCGTTCCAAAGCACCCGTTGGCGATCCTTGCCTAGCCGACTAATGGTTGTTACATACTCGGTGACTTGTTCCGGTGTCGCTATAAACTTAGTAGTGCATCTTTGGAAAATTTGTTCTGCTTGAGATAAGAGTTGAACAGAAAATATTTCCGAGAAAAAATTTAAAATTATCGTGGTCTTTTCTTCAACATATTTTTCAACCTTTTGCTTATTTTGATCAGGATCTGAAGCAGGCGATGGTACCGTTTTGACTCTTATGATTATATCACTTGCTTTTTGAAATTGGAACGTGGTCACATTGCCAAAGTGGACCGAATATGGCTTATACACTGTAGATGTAGGAACATAATTTGTAATATCCTCATTGTTTTGTCTGGGCTCCGGGAAATCTGAAAGAGCAGCATTGAATTCGCTAGACGATAAGCTTTTCGCCCGTGGATGCTGGCTTTGAAGAGTAAATGGAGATAATTCTTTTGTAATATACGAATTTATCGAATTATCTAAAAATAATTGTCAGAAATCGAGAGAAAAAAAAATAGCTTATAAAAAAAAAGTACCTTTGGCATCGCCATGATCAAATCGTCGCTTGCGACTCTCTGATGAACCAGACATTGCGTTTATTGTTTAGATGTTCAGGTGGGTTCAAAATATATGGAGGCAAATCTAATCATAAGTAAAAACGTGCAATGAAAATGCAATGTAATGTAACACTAATGTAACAAATTTAAGTCTTTGGCACCTCAAGACACCAGGAGCAGCTTGACACTACAAAAAAACCTAAAAAATTTCAGCTCTAAATTAACATCGATTCAAGAGAAATTCGCAAAAAATTTGTACACAAAAAGGATTTTTATTTTATTTTTAATAAGGGAGTCATTACATTAAAAAAAGAGAAACAGGTTCGAATTACTTCCAACTTGTTTAGTCGAAAAGACCGAAACCCATGTCGTCGTCAGACTCCTCGGCCTCCTCCTCGGGCTCCTCCTCAGCGGCAGCAGCCTCACCACCAGCAGCGGCAGAAGCACCACCAGCAGCGGCAACAGCACCACCAGAGGGAACAGAAGCGAGCTTGGCGGTACCCTCAGCAATAAGCTCCTGGATATCCTTGCCCTCGAGCTCAGCGAGAAGAGCAGAAACGCGCTCCTCCTCAGCCTCAATACCAACAGAGGCGAGGACCTCAGTGATGTCCTTGGCGGTGGGGGCGGCGTTACCACCGGTGGTCAAAAGAAGGTAGGCAGCAAGGTACTTCACTTTAATAATGTTAGTATTGAAGAATGCCAAATGTGAAAAACTCAATAGTATCAAATCTAAGAAATGCCGTTGAAATTGAACATTAACCCAAACAGATAACTATCGATAATCTTAAGATAATCTCAAAATAATAATATAAATATCGTCAATGCATACTTTTTAAATATAACTGATCCTTTTATGGGAGAATAATCACGTTTAAGCTGATCTGGAGCAGACTATTCTTAGGGAGGTAAAAGGGAAAAGAAAGAACTTAAAAGAGTTGTGGGCTAGAGAAAAAAAAAATTTTAGAAAATGTTTGGTGTGAGTGGTGTTTAGACCTCTGCCTTGTGTACAGTGCGGTCCACGGTGTATAGGGAGGGGTCTCTGCTTTCTTGTAGGTAGTCTACGGGCCACGACAGGACGTATACAGCCGTGCAAGGTATTAAGAAAAATCAAGTTGTAACTGTAACATCTTGAAATTCTTTATATATTCTGGGCAGCGGGCTCTGTGTAGTTTGTGTTTAAGAGTGGCTTTAAGACTGTGTTAGAGAAGGGAAAACTCAAAAGCGGTAAATAACTGCATAGATATTTAGGGCTAAACCCTAGTGTTGATAATTTACTATTTTCTTTTAGAGCTGCCAAAATAATTTTTTTTTGTTTTTTGTTTTTCTGTGTTCGGAATCTCTTGCTAATTGAAAAATTGTCTCCCACCATAAATACTTAGTAATATATTGCACTTCTTTCTTTAAAACATTATGTATATTACAGTCTATTATCAGTATATTACAGTCTGATGACATGCTGTCATACACTCCCACCTCCTCCTAAAAAAATTGCACACACTCGAGCGCCCTCCCCTCCCCTTCTGGCTTTTTTTTTTTTTTTCGACCTCCCTTTTCCTTTTGGCAGTGCGTGATACCGTTCGACTTTTCTGAAGCCACCATATAACTCATTCGCCATGTCTGACGCTAACGATCAATCTCGTGAAGGTATGACTTGTCAGCGATAATTCATATCACTCAACACCTAGACAGCTTATATTAAATTTACTAGCAATATCAATAGAAGTAAAGGAATCAACAGAATATGATTTGAATACCAATAATTTGAATATTGAGAGATACCCATTGTTTAAGTGCTGTTTTAGATTGAAGAGTGATTCTTAATTATAATAGATTTAGTGTCTAACTTTTTTTACAGAACAACGCAAGAAGAGAGTTCTCAAGAAGTTCTCCTACCGTGGTGTTGACCTCCCCGACCTTCTTAAGCTCGATATCCAGGGTTTCAGTGAAGTCGTCCATGCTCGTGCTCGCAGAAGATTGAACCGTGGTCTTAACAAGAAGCCCATGGGTTTGATCAAGAAGCTCCGTGCTGCCAAGAAGGCTGCTGGTAACGAGAAGCCTGCTCCTGTCAAGACCCACCTCAGAAACATGATCATTGTTCCTGAGATGATTGGCTCTGCCCTCGGTGTCTACAACGGCAAGCAGTTCTTCCTTGTCGAGGTCAAGCCTGAGATGGTTGGTCACTACCTTGGTGAGTTCTCTATCACCTACACCCCCACCAGACACGGCAGACCCGGTATTGGTGCCACCCACACTGCCCGTTTCATCCCCCTGGCTTAAAGTGTGTTCTGTTGTTTGTTTATGTTTTATGTAAAGAAAAAAATGGCCCAAAAATTTTAAATGACAAGAAATGAAGATAGAGCTTAATGTTTGGAACAGTCTTTGTAAGTTTTTTAAACAAGATTTGATTCCACTTTGTATCACGTGAATGCGCTCTTATGCAATAGTAAAATACGTGGTGCATCTTTGTGTCTCTGTAAATCCTAGATATTAGAAATGCTCAAGATGATTACAACAAACGTGATGAATGCAAGTTTACTTTTTTATTTTTCCGATTTTGGCAAAAGTTATGAATGATAAAGTAAATTTTATTATTATGACTTTCAAATCAGTAGTAAAAGAAATTTATAAAATGTACATTTTCATTAATTTTCTTTCTTACATTATGCCTCAATTATTATTATTATTTTTTTCATTGCTTAGATATCATTTGAATATCCTTTTTTCCTTTCCATATATTCAATAGTTACCAATCTCATTTATTATATCTTTATTTTTCATGTTTGAATTATTGTAAAACCAATGCCAATCTTGGAGTCAAATAACATTAGCCCCAGTGTGACCCCCACACTTTCATTTACTAACGCACAACACGACATAGAAATCATTACAAATCCTAAAGAAACTTGTGGATTTACAGACGCGGAAAACTTGCATCGTGTGCATAGTCTAGCAACTCAAAATCTCACTCGTATTATTTCAGAGTCTAGCGACTTTGCTGCATATCAGTCTCTAAATGAAGAGATTATTCAAACATTGAGGGAGGAAGAAAACTTGAGTGTTGATGCCACTGAACAAGAAGACGCCACTGAACACCCATACACAATCTTTTCCAAGACAGAAGTTATTTGCATTGCAATTGAAGCTTCCTGCGCTGCTTTTTTTTCTACAATTTCTGTCCCAATCTATCTATCAGCTCTCACAGATTTTGCAAATGAGTTTCACGTTTCCACGGAGCGTATTAACCTTACTGTGACCGTATTCACGATTGTCCAAGCAGTCATTCCAGCAGTTTGGGGAGCAATTGCAGATTTTATTGGTCGGCGGCCCGTTATTGTAATGTGTCTGGTTATTTATATTGGCGCAAACATTGGGCTTGCGTTTGCTAAAAACTATGGCTTTTTAATCGGATTCCGTATCCTTCAAGCTGCCGGCATTGCTTCCACTGTTGCTGTCGGTTCAGGAATCGTGGGTGATATAACGGATCGCAAAAACAGAGGATTTTACATAGGAATTTATTCAGGGCTATCTATGGTCGGCAGCGCAATTGGACCATTGATTGGAGGTGCTCTCGCTGCAACCCTTGGCTGGCGTTCCATTTTCTGGTTTCTCGTCATTGCGGCTGGCGTCACTTTAGTATTCCTTCTAGTAATGCTTCCTGAAACAAGTCGCAAAATTGCTGGAAATGGATCAATAAAGCCTTCTTCCTGGATAAATAAATCTCCATACATGTCTTTAAGAAAACATTTTGTAAAGGAGTCTCGGGCCGAAACCCTCGCTCCAGAAACAGTTCTCCCACCATCTCCAATAAAGCTGCATAGGACAATGCAACTTTTCCTAGAAAAAGACGTGATCATTATTTTGCTCCCCAATGCCATTCACTACGCCTCATGGTTTATGCTCATTACCGCCCAGTCAACGTTATTGACAAAACACTACGACTTTTCAACTCTTCAACTAGGATTATCTTACGTTGCAAATGGCGGTGGAAGTGTACTGGGCAGTTTGGTTGGCGGAAAAGTCATGAATCTCGCATATAACCATGAAGTCAAGAGGTTTCGTAACATACACGGCAATGAGGAGGAAATTTCACCACAAAATGCAAAGTTCAACATCCACCGGGCAAGGTTGTGGCCACTACCAATAGTTTCGTCAGTCCACATTGCGGCCACTCTTATTTTTGGATGGTCCATCCAATATCATGTTCATTATGCTGTGCCTATTGTTTTCACTGCATTTGTATCATTTGCCTCAATGTTCAGCTTCAGTCTTTCATCAACCCTCATGGTGGATCTTTTTCCTTCAGAGTCTTCAAGTGCGGCAGCTGCTGTGAATCTAAGCAGAGGAACTATCTGTGCGGTTGGTATATCCCTTGTTGATCGAATGGACCAGGCTATGGGCACTGGTGGGACTTTTTCACTCATGGCTGGACTCATGCTTTTATCATGGGCTCTCAACTTTTATGAAATTAAAAATGGACCAAAATACCACCAAGAGAGATTAAAGAAAAAACAAGATTTGGAAAAAATTCAACTGGAGGAAGTACATATTGATGAAAAAAATCTTGGAAACAATGACCGCAACTGATAAACTTTTTTGCGATAGTTCGATAAGAATAGATGGATAACAATCACGTGACCAAATATTAAAATTGCGTTTTTTTTCTTTATCGTGATATTTTTCAAGACTTTTTTCTTCATCCCCAACCAGAAACTTTTGTGTGAATAAAATTACACTGTATATTATGCCTAATTAAAAAAAAAATTAAAAAAAAAATGAAACGATTTTTTGTTAAAAACATTAAGTATGATGATAATGATGATGGTGAGGCATATGATAGTGCGCATGCCGTGGGTAATGACCATTTTGCTGAGGAGTTCCCATGCCAGCATTGTTCCCAATAGAATTGCGGAACCGAGCCATTTGCTGTAAATCATCCTCAATCTCTTCATCAGTGCTAGGCTTCATTTCAGGTGCAGCAGGGAAGCCATGCGTGTGACTTATGTTGGTGAGAATGTTGACTTCACTAAGGTATGACTGCATTTGGCGTTCTTGCACTTCGGGCTGTTGTGGTGGCCGGAACCCATATTCCGGAACCATTGAATCCATGAGTCGTCGCTCGCGGTTCACCCTGTACCACTCTTCAGTCGTATTTAGCAGGAGCTTTGCTCGAATCTCGCCTTGGTCCTTGAGAAACTGCTGGTGCAGTTGTTCGCGACCGGCGCGTGTTTGAATGTCTATGCAAATGCGCTGGTACTTGCGCTGCTGCTCGGCATTCCGAATGCGCTCATCCCGTTCACGTTGAATCTTATTGTAAACATCCTCTAGATCGGGGTGCGTACCTTCAGCGCACATTTCAATTTCGGTCATGTATCTCGCCATTTGGTTTGTAAACATCTTATCTCGCAGCTTTGCAAACTCTATCTCAATTTCGGTGAGACAAGTTAACGCCTCCTTTCGTAGTGCTTGCTGTTCTGCTAAGGTCTCTTCGTCAGTCAAAGGCCTTCTCCGACTTGGTACGGCAATCTCGATATTGCTAGCACTATTACCGGTTGGAGAAGTAGGCTTTTCCGTAGGAGGTTCAGCATCATCAACTTTCGGCTCAGAAGCATCATTGGTTTCTTTCGAAATAAGTTTTCCATTCTGTTCTTTATTTAATATCGATTGGGGGTCTGGTTCTTTGGAAGCTTCTTCAAAAATAGTCTCCAAGGGGGTTTCACTGATTAGAGTTGGCTTTTTTTCCATTATTTTCCCACTGGAAAAGGCGGAGGAGCCCTCCAAGTTGGTATTTAAAGAGTCTTCATCTTTTGACTCAGTATTTTTATCTGTCTCGATTGTTGGATTTTCAGAAAGTGTAGAACTGCTAGTGGCAGTACTGGTAGTTGTGATAGTAGTTATGTTAGTATTAATAGCATCCAGAGCTGTAGTATTTGTTGTGGTATTCGAAGTAGTAGCAGTAGTCGCGGTTGTTTCCGCAACAGCAGCTTCTGTAATAGTAATAGCGGGAGGGTCAGCGTCCATTTTAGCATCTGCTGTATCATGATTATCCTCAGACTTAATTATAGCTGATGCCACAGCCTGCTGTTGTTGCTGCTCCTTATTATCAGGGATTTCCAAGACTGGAATATCGTCTTTTGGTGGACCTATATTTTCCCAGTCCTTGGTGAGTTCAGCTTGTGATGGAAGTTCATCTTGATGACTGTCGTCAGTAAGATCAATTTTAGTTCTTTTGCTTGGATGTATTGGAGGTTGGTCCCAGTGCTTTTTGGATGGAGTAAAAGATAAAGAGTCATCATCTTCCTCAAGATTGTTCTTAGTAGTAGAAATACCTAACGACCCATTTAAGAGAGGTTTAGTTTTCTCCAAAACATTATTAACCGTGGTTTCACTAGAAAATTCTTTCCGCCTCATTTGGACACTATCCAGCACACCTAGCTCGGCAGCTCCAAGTCGCTCTGTCTCTGCTTCCGAGTCAATAGGGTCGCTAAGTTCAGATATTAAGTCTTGACTGTTTGAAATCGGGTCTTTTGGTGGATCATCAATATCAATGTCTTTGGAAAGAAAATGATCATTATCGTTTTCGGGGTCCGAGGATGATAGCGAAGATAACGAAGATGTTGAAGGAACTTTTGGAAGTTGTGCAGTTGGTGATGGGAGACTGTCATCATCAGCTGTGCCATTATGGTCGGCTTGCTTATGAATATCTGGCTGGGTTTCAAGAGTCTTTTCCAGCGGTAGTGTAGACTCTGAAAATTGTTGTGCAGTTGTTGTTGTTGTTGTGATGGAGGAGGAGGTGTCTGAAGTGGTGGGAGCAGAACCCGGTGGGGGTGGTAATGCTTTGGTGGTGGAACTATCAGCCGAGTCTATTATCGAAGGAGGGGGAGGAGGCGAAGGCAGCAACGTCGACAATGGTTCCGTTATTTCAGGCTTTGAAGATAATGGAACACTAGGATCAGACTCATTGATAGAATGATCAATGGATTTAGCTTCCAAATTGTCATTATTGCCATTGTCATTATTGCCATTGTCATTGTTGGTTATAGTCGGAATTGGATTACCATGTTTTTGTGCGGATGGTTCCTTGCCACCGGGAAGGGTGGCATTATCACTTATCTCCAAAACACTGTCATCAGCCATGGGTTGTTTTAAGGGTCCCGGGTCAAGCAAATCACTTTGTTTCAAGAACGAGGCTTTTAACTTAGAAGTACTGGGACTGGTGGTTATAGGTGAGCCATTTGGTTGTGAAGAGTCGGAGGATAAGGGTTTAGAAGAGGGGCAAGGTGCATGGACTATAGAAGCAGAAGATGCGGTCTCGGCTGGCAAAGAAAAAGACTTTACAACTGAAATAAAGGTCCCGTTTGGAGGCACCTCAGGCTTGGTAGTAGTAGGAATAGAGGCTGCAGTCACGGACTCTAACTTGTGAGAGGGAATAGAAGTGATGTGGGCTTTAGACAAAGGAGCCAGCGGACCGGTTGTTTCGTCAGGGGTATCTGAAGGCGCGTTAGAGGAGATGGCAGAAGACGAGCTTATGGTCATCCTATATTCGCATCTGGTAATGTCTTGTTGTTATTTGGAGCTTTTTACGTGAAAGCAAAGGAGAAGAAAAGAAAGAAGAAATATAGCTTCTATGACTGTATGTGTATGATGGGATGTACCAAAACCTCTATAATGAGTGACAAGCTTAAACGACAGCTCAAAATACCAGGTTTCACAGAAAATTCACAAAAAAGGCACGGAAAAGTACCAGTGACTTGAGCAGAGTAATTGGGTTGGAGAAAGGAGAAACGTGGGACCCGTCGGGGCAGAACTGTAAGAGAACCGATAAAGATGGGAGGAAGAGGATACTACTGCTTAAAAAAAGTGGCAGTCAATCAAAAAAAAAAACTTGTATAATATAAATTGTAGAGAGTTCTAAAATGTCAGAAAAACAAACAGATGGGAATGGTCTAAAAAAAGAGAAAAAGAAGAGATATGGATTGGATGGACTGGGTTTGGAGGGTCACGACCTGTTCAATGCAAAAAAAAAAAAAAAACAGGAAAAAAAACAAAAAAAAATGTTACATTACAATAAATACTACCAAGTTAATAGTACGGCGATAAATCACATAAAAAGGTAGGGTAACACCTTTTTAAAAAAAAATTTGAAAGAGGAATTTTTTCAAGCAGACAATTTTTAAAAAAAATAAAGAAACCTGAGTAACATACTAAGGGCAAAAAAAATGGTTGATCTTTTCAATATTTCTGAAGACAAAATAGATGGATCTGTTGGATCTCTTTTTAGTTCAAGTGTAAGTTTTAATTTTCAGATATGCATTTTATTGGTTCTAACATTTTAATTTTAGGCAGGTCCTGTGGTTAGACCCAAAAATGAATCGATAAAGAGTGAGCTTGTTCACAGTAAAAAAACCAAGGAAACATCCTCACAAAAAGCAGATAACACGCTAAAACGAAAACGGGAAGAAAACGAAGAGGAAGAGGAAGATAATGAGAATGAGAAAGGGAATAATGAAGAAGACAATAGCGCTTCTTCAGACGAAAAAGAGGGTTCCAGTATCGAAGATAAATGGGTCGAAAAAAATCAAAACAAAAGAAAATCTTCTAAGACGAATTTAAAGTCAAGTGAAACTGCTGGTGAAAAAGATGAGGGTGATAGTGAAGAAGAAGAAGAAGAGGATGATGTTGATGTTGATGTTGATGGAAACAAAGATACCCAAGATAAGAAACCTAGGCTTTCTGAGCAAGAAATTGATAAGGCTGATTCTACAGTTTTTGTGGGAAACGTTCCAATTACTACCATCACATCAAAACCAGTTTACAAGAAATTTCAGGAGCTTTTCGAACCCTATGGAAAGGTTACATCGATTCGTTTCAGATCCATTGCGTTCTCTAAACTGCTCCCAAGAAAGGCTGCTTTTATCAAGCAACAACTCCACCCCACCCGCAAAGCTGCCAATGCTTATGTCGTTTTTGAAACCCCTGAGCAGGCTCGCAAGTCAGTCTCCTTGAATGCCTCAGTTTTTGAGGGTCATCACCTACGTGTCGACAGAGTTTCTCACCCCGCATCTCAGGACAATAAACGATGTGTTTTTGTTGGAAACCTAGATTTTGATATGGATGAAGAACCTCTTTGGCAACACTTTGGATCCTGTGGTGAGATTGAGCATGTTCGTGTTGTCCGTGACTCTAAGACCAATTTTGGCAAAGGTTTCTGCTATGTTCAATTCAAAGATCCTGTTTCTGTTACCAAGGCTCTTCTTCTTAATGGTAAGAACATTAATGGCGAAGAAAAGGGTCGTGAACTTCGGGTGGTTAGAAGCAAAAATATTAGAGAAGCCCAAAAGCAACGAAAAGCATTCATTAAGTCCAAAACTAACAATAACAACAGCAACAAGAAGGTCAAGCTTTCCCTGGAGGAAAAAACAAAGCTTGGCCGTGCAAAAACCGCGGTCGGCAAAGCAGCAAGAGCTGAAATCTCTTCTGTTTTAGAGGGGACCCGAGCCAAGAAGGGCGATTATATTCCGGGCATAAAACAAGGTGGTAAGAAGAAGAAACCTAGAATTCGCGAAAGAAGCACCAACTATAAGAATCTCAGAAAGGAAGTTCAAAAAGCCAACAAGGCAAGCAAATAAATAAATACATAGGGAATATTTATTACATTCAGATTATAGAACTTTAAATATTTTCTATTTTTATTGAAGTTTTTGAATAACTGCAATCAAAATGAAACCAAATTTTGGTATTTTGATAACGTAAGTTTGTGGTAGCAATTTTGCAACTCCTTCATTTCAATGACTTAATATTAATTTATAAACTAATTAGCTATTTTTTTTTACTAAGTAATAAGTAACCTACAAAAATTATTAAACAAACATCTTTTTAGAAATATAGCTGTTTAGGATGAAGAGGAAAGTTTTCTAAATCAGCTGAATATTATGGTATTAAAATTAAAGTTAGTGCTGATGTTGATATTGGTATTTCTATTATATATTGAGGAACATAAATCCTTAAATAACAAACAATTATATTTGATCTTATATATTTAATTAATTTACTTAACTTACTCTCAAATCTTCGAAACTACTGCAAAATAGTTAGCTCTGATTTCACAGACCATTATTTTCGGTAGCATTTACTCATTTCCATCATTGTAAATGAGACTTTATTGTAGACTAAATCACAGATGTCATTTTTTAAGCTCTTACCATTTTAGATTCTATCTTTCAATCGAGGTCCTGTGGTGCGAGTAATTCTGAGAACTACGTTGTTACATAAATTTTTTTAATCATGCAATTAATTGAATACCCGGAATTTTAAAGTAAACCCCGACCCACCTAAGATTTTTTCTCCATTTTAATCTATTTCACCTCATCCCATCAGATTCTCCATAAAAATGATTCCTACACTAACGAAACTAAGTGCATTTTCAAACAAACGCTACATGTCTCCGAAGCAGTTTGAAGAATGGAAAAAGACACCATACGGAAAATATTCTACCCAGCTAAAAAAACACCCCTTTTTACTATTTGGTCTGCCATTTATGGCGTCGTTGTTTTTCGCATCACTTTATCTCTCTGAGTTCACTTCCATTAGATACAAGAACCGTGATGAGCGTGTACAAATGATTACAGAAGAGGAAGCTCTTAAGAGTTCGAGTGCTAATCGCAGAAAAGTTGACATGCGCGAGGAGTTTTATGTGAGCAAAATTGCAATATTAATAAGACCTGAAATACTAACTCAAATGTGTTTAGAGACTGCAGCAACTGGGAGATTTGGATGACTGGGAGCAGGTCCGTGTCCCTAGACTTTCTAATGAAAGTGAAAACGTCTGGGACGTTTCAGGACCCGGCACACCAGACAATTCGGCGGCTGCATCCGCTGTAGCTGCTGATAAGCAACTGAAAATCAGCAAATGATGGACACCCTGACAATAAATACCTGAAAATATCAAAATTAATTCCCCCTCTTTGAGTCTATTAGTTTTTTTAAAAAAATAATTGTACATATGGTTGAAAAGAAAAATATAAACTAAGTTTCCTTTCTACAACATATCATAGCCTTTGATACAAAATCATCTTTTCTCTAGACTTTAAAATTCAATAACCTTTTTAATGGCATGGAAGATCCGAGTAACATTAGGCACAACCAAGTCTTCAAATTGCAAAGGAACATGTGTATCCCAACCAGTAACGCGCTGGACAGGAGCTTCAAGACGCAAGAAGCACCTTTCTTGAATTTCAGCAGCAATATCTCCAGCGAGACCATTGGTCTTTGGAGCCTCATGTACTACAATGGCTCTACCTGTTTTGGTTACGCTTTCGGTGACGGTAGCACGGTCCCAAGGATGAACTGTCCGGAGATCCAAAACTTCTACCGAAACGCCATTCAGAGTCTTGCGCGCAAGCTCAGCAGCTGCTAATGCATGGTATACTGGCGTACCATATGTGACTATTGTAACATCGGATCCTGGAAGAACAACTTGAGCCTTGCCTAGTGGTAACTCGTAGTCGATTGTGGGGACATGCTCAACACTTGCGCGGTATAAAATTTTAGGTTCCATGAAAATAACGGGATTTTTGTCTCGGATTGATGCCAACAGTAGACCCTTTGCTTGAGACGGAGATCGTGGCATCACAACCTTGATTCCCGGTGAATGAGCAAAAAAGGCTTCACCTGACTGTGAATGGTACATAGCACCATGACCAACTACGCCGCATGGCATGCGAATAGTTAATCCTCCCACATTGTATGAACCAGCACCTCGATACCGGTACTTGGCTGCTTCGTTAACTATTTGATCAAAAGCTGGGAACACATAATCAGCAAACTGAATTTCAGCAATTGCAGTTGCATCCATTGATGCATATCCGACCGCAAAACCAACAATGCCTTGCTCTGAGAGTGGGGTGTTAAAAACTCGATCAGCACCAAACCGCTCTTGAAGTCCCATTGAGCAGCGAAACACGCCTCCAAAAGCCACATCCTCGCCAAAAAGGACGGCGGTTTCGTCAGTTTCCATAGCTGTTTTAAGAGCATCATTAATGGCCTGGTACATGTTGACTTGTGTTGTCTGAACAGTGGCAGGATCATGACCTTTGCTCTTTAAATATGCCGCTAGCTCAGGGTCTGAAACAGCCTTTGATTGTGTGCGGGCAAGGAAGGGAGCATCAGAAAAGGTGACATGGTTAGGCGAAGAGTCTGGAATTAACAAAGAACGAGAAACTGTGCGAGTTGATGAAAACTCGCGTATCAACTTTTTTGTAGCTGAGAGATTTTTCAAAATTTTTTTTTGAAGAAGGTTATTACGTGAGAATAACGGAACGAGCGTCATGATTGAAGGTTGGCTTAATAAGTGGAAAAGAAGAATTAAAAAATAAAAACAAATATTATACTTGACGGGAGGTTTTATTTTAAAAAGGTCTTAAAATTTGAAGGAAAAATAATGATATTTATATGATTTTAAAAAGCTCAGCCGAAGAACGTTTAATCACGGCAATCGTCGTTATATCAGGTCTAAAGTCTGAGGAGATGCGATGCAAGAAAGTGGAGGCGCGCAGGCTTTCAACAATCTTCTAGGGATGTGGGGCATCGATTAATACAGATAAATAAACCGTCAATAACCGGGATATATTATATAATCATTATTTAATGATTATATAAGATGTCCCGGTTATAATAGACGATGGTTTTTACCTGTGCAGTATAAAACTACTCAAAAGCAAATAATAAAAAACAATAAAATCAATAATAAAAACAATAAAACAATAAAATCAATAATATGAAAAACAAATAATTATGTAATATATCATATCCAGCCGTTAAATGATGGTTCCAGTATGATGTCCTTTGAGGGTTTAATAGGCTTTTGTTGCCGAATCTTTTTAAAAGGAGTGTAGTGTGTGGGGCTAAATTGTTGTTGATATGGAGTGTGTTCAAAGCATCGTTTCCTTTTGACATCAATAACAGAACTCAAATCCCCTTGTCTGTAAATAAATACGACTTGTTTAAAATTGTTTTCTTCAAAATCTAATGTCTCTGTGTTTTGAGATATTAATACCGACAGCTCTAAGATGAATTTGTATGGAACCTCAGGAAGTAGAGTGTAAAAAAACTTTTCAACTTCTCTTTGAGACAATGGGAACTGAGTCATTGCAGGTGAAGATTGGGCTATTATCTTGTCAAAATGATCAAAGGGGATGTATTCATCTAACTGATAATCACGAGCTTCAGAGTAAGAAAATAAAATCTGCTCTAGAGCTGGGTGGTAATGTGACAAGTGCTGAAGATAAGGCGAAATGTAAAAATTGTTTGAAATCTCAATCTCCAAAAACTTGACTGAAGGCATTTCCGATATTGTTTTGAAAATCGATTCGTTGACGCCAATAGAGAGCAAAGTATCCATCAATTCGTCGCCTATGGTAACCAAGTCAAGTTGCCCCAAAGATTGAATATACTCTAGAGGGTTGCTTAACAGACTTCTCAATGCCCCCACAATTTTATCTAAATCGGGATGACTAATTTCTTTTTCTAAAGCCATATTATCTATTATATTTTTTTGATCTGGAAATACTGGGGATTTTGAGAATTGGTAGCGAGCATATTGGCAATACTCGAATACAAGGTCATATAATTCGTTGACTTTGAAAAAAGATTTATTTTCGGCACAAGAACCATCAGAATATAAATTTGGAATTAATATTGTTTTCTCAAAGGACTGAGCTTGAGGGGTGAGCTGAATTCTGCTTAGGTTCGTGAAATTGGGAAGATAAGAAATCAGTTCCGTGCTATACCCGACGTAAATTTGAAGAGAAAGTACATTAATTGTTTCAGATAAAACGGGACTCAGTTTTTGAATTTCAAAACGGTCACCATTTGTTCCCCCAGCAGTGCAACTTAGATTAAGAGAAGCATTCGGACAGCTTAACCAGGAGCGAAGTTTTGTGAACCCTTGAAAGTCCTCATAGTCTCTAACTGAGAGCAATGTGACTTGTGGGAGAGAAATCGGAGAGATTTCATTAAGGAAAACATAGCTTGAATCTACTGGATTGCTGAGTATTATGACGCCTAATGTGCACGTTTCCAAGTTAGGTGGCAATGCAACAAGTGTGTCGACGTGGCTTGGAAGAATAAAACAGACGGGTGAATATGGGTCGGAGGTTTCCAAAAGACCAAAGGTGGCATCGATTGATAAAATGAGCTCAAGAGCTTTAAGTTTTGGCCATTTTTTATACTGTTTTAGTAATGGCTTGAGAGAGGTTTTGTATTCATTTGTCAGCTCAATAGTAATTGACTCCAGGTTGTGGAAATTTAAGTCAGATGGGATTTTGAGATCTACTTGACTTTCGCCAAATTGTATGTTTAGATTTTTCAGAGTATATTCCAATGTCTTGTAAAATTTATAAAACAGATTCTTATTGTCGTATATTGCATTTACTGTTAAAACACCAGGGAACTTTTCATTTTGACAAAAGTTTATCAGTGATTTGTGTGAGGAGGATTGTAAAATGGGGATTGGGGACGTGAAATCGCCAAATGAAAAAGGGTATTTTGAGACAATTGACTGAAGTCGGGCATAGTTAGTTTTGGTAAAGAGACGCCTCCATCCACCGGAGTAATCGAATAGAATAACGTTAACCACATCGTTACTCAAAAACCAGCTGTGGTGATTAGGTTTGAAGAATATTTTAGATACTACAATGGGGAATTTGTACCGGCGATGATATTTCCAAGGAATTTTCTTGTCGCTATGCGTTTTTCTAGCAGTAATATAGGAGGCAAAAGCTAGAGAACTGACATCGCGAAAATCGACGATGATCGTTTCCCAAAATGTGGAAGAAAGTGTTTTTCTCAATTGCGCGCTTGTTTGAACAACACTTCTTCTGTCCTCAGCAACTAGATAAGAAAAAATTTCCCTGGCAACTTCTAACGGTAGATTATCAAGACTCATTAACACGGTTTAATTGTAATATGGAGATGCGTCTGTTTAAAGCGTGCTTTTATATGTTTTAAAGGAGGATGTGGGAAAAAAGAAAAAAAGGTTTGTTGCAAGCAAAGGGTCTGGGGAAAGGTTTATCCACAAAACTCACCAAACTTTTATTATTTTAAGATATCATAGAAACCAACCCTAAACCTATATTACATGACAATCACACAATGGTGCGGCGCTCGGTCGTACGTATTCGGTAAAGCTAGATTAGAGTGCTGCTGCAAGTTTTAAAACTTAAAAGTTTTAATAGCCCTGCTGACTAAACTTAGTCCTGTTGAGCATGTAGGGAAGGGGGGAGGGAGGCATAAATTCCATTAGCTGGCATATTGTTGATCACCAAGTTATGCCCAAAAATAATAATAATCAAATCTGAAGAAAATGCAGAGAAAAAAAAATGAATCAAGACATAAGGTTGCGCAAATAATTTTTGTAGACAATCTGACAGATGTGTCTGAAATGCAATTTTTGTTAAGCGAAAATAAATTGTTTCAAATCTAGGCTATTCGATGAGCCACTTGGGAAACAAAGGACTTTTTATTTTTTCCATGAGTGATAATCGATATTTACCAAAACCATTACTTCCTTGAATGCTTGGCCAAACATTCCCAAATCACCATTCAGGGATTTACCAAATAAAAAACAAACAGTTTATTATTAAGTTATGCTCGGTTACTTGATTTACTGATAGCTTATTTTTGGTACTTCCAAACATAAATTGAAAGAAGAATGCGGGGTTGTATAATTATCCAATGCTGTGACTATTTATGTTTATTTTTTACAACTGTTAGATTTTTAATTTTTTTTTTCATTACGGATTGAATATTTACATTTTAATAATCACTTAACTTATACCCTTTTTTTTTATTTACCATTAATGGATCTGAATATGAAACTTTTGACAAAAGGTCATTATTTATTTCCGAATCAATATCATCAAACTGAACGGTCCAGGTAAAGTCATTATAAACCTTTTCGTAATACGCTGAACCCATACTATGAAAAAAGATTCCACAAAATAACAACAGGAATATAAACAAGACCGTCGTGATAAATACAAGCCATTCAAGAATGCTGTTATGTGGCTGGCGCGTTGCAAATAATCCACTAGTTGCGTTTAGGGTCTGCAGCGCGCTGTCCATTAATGTTTCGCGTGTCGCAAAGTATCCCAGGGTGAAAAGAGGGTAAAGCATTGAGAAGAAAATGAATCCGACATACACGTACAACAAAATCTTCTTGGATTTATTGGGCGATCCCTTTGGTTTTTGCTGGAAATAAGTTCCAGGAATATACAACACGGGCCAGCATGATAGTGCCATAAGAGCAACATGGAATGCACCGAAAAAGATAAACGGTGTGTACAAAGAGGTCAATTTAACCGTCTCGCCATTAAAAACTGTAGGATGATTAACTTGTCCATATTTTTGGAGAGTAATGGCGGTAGAGATGTCTAGGTTTTGGAGCAACACCAGGTCTGCAACAGTCTCGTAATTTACTGAACTGTTGCTGTTACCTCCAGTAACTCGCAACTTTTGGCTGCTGCGTGTTCCGTTAGCGTCCAAAGTAGCATATGACAGTTCGTTAAACAAGACGGTATAGTTATCTCTTTGTTGATCCAGGAGTCCGAACGATTCAAGTAAAGTTGTTGCATTACCCCCATTCTGTGAGTTAAACAAACTGGCGTACTGGTTTCCGTTCATTTCGGACACCTGAACGCTAATTCCTGGGAAACTTTGGAGGTTTTTGAGATTTACAATTTGGAAAAAAGTAACTCCGATTGATGATAAAATAACAATGGAAAGTATCACGAATGATATTATCATTCCGACTGTAGCTTTTCTGGGAATTGGCCACCCAGGAATGGCTGTTAAGGAGATTTTTAGAGTCATTATGGGGAAGGGGAGGTATTGAAAGAAATATAGAAATAGTTTTTGAAAAAAGAATTATTTTAGGCTTATAGATAGAGGTGACAAAATGAAATGAATCCTATATATAAATAATTCTTTTTTATGTGAATACAATAAAAGATAAAAGAAAACTCTCATCCAATTCAGAGTCTGTAAAATGTATAGATCTAGGCATGTTATGTTTTATCGATATAATTTAAGGGGCTAAAATATTTTCATTATTGTGTAGTATCACAATAACTTTTATTAGGCAAATTGCAAATAAACTTAGTATCACGTTAACTTGATTAACTTGTTAAGTTTATCGTTAAATCCATTTTTTGGCCCATCCCATGTTTTCAATTTCCACAACGTATCTCAGCTTTTTTTTTTCTTTTTTCAAACCATTAAAATAAATATTTTACTCAAATACTGCTTAAATCTATTCTATTTTTATTTCAATCGAACTTTTTTTTTTTAAGAGACAAATACACAAAACTGAATCCAACGCCATTTGCGCTTTTCTAACCTTCATTTACTGGAGGATTTGCCACAATACGTCCACGTTTCAAAGCCCGTACAAGTGCTTCACTGGCTGGCGACATATCGTTTGCAGATCTCCACTTGAATGATTCCTGTTTCTTCTTATTCCCTGATCCTGATTCTGTTCCAACACCAGGTCCTGCCGATTCCGGGGTCAACGCATCGTATGCTCGATAAAAGTATTGCGTTGTACCTGCCGGAGAGCGCGAAACCTTGACTGCAGAAGTCGTAAAGTGATCGCAAGGAGGAGTAGCAGTAGGCTGTAACAGATTCTGTCCACCACTAGAAAGCGGGGAGCTTGTCATCAATGGCTTTTGGGCGGCGGCCACAGGCTTCCAAAGAAATTGGCTAGTGGGCGAAAGTACAGGAGAGTTGGAAGTCAAGGGGAAAGAAGAAAGTGGAGAAGTGTTGGAGGAAGAAGGTGCACATGCATTATTAGATACACAAGAGGAAGATGAAGAAGCATATGAGCGCGCGGGGACTGCAATGGAATATGTAGCAAACCCAGCAGTTGAGCCTGGATGGTGAATTGCTGATTTGGATGACAATTTCCCTGCTACCCCAGTTTCTGTAAACTTATTAATGTGATGCTCTGGTTCAGGGTGGACTGGCATGACAATACTAGTTGTTGATTTAGCTGCAGAGACTGCTAAAATCATTTGTGGTGGTGTTTTGGTCCCTGATGATGTTCCATTTTCCAGTTTTTGCAACTGTTGTTGATGGATATTGACTGCACTTTGGGCCTGATTGTGAATAGCAGTAGACAGAGCAATTGATGACGATGGCCTGCGCGCAAGTGCAAGACTAGAGTAGCTGTGAACGTTTCCACGGTAGAGCCCTGAGTCAGCGTTCAAAACTACCTGCCCACCGCAATTATGGCAGAAGGAAGTGTTTGAAGCAGTATTTGGCTGCGATGATAATATAGATGCTCCAGCCGGTTGACGCAATGCGCGTAGACTTGCAGTGAGGGATGATGAACTCTGGATGCGTGAGGGTGGTGCTGTTGTGCTAGGGTATGGCATAACGAGGGAGCAACCTGGTGTATTATGGTGCATTTGTTGCTGCTGTTGCTGGGTATTACATGTAGCCGAGACTTGTTGTTGCTGTTGCGCTTGTGTTGCGGGAGACTGATTTTGCGGGACTGACAGATAAGCCGCACTAGATACCTGCGGCTGGTATGTTTGGCGCGTGGGCGTATTCCAATAGTAAGAAGAGTAAGGTGAGGCTGCAGTTGAGTGAAGCGAAGCTGGTGGAGTGGTTGGTGGTGCTGGAGAGATATCTGTTGTTGTACGGGATACTTGGCACGTATCACAAGCCATGCAAGTATCGCAGCGACAGCCACGGACTAGATCGTTGAGTGCATCAGCAGAGGTATATCTGCGAGCGGCAAGAATGGGGTGAGATAGATGGGGCTGGTTTTGAGGCCCCAAGAGTAGGGTACTAGCTCTACGGTAGATAAACGGCGAGGCACCGGAACCGTTTGGAGACAGGGAAGCAGATGCTGGGGAAGAGGATGACGAGAGCAAAGAAGAATATGCGGAGGAGGAGGACGAGTAAGCTGGAGATGGGACTCCTGTTGTGAAGAACACTGGCACGGCGCCAGGAGCAATGATCGAGTCTCTACGGCGGCATTTAGGTGAACAATAAAGAGCATCAGAGTCTGGAGTATCTGCAGGCTCATACTGGGTGTTACACATTGCGCAAAACGTCATGAAAGGGGTAGGATCGAGGTCCAACAGGGGTGTCTTCAGTTTAGTTGTGGACAAGGAGGTAGATGATACCGAAGTAGATTTTGTAGAAGAGCGTGTGGAGGAAGAGCGCGATGAGGCTGCGGGCGATAACGAGGAAGTCGGGCTGGGTCCCTGTTGAAGTTTTGATGTAGATGTACGAGATGATTTCCGGCCACGTTTTGCGGCAGCTGCAGCTGATGAAGAAGCAGCTTTTGCTAGAGAAGAAGCCAGACATTTAGGAGATATTGCTGATCCAGCTATGGCAGCGTTATTCAAATTGCTAGCGTGATGATGAATATTGTGACTGCCGTGCTGGCCTCCAGAAGAGTGCCGGATGCCTGGTCTTGAAATACGAACACGAGCACCAGTCTTGTGCGTATTCCCTAGTGTAAATGTTGCCAATCCTGTACTTGGGACAGCTGCAGATCCTGAATTAGTAGTTGACGAGTGAGAAGAACGTCTACGGGGATGTGCTGCTGGGTGATGGTGAATGTAATGTGGATGGTTGTGGTTATTTGTTGCGGCATTGTGTCCGTGGGAGAATTTGGCAAACAACGAAGTAGCACTGGGGCCTGTTGCAAGGCCTGGCCTGCGCGTAAGAGTATGGTGGCTATTGTTGGCCAGGCCGACATGTGACTTGCCATTATTGGTAGAGCCGACTGGACGGATTGCAGTGGATGGGGGCAACCGGACGTGTGCAAGATGGGAATGTTTATGCGGACGCAAGGATGTATTGTGTCCATGAGCAGCTACAGTTGTTGCTTCTACATGTTTTCCATCATTATCATTATCATTATCATAATCATAATCGTCATCATCTTCATCAACATCATCATCGTGGTCGTTTTCATCTGAAAAGTCATCAGAAATGCTAACGTCGTCATCGTCATCATCATCTTCGTCAACAATATCATCATCTGAAATCGAATCTGAATCTGAGGTTGAGAGGACATCATCATCATCATCATCATTATCTGAAGACGAAGAGTCAGATTCAAGGACCGAAGCAGTGAGATAGCTGTGTGCATGTTTGTCAATATTTGCTGGAGATCCGTGTATTAGAGATTCTCGAAGAGATTCTCGAAGAGACCCGTGTAATAAAGACCCGGGTAGAGTATTGTGATGTGATTGTGTTGTGGTAGTAGGAACTGCAGTAACAGGGGCGTTTAGGTTTACCATTGTGGGCGTGCTAGGCTTAAAATGAGAATATGAGTGCTGGGGTTGTTGTGGAGAAGGAGCGAGTGCTGCTGTGGAAACAGAAGGAAGGGTTAGGGTTTTACTATCGATAGAGGTGATAAGCTTGGTTATCGGGGGAACCGTCGGCGAACGGGCGGCAAGCGAGGAAGCGGAGGAAGAGAGTGAGGACAAAAGAGCCGAGGAGGACGAGATGTAAGAAGTAGCCATAAGGGTGGTAGCCAAAGCTGGATCAGCAGCAGCAGCAACTGCTTCCGCTTCTGCTTCTGCTGCTGTTGTAGAAAAAGAGGAAGAAGGAGAAGAAGAGGAGGATGATGAGGAAGAAGTGAGGTTATTTACAGAAGTTGCTGGGACCATTGAGGGTGTTGTAGTAGTTGTTGTTGCTGTACTATTTGTTGTGGGCAAGATCATAGCGGTGGTGTTAATTGTAGAGTTTGAAATCTTTGGAGCCAAAGTTTTGGGAGAAGATATAGAGTAAGAGGAAAGGGCTGGGGAGGAAGAGAGAGCAGAGGAGGAAAGAGTTGGGGAAAGGTTAAGAGATGGAGTTGGGGTTGATGCTATGGAGAATGTTGGTGGAGTTGTTGTGATTGCAGTAATAGAAGGAGGAGTAGTGGTGGATATTTCAGAGTCTTTGAGACTTGATGTAGTTGTAGTGGTAGTTTTAGTTGATATTTGTCTTGGGGCTATAATGGCGGCGTCTTTTTGGAGAAGAGCGAATATTGGGTTTGCTTGAGGATGTTGTGGTAATGGCTGTGGCTGAGGAAGTGATTGGTGGTGATGGTGGTGCTTATTGTGAAGATCATGTTGTATAGCAGACATTTTTGGTTGTTTCAAAAGATGAAAAAAGAAGAAGAAGAAAAAGAAAAAAGGATAATAGAGAAGAAATTTTAAGAATTAAAAAAAAAAAAAATTTTAAGAATTAAAAAAAAAAAAAAGAAAAATTCCATGCGATGACGATGTGATGATTTTATTTTTGGTTTTAAAGATAATAGAAAAAAAAAATTAATAATAATAAAAGGTCGTTGACCACCAAATCTTTATTTTTTTTTTATTTTTTTTCTTCCTATTGTTGTTGTTGTTGTCACAAGAAATATATATTTATTTTTTATTTTCAGGGCGCCTTTTTTTTTTTTTATTTATTTCTTTTTTTTAAAGTAAAAATATTTATTATTTGAATCCTTTTTTTTTTTTTTTTTTTTTAATCATCAACTTTTTTCAGATGAGTCCCAAGCTTTGACAAGTTGATCATATGTTTACTTTTCTAATAGCGTTTGTTATTTAGTGTGTAATGCTTTTGAAAAGAAATAAATTTTTTTTTTGTTTTCTTTCTTTTTTTTTTTTTGGTCAATCGTTTACTTTGGGCTGCACGCGTTGGGTTATCTGACCCAATTGGGCTTATCTTGAGAGGGAATATGGAGAACCAGAACGGAAAAACGAACAAGAAAAAATTTTTTTCAGTTGATAAAAAAAAAAAAAATTACAAATGATAATACCAAAGACTTTGTACTTTAAAAGATAAGTTGACGAAGAAAATCATAAACTGCACTGCAGCAACAATCTTCTAGACGAATTCAATCTTCTAGGCTGCAATTGGACATGTATGGTCAGACCTATTAGAAAAAAAAATAGCTTGCTATATATAGTATTGAATTTTGAGCTTGTATCTAACAATCTTAAAATCTTCTACCTTGTTCTAATTTTTTTGTGCTTCAATTCTTTTAATTGAAGGTTTATTTACAAAACTTCGAAACTTTGGCAAATCAAAATATGTGAAAAAATAAACCCTATTTATTCAGACAAATGAAATAAAATTTTTTTTTTCCCCTCCCCAATTCCAGACGGTTGCAAAAGAAATGAAAAATACACGTGATTATTTTTAATTAATTACTAATTAATTACTAATTAGTAACATACTTTGTAATTAATTAGTAATTAATTTCAAAGTATGTTATTAACTACATTACAAAATATGCTACAAAATATGTTACATCATATACTAAAAAGTACGTTACAAAAGTGATGTTACACACCCTTTCTATTATTTTTTTATTTCTTCAACGCCTGAAGACCCACTCATCTTTCTTTTTAAGCTCCGCTTGCAACTCCGATCTGATATCCGGAGGCCCTTATTGTTGAAAAAACCTGTCTAACTCAATTTCCCTTATTGTTGTTGGTATTTTTTTTTTTTCGATTTCAACTGATCTTACTACTGTTATCAAATACTGATATATAACATAACAATTTTTCTTATAAAAAACACATTTAGATTTGATTTAATTTTTTTTCTTTCAAATATATTTCACCTTCATCACTCAAAAACCCATCTTTTGATTTTTATTTTATTAATCTTTTCGTTGTCCTTTCCCTTCCTTCTTTCTACCCCCCCTGCGTTGACGTAACGGTGGGAACGGCTGAGTTGCAACATCTTTTTTAGATTTCTTTTGTAACAACTTTTAAGTATTTTTAGTGGTGCACAGAAAAAATTTTTGTTTTTTCCACCACCACCACCAAAAAAAATAAACGAAAACATTTTGTTACACACAAAATCAAATCACCAATACACCATACCATACATTAAACAACACACACAAAAACTAAACCATCCAAAAACTAACCATCACCAAAAAAAATAAAAATAAAAAAAATCCCACAGCCACCATATAAAATCTTCCACGTTGTCCACATAAACACCTCACTGCACAAACTCATTATTAACACGAAAACCTACCCCTTCAATATCATCATCTTCATAATTATCCATTCTTTTTAACAAAATATTTACTCTTTTTCCTCTTTTCCCCATCATTCTATCACGCTGCTAATTCATCTTCCCACTCAATGCAGCAGCAGCAGCAGCAGCAGCAACAACAACAACAACAAACGCAGCAGCAGCAGCAGCAGCCGCTCTCGGCCATCCCTCAGCAGCTTGCACCAGGTGTCGTTCGCTCTCGTGCTCGTGCTGGAACCCTCCCTTCTCGATTGCCTTTAGGAATTATTCAATCCTCGCCTTCTCCATCTTTTTCAAATGCATTAACTCCTCCTCCTCTTGTTTCCTCTACATCTCCACCACCTAACCCTCTTGGGTCTTGCCAATCATCATCTTCTTCCTCCCCCTTTTTAACTGCCTCTTCTTCAGATCCTCATCACCCTATTGTAACTTCCGGTCAACCTACTTCAACTCCTTCTCAGATTTATAATAACCCTCGCGTCGCTTCTGTGATTGCATCATCCTCTCCTCTAGCAAGACCTCCAAGCCAGTTTGGCCCAAGCTCCTCTACCTCCTCTCTTCCTGCAAATGATCTTTTTGATCCCTACCGTACTGAAATCCCTTTTACTACCCCTTCGTCATCAGCCCCACACTCTTCTTCTTCTTCGACTTCTTCTTCAACTTCCTCTTCTGCATCTTCTGCATCTTCTGCATCTTCTGCATCTTCTGCATCTTCAACAACTTCAACAACTTCAACAACTTCAACAACTTCAACAACTTCAACAACTTCAACAGCAAACATATCTGCCTCAAGACTTCGCTCAGGGTCTTTAAATATTCTTTCAGATCGGTCTCATATATACCCTTCACTTGTTAGTTCTATATGGTCCCAACCAAGAGGTTCATCTTTACTTTCAGAATCAAAAAGAACTTCTCAATCGTCTCTTTTTGATGATCAACCACAGCAGCAAAATTCTCCGCAACAACAACAACAACAATCTCAATCATCTCCACAACCTCTTCGTCAACAATCTCCACCAAGATCAATGGATCAACAACAACAACAACAACAACACCAGCAGCAGCATTCGCCGCAACATCAACAACAACCTCAGGATACAATCGACCCCCTTCAACCCTTTTATAAAAGTCTTACCATGCGCACAGACCCAAGCCGCATGCGTTCATATACTGTAAATACTCTTCCTTATGGTCTGGTACCGTTTGACTCGTCACCTTCTTCTTCTAATACCACTACCACTACGTCTCCTGAAGATATCACTCAACAACAACAGCAACAAATCCAGCAGTATTCTCAAACAACTTCTTCTTCTTCCTCTTCCTCTCTTAACCATGTCACTAATGCTACAGATATTCCAGCAACTTCGCCAACCCGTCACCAAGCATTTATTACAGGCAATAGGCCTCGTGCTCAAACGACTGCTAGTGCTTTTGACCCTCCTTTATCTATTGGAAACGTCCCCTTGATTAGATTATCCATGTCTCAACAACATCAACAACATCAGCAGCACCAGCAGCACCAGCAGCACCAGCAACATCAGCAACATCAGCAACATCAGCAAAACCAGCAACTTCAACAACATCAGCACTTACTCTATCATGACCCCCATGAATTTATTTTTAACCCCCCCGTTGATGAAGTGGGACCTACTCGTTCTCTTTGGCTAGGCAATATCCCGGCATCAACTACCTCCTATGCTCTTCAAGCTATTTTCAGCTCCTACGGTACAGTCGAGTCGGCTCGTGTTCTACCACACAAAAATTGCGGATTTGTCAATTTTGTTAATACTGAAAGCGCAATTCAAGCTAAAGACGTTCTCAATGGCAAGGAACTTTTTTCCGGAACTGGGCCTTGCCGGGTTACTTTTACAAAGGTTGTCGACCTTCAATCCATTGGTTACGATTTAGACTCACCAGAGTCTTCTACTACTCCTTTATCCACTCAACAGTCTGCTCAGCAACAATCTAGTCAACAGCAGCAACCATCTTCTCCTTTACAAAAGCATTCACCTTCTACAAAAAATGAAATTATTGAATATTCAGTTACTGACAAAGATGCATCCACAGATACTACTCTTTTAGATCCTCCTAAATCTCTTGAAGAAATTGCTGACGATTTAGTCACTACTGTTGCTGACCTTGGTGCAGATCCCACGGAGCAGGCCCAGATTGCTGCCTCGGTCAAACGCGCCCTTACCTTTAACACTTTTTACTCGGAGATTGGCACTGTTCCAGACCCTCGTCCGGACCGAATTTATGATGCTCCCACGCTTCGCGAAGTTCGCAAAAAGATTGACGGCGGCACATGTTCTACTGAGGAAATTGAAGACATTGCTCTAGACATTTTGGATGAAATAGCAGAGCTCTCCAGTGATTATGTTGGTAATACTGTTGTCCAAAAGCTTTTTGATATCTGCTCAGAGCCTATTAAGGATATGATGCTCAAGAAGATCTCCCCCTACATGTCACAAATCAGTATTCATAAGAATGGCACCTGGGCTGCCCAAAAAATCATTTCTGTTGCTGGAACAAGCCGCCAAATCAACATGATTACTGAGGCCCTTCATCCATATACAGTACATTTATTTTTGGATCAATTTGGAAATTATGCCATTCAATGTGTCCTCAAGTTTGGTTCCCCCTGGAATGACTTTATTTTTGAAACTATGCTCTCCAAATTTTGGGAAATCGCTCAGGGTCGTTTTGGAGCCCGCGCTATGCGTGCATGTCTCGAAAGCCACTATGTCAGCAAGGAACAACAGCGCATGATTGCTTCTGCAATCACCATGCATGCTGTCCAACTTGCAACAAATGCCAATGGCGCCCTTCTTCTCACTTGGTTCCTTGACACTTATACTGTCCCGAACCGTCACACTATCTTGGCTCCGCGCCTAATCCCCCATCTCGTCCAACTCGGCACTCATAAACTTGCTTCGCTTACTGTTTTGAAGGTTGTCAACTACCGTTCCGAGCCTGGTGCTCGGCAGGCCATTTTCGATACCCTTTTCAACCCCACCGAGGAATCACCGAGTCCTGTTCTTGAGCAGATTCTTAACCATTCCTACGGACCAACTTTTATTTTTAAAATTGTTTCCACTCCGTTGCTTGAGGGTTCTGAGCGCCAAAATGCAATTTCTAAGATTCGCCAGGTTCTCATTTCCATCAAGGCTCTTCCAGCACAAGGCTACAAGCGACTTATGGACGAGGTTGGTATTTCTACTCGCACAGCTCCACTTATGAGTAATGGTCCAAACAGCAACGGAAATAATGGCCGTTCGATGATGAATGGCAATAATAACAATAGTAACAATATGAATTCTAATATCAATAATAATTCTTCACGTGGTGGATATTATCAGATGCGCAATTCTAACCAGCGTCAACAAAGGATGGGTGGTGGTAATGGTGGTGGCTCTTATATGATGCATCATCATAACCATCATCAACAACATTACTTTAATTCTCCCTTGATTGCTATGCAGCGCGGTGATCAGTCTCAATTATCTTCACCTAATGGCTATATTTCCCAAGGTGATATCGTATACCAATATGGACAATACCAGCCGGCTCCTCCTCATGGACCTCCTCCCCCACAAATGCTTGGCCTGGGTGCGGTCTCGCCTAACTCTCCATATGATTTAGCATTATTACAGCAACAGTTTGATACAATGGGACTTAGTGGTGGTACTGCCGATGGCGGAATGTCTAATACGACGGCAGCAACAAGAGCATCTAACGGAAATAATGGTGATGCGGTTGGTGCGAGCACTTCGTATACAGGTTACTTGGTTAATGCAAATGGTATGCTTGCTGCTGGCGGCGGGCCTGTGCTCGGCGTGACGCAGGCGCACGACGGGATGCCTGTTCCCAGTTTAGGTGGTGCTCCTGGAGTGTATTACCAGCAGCAGCAACAGCAGCAACAGCAGCAACAGCAGCAACAGCAGCAACAACAACAACAGCAACAATCTCAGGTGATGACAGGGATGCTATCACAGCAACAGCAGCTTCAACAGGGGCAACTTCGGCAACAGAATCTTGCTCAACACCAACGGATTCAAAGCATGGGGTACACTGGATATTCGACGCATTAGACCAGAGTTGTTGATCGGGTTTTGTAAAATTTTTTGAATATTTTTGTGGAAACTTTTTTTCTGCTTTTTGAAGAAGAATTTAAAGGTTTTACTAAAATATGAAGAAAATATTTTTTTAAAAAAAGAAAAAAAAAAGAGGTTGTACTTTTTCTTTAAAAAAAAGATTTTAAAAGGGCAACAATTGAGCTGGATATTGAGATGGAAACTAAAAAAGAACAAAAAAGGAAAAAAAATTAATAAAATACTAAAAAATAAAAATATGGGCTGTACCCATAAAATTTAAAAGTTTTTTTTTTTTAAAAAATAAAAAAAAAACATGTACATTTTTTTTTTTGAAACACTAAAACAACAATTACTACTTTATATATATATATATATAATCTTTTGTAAAAAAAATCAAATAAAAATCAAATAAAACTAAAATTTTAACCAATTTTTAATGAAGGAAAACAATTTCAAACTAATATACATTTCCAATTATAATATATATATATAATAGGTATATATACCTATTATTTTTCACTTGTAAATTACTCGTCCTTGTCATGACGAACAGGTAACGTGCGGAGTACATCTTCAGCACGCTTAGCTTCGCGTGCAAACATATTCACCAACTGATTACTCTTATCCATCATTGCATCATACGCCACCTCCGACATGTGCTCAAACACCTCGGCCAGCGTCTTATCCAGCAACCCATGCTCTGCAATCCAATCCTCTTTCGACCCAACACGGGTCCCAAACACGTCCTCTCCCTCCACTTCACGTAGCACTTCAAACACCTCGTCCAGATCCGCAGCTGTCCATCCGTTTGCCTCGCGTCCAACAGCCGCCCCACACGGCGTTGCCAGCATGTGCGAGTGTTTGGCAAGATGGTGTAGAGCGCGCGCTGACAGTGGTGCAGTCGCCGGTGTTCCTATCCGCGACTTTTGACTCGGTGGAGTTCCTGCAACCGCCGATATTGTTTTTGGTGTTGCCTTTGTACCTTTTGGTGTGACTCCACGTGTGCGTTTCAAAGGTGTTGTTTTTTCAAGACCGTCATGGCTCACCAAAATCATGCAATCATCATCGTCGTTATCATTATCATCTCCTACCTCAGAATCCGCGTAATTACCCACATCCTCCATCTCTATATCATCCCGCGCAGGCGAGCCTTGACGGCTGTCCCGGCACGGCGATTGTCCAGGATTTCCTGCGTTTTGCTGGGCTGGCGAAGACGGGACCAAAACCGGAGAAGATGGTAACGGGGCTGGCGATGCAAACTTGCCATGTTCTTTGGTAGCAGCAGCTTCTGTTCCTTCACTCAGCCGCGACCAGTTGTCGGCATGTTGCGCGCGAGCCAGCGGCGATTGTGGTGCCACTTGTGGTGACGATACCCGTTGTGGGGAAGACACTAGGATCGGAGACGATTGTGCTTGTGGTGGGGGCAACGGTAATGGTCGAGCACCAGTAACCTCCGGATCATGATATATTTGCGGCGATTCATTACGCTTGGCTGGAGTTGCAGTTTTGCTACTGAATAGTCGGTCAGGTTTTTTGGGAGAAATAATAAACCTTTGTGCAGGCTGCTGCTGTTGTTGTTTAGGCGATGGTGGACTACTTTGTAAATTGTCAAAAGTTGAATTAACTTCGGGATTTTTATGAATAGGATCATCATTGTGACTTTTTCCCAAGAGTTTAACCTTGTTTTCTTCATCAATTTCAACTTCATTGTTTTCCTTTTCCTCAGCCTGTTTCTCATCTCCAATAAGATCAGCTAGTCCTATGGGAACAGAAGGAATCGTCGGCATGGGTGAAAACGGGGTTTTCCTCGGTGTTGCGCGTGATTGTCTCTCTGCTATGGGTTTAATCGGCGTTCCATGAATTGTAGAAGCTCGTGCAAAAAGTGCCGATGACGCTGTTTTCGCTCGATCCAAGCTTTCTTTGAGACTTTGTGACCGGTCAACAACAATATCCAATGCACTTTGTTGTTCTTTTAGTCGTGGCGAAAATGTCGGTGGTTTTTTAGGGAACCGTGGAGAATTTAATGTTGGTGCCCCTCCAGACAATCTTGGAGAAGCTGGCAAAAGTTCTTCAAACTTTGAAATTTTTTCGGAAACTGATCCAATGTTATTATTGCCAATACGTATTCCAGAAGAAGAAGCCATGGAATCGTAAGGTTTGGGTAAAAACTCGCGATACTTTTTCAAGCGGGCTACTGGAGTCATTCCAAAAACCTCGTTATCAGAGTCATCTTGTCTAGTTATTCGCTTTTTTTTAACAGAACTAGGAACCAAGTCCGGTAGCGTCGCCCCAGAAAATAGATTGCTTTCGTCTTCACTTTCTAAGGAAGACAGTCGAAACTTTTTCAGCGACGCTTTGGTTGCTGGCGGCTCTCCTGGTGGAGCACTGGGCAGTGGGGCTCGAGGTTTTTTGGGCTTGGTATGTTTTTCATATTCTAAATCTGAAAATGAACTCGAGCGTCGCTTTCTCGACGACCGATCGTCTGAATCTTCGTACTCATCTTCGTCATCATCAATGATAGCCTCATCCTCGTCCTCATCCTCGTCTTCATCCTCGTCTTCATCCTCGTCCTCTTCTTCATCTAATTCGTCATCATTGTCATCTTCTTCTAATTCATCTTCAATTTCACTTTCAACAAATTTTGAAGATTGTTTTTTTGACGCTGTACGTCTTGCACGAAGCCTTCTTCCTGAGGAAGGATCCGCAAGCTCTTCAGCAGGCCCTATTGATGACGATGCTTCTGGGGTAGTGTGTCCATCAGCAGATGGTGAGGATGGTACATATGAGGCACATGTGAACATAAAACATTTTGGCGACCGCTTCTTGTGCTCTGCTATAGGGTTATCCTGCGGATCCCAGTCTTCAAGTGAACGACCGCAGTACTGACAGCACACTGACTCGTCGCCATTGTCACATGGATCAAAAAAAAACCCTGCTCTTGCCAGATTAACACTGTTAGGGGTCCAGCCCTTTTTAGTGTCATGCGGCCACAGAGATTTTGCAGTTTTTAGAAATGAATCCACAATGCTAATACCCAGAGCTGTAGAATTGAGCAGCACCTTACGTTTTTCTCGTTCCGAAAGCGGATGAAAAAAAGACTCTAATCTTGTCAGCACAGAGTTCTCGCTATATGGGTCGTGAGCTGGATCAAAATAATCATGACCTGTATCGTCAACAAGTTTCCACGGGGCTTTGCGCAGAATGGCCTTGGAGCACTGCGCATTGTGCTCATAATGAACTTCAACAGGGTCATCCTCTGGGTCCCAGCCATCAATTACACACCCACACATGTAACACGTCACAGCATCACCAGCATCGGTGCCCGTGCTTGGGGTGAAGTAGAAGCCACTTTCAGCCATGTGGTACTCAGAAGGCGATTCATGGGGCCACCGGACCTTTCTTGGACGGCCCTTTAAACCACGCATGGTAGCACCACGAAACGTTTCTTTTCGAGCCTCCAGCAGATGGTATTTTTTCTTGGGCGGCATTTTGGAGGTGATAGTAGTGTGGTTGTTGTTTTAAAAAAGGTGTGCAAGTATTTTGAATTGGAAGAAAGAAAAAAAAAACAACAACAACAACAAACTCGCTTAAAGGAGGCTTTTGTTTATTTTTGACCTTTCATGCATCAGTTACGGACTGTAATATTTCAGCGTGCTTATTATTACGCAGGGCTTAAGATATTGTGGTGACCCTTACTTTTATTTTTCAAACACTGCTTCCCAAAACTGCATTTGACTAACTATCATATCTTAAAGACATAAACTCTTTTAGTAATCCTACAATTTTAAAATGTCAAAAGCCATTGATACTCTTTTGGAAGCATATAAACAAGAAAAGGCTTTTACGGCTCCACCTTCAGAGCTTCATGATTTGGCCAAACAGTCGCGCTACGTACTTAAGACGCAGCGAGGTAGCTTAGACGATTCTACCACGTGGAACCTTGTGCAACAACACTTTTACCTCATGCTCATGACTGGCGATGACGCTGCAGCTGAACTAGCGTTGCAAGAGCTGAAGGCCCGTTTTGGTGAGGATAATGAGCGTATTGTTTTGTGTCAAACCCAATACATTGAAGTGACTGAAGGTCTGGCCAAGGCCGAGGAGTTTCTCAAGTCGCGGGACGAAAAGGAGATTGTAAGTAGTAGAAATTTTTTGGAATGGTTTATTGAACTAACACCGAGAAACTTTAGATTCCTATGAAGCGAAGAATTGCACTTGACAAATTTAGAAACGATTACAAGACATTTATTGGAAACTTAAAGGTTCTTGTAGGCTATATTCCGATTGATGCAGAAATGTGGGCCGAGCTGGGTGAAGCCTACAGCACAATTCAAGAGTGAGTGTTAATTGAATTCTCTCTTGGTTTTAAATTCACTCTAACATGTTTAGATACCGGAAAGCCATTTTCTCATACCAGGAGGTCCTGCTGTTTGCCCCTCAGGCATATAATATATTTGCCCGTATCGGTGAGCTTTATCATGCAGCGGCACTTCAAGAGGCTGGGAGCTTAGACTCTGTTTCTTCGCTTAATAACGGTACCAAAGAGAACGTAATAAATTCTCTTAAGCAAGGGTTGAAGAACTTCCTGCGGTCAGTTGAGCTTTGCCCTGTGTATATCCGCGGCTGGGCTGGCGTGCAGGTGGTGAGCACCGAGGCACTTAAATTCATCGAAGCTGGCAAGGCTTCGTCTCTTCTCACAGATAAGGAGCTCAAATACTTTAAGCAGTTTGCAGAAATTTCTGAGCGTAATCTGCTGTATGCATCAAGCGAAAAGGGTGCCAGCAAAACTGACATTGAAGCGGCCAAGGCTATTTTACGGGATTATTAATGAGGGAAAGAGGGGGAAGAAGAAGAATGTATGCCTTTGTAATTAGTATATATTTAATAGTATCCACTTTTTAGAGACTGCTCTATTCTACTAATCTCTGCCAGACTGGTTGCACTCTTAAGCTGTTGGCGTAACGCGTCCTTTTCTTTTTCAGTCATCTCTTTGCGGGTAGTAGTAGTTGTAGTTGCACCTGGAACAGACCCATCTGCATCAACATTGAAAGTACGCGTCCGTGCACTACCTAAAATCTGTGCAGCAAGTTCTGTAGGCTGATCAGGAGAAGTGCCAAAGAGCTCCTTTGCACGCACTCGCTCGGCATCTTTGACTTTTTGAAAATCTAATACACGTATATGAGGGTTTTGCCAGATAACCCATAAGCGATAATAGTCCTTGTAAGTCACTGGATTATCAACAAGTGAAAGATAGGCCAAGTTGGGTAGTTGAGAGAGTGGTACAAGGTCAGCTAAGTTGGCTAGATGGTTATTAGAAAGAACCAGCATCTCAAGGTTAGGCAATGATTTTGCAAAAGAAGATGAGTTAATGCTGTTGATTCGATTTCGTGATATGAGAAGGGTTTTCAGCCGGGTCATTTGTGGGAAGTTTCCCAGAACCGTGATATTATTGTCAGTAAGATCAATGGATTCATTAAGATCCCTAGTAACGCCCAAATTCTCAATCACTGGGATATTATTTCCTAAGAAAAGCAAAAGAAAGATGTCAGGTAAAAAAGAAAAAATTAATAACCGGGTTTGAAAACTACATACAAACATACCTCGCAGTAACAGTTCACGGTCGGAAATGGCATTTATATAAGATGGAGCAGAAAGCAGAAGCTCAGGTGTGAGTTTCATTGTGGTGGTGGGGTTGAAAAAGAAAAAAAAAAATTCCTCGTATAATTTTTTTTATTTTTTTCACCACCAGATACATAACTCGTAAGACCACCTCCACCACTACCACCATACCCAATCAACCGAACAATCAAATAAAGGATATGAACAATAGATACGCCAAAGTACCATTGCCAACTACAGGTGTTCCTAAGGAACACAAAATTTATGGCTGGAGAATTAAAACCGTGCGCAATCCAATCTTGTCATCTGCAGAAATTGACACAGCCACTGATAAACTACAAATCCCCATGCCTGAAATGATTTTCGGTAATAACTACGTTGAAATCGCGTACCTGGGTCCAACTGGACAAGAATCTCCATACTGGACTTTACGTTTTGATACACTTAGCGCTCTGGATTGTGTGGATAAAACTGGTACTCAGAACAAGCTTGTTCAAGTTGCTCATTCTAAAGCATGGCAAAAGTCGTCTGAAAAAACAGCTCAGGAATGCCCTGATGAAATTCATGGTATCTTGAAGCCATATGACTGGACATACACTTCTGACTATCGGGGCGATGTCAGTAGTTTGAAACCAGAGCACGCATTACAGGAAGTGACAGTGGAGACCCATGGACAATCGGTTTTTGACGAGCATGCATTACCATTTGACAAGTTAAAGAAGCCCGAACCCATTGAGTTTTATGACGAAGTGGTACTATATGAGGACGAGCTAGGTGACAATGGCATTGTGTCTTTGTCAGTTAAGGTGCGTGTAATGCCGCTTCGACTATTGTTGCTTGCACGTTTGTTTCTGCGAGTAGACGGGGTACTGTTCCGTGTTCGTGATACCCGTGTGTATATCGACTTTGAGTACCAAGACTCGGGTGCACCGCGTGTAATTCGCGAGTACACTGAGCATGAGGATACATATGATTCAGTGAAGCGCAAGATTCCAAGGGCTGCGCGTGACTATAGCATGTACTTACGGGATGAAAACTGGGTTGCAGCTCACACTCCAGTAACAAAGTTTATTCGTGAATACAGTCATTTGAAAGAAGGTAAAGAAAAAGAACAGCAGAAAGAAAAGAGTTGAGGACCACGTTTTGATTAACCTGGATACTATTAGACACACAAAAGATAGTAAAAAATGGGCAATTTGAGTGTTCCCTGGAGATTAAGAAATGGATTTCAGTGAGCACTAAGGATTTGATACATTCAATAAAAAAAATAAAAAAGGGTCTTATTAAGGCAACACAATTGTATGGGAAGTTAGGGCGGTTGAAGAAAAGGATTTTTCAAGGAAATGATTGTTTCCTGATTTGAAAAAAAAAAAAAAAAAAAAAAAAAAAGTTAATTACGGGGAAGTAATTTGCTCACCAGTGACCTCCAGGGTTGGTTTATTTGCTCAGCTCAAACACCAATGAGGTCTCTTGTGAATGTTGATTTATAATATCACTGAATATCAAAAAAAAACAAATCTCTTTCCAGATATAAAAGGGCCACTATGATTGACTCTTTTTTTAATCTTTTTTTAATCTTTTTTTTAAAAAATTTCGCTTTTTTATTAATTTTTTCAATCATCATTTATTCAATTCTTATCCTATTAATCACTAAAAATGAAGGACAACAAGCCCGGACCTAACTTCAACGCCAATTTTATTTCGTACGATATTCACACGTACTACAACCAAAACTATGAGGGCTCACGCCAGGAGGCCAAGGCTTTGTACGACAAGCTTGTTGAAGACTTTTCAGACGAAATTGCCAAGGGCGAGCTCAATGTTTATGACCTGGTGGATGAACCTGCTGGTATCCACCCCATTGGCATGTGGGAGATTGACTTTAAAAGTCCCGAGTTGTTTTCTCGGCTGGTTCCTTGGTACCAGTGGAATCACGGTAACTTATCTGTCCTTGTGCACCCTTTCTCATCCAAAGGTGCTCGTGCAGATCATACTAATCACGCTTTGTGGATTGGTGATCGTGTGAATCTCATCAAGGACAAGTTGTAAAAAAACAAACTAAAAAAAAAATGAGGCTGAGGCTGAGGCTGAGGCTGAGGCTGAAGCTGAGGAAACCTTAAATCTGATGTGTGGTGTTGCTTGTTTAATTTATTTTTTACTTTTCCTGTCATCTAATCATAACTATCCATGTATTTTAAATAAATTTGTTTTTTTTTTTATCTATATTACATTTCCAAAGAAAAATTTTCAAAGTGTCGTCGTTACATTCAACTCTACTAATTATTTCCGGGGTTTTATTCAGTATTTTCATAGTACTCATGGCTATAACACCTTTGGACCGCACAATAAATAATCAGTCTCCTACATTCTTGTTTCTATTTAGTGCCATTGTGGTGGCTGCTGCAACACTAACTCTCACAGGCAACCCCTTGGGTAAAGGTGAAAATGATGACAGTGACAAGAAAGATTCTTCAAAACGAATTTCGAGATCAAAGAAGCGCCGGATGGATAAGATCAAGGAGCTCAAGGCTGTGGGTCAAGCTGCTGATGAAAAAATGGCCCAAGAGAAACACAAGAAGCAATCAATTCCGTCGCCACCGTCGTCACCGTCGCCACCTAAGAGAAAGCAGCAAGAAAATAGTGAAGTTCCCGGGTCTTACCCTGGAGAAAGAAGTTTTTACAATAAAAATGAGAACCAAAGTGATAGTGAAGGCGAAGATCAAAGCGGGTCTTTGAAGTATGCTGGACAGGTATAGGTATACTGACTTTTCATTTATTACAGACATTAGTTAAACTATTTCAATTAAAAACGTTTCCCTGTTGCCGTCAAGACTTAAATATACGCTTATCTTTAGTATTTTTAATAATACGGCTAAGCACGTGATTTTAGTTTATTTTGACTCGGGTGGTCACGGAAATTTCGCCATGACACGCCAGCCAAGTTTTTCTTTGGCACTAAAGAAAAAGAAATAAAAAAATTCCGCTCCACTATTTTCTTTCTTACAATAACGAAAGAAATCCCATCTTTAACTAAACCATCCGAACTTCCCAATCTAAACTCACTCATTCACTCACTCATCCATCTATATCTTCATTAATATACCAAAATGTCTGAAGCTAAGCCCCAGATCTTGGACTCTATTCTTGATCAGATTGGCAATACTCCTCTGGTCAGACTCAACAAAATTCCCCAGTCTTTGGGAATCGAAGCCACGTTTTGTAAGTTTTTATTTTTTTAAAAAAAAACAAAGAATAACCATGACTTTAACTTGTTTCTAACTAATAATCACACAACAGTGGCCAAGGTTGAGCTTTTCAATGCTGGCGGTTCTGTCAAGGACCGCATTGCCAAGCGAATGGTTCTAGAGGCAGAGAAGGATGGGACTCTTAAGCCTGGCTACACACTGATTGAGCCAACTTCTGGTAACACTGGTATTGGTCTTGCACTTGTTGGTGCCGTCCGTGGTTACCGTACCATCATCACACTTCCCGAAAAAATGTCTAATGAAAAGGTTTCTGTTCTTAAGGCTCTTGGTGCTGAAATTGTGCGTACTCCTACTGAGGCTGCCTGGGACTCTCCGGAGTCGCACATTGGAGTTGCTAAGCGCCTTCAAAAGGAAATTCCCAACGCTGTGATTTTGGACCAGTATGGCAATGTCAACAATCCCCTTGCCCATGAATACGGCACTGGTGAAGAAATCTGGGAACAGACTGGTGGTAAGATTGACTACCTTGTTGCTGGTGCCGGTACTGGTGGTACTATCACCGGTATCGCCAAGGCTCTCAAAAAGCACAACCCCGCCATAAAGGTTATTGGTGCCGACCCTAAGGGTTCCATTCTTGCTTTGCCCGAGACCCTTAACGGTGACATTGAGTCTTACCAAGTTGAAGGCATTGGCTATGACTTTGTCCCCGATGTTCTTGACCGTAACACTATTGACGAGTGGGTCAAGACTGAAGACCGTGAGTCGTTTTTGCTTGCACGCAGACTCATTAAAGAAGAAGGTATTCTTGTGGGTGGTTCCAGTGGTTCTGCTCTTGCGGCTGCCATCCGCATTGCTAAAGAAAAGAAGCTCACTAAAGATGATGTTGTCGTTGTTGTGCTCCCTGACTCAGTGCGCTCCTATCTTACCAAGTTTATTGACGACGACTGGATGAAGTACAATGGCTTTTTGGATGCTGAGACTCTTGCCGAACAAGCCAACAAGAAAAAGCAGTACAAGGGTGCTACAATTGCTGACCTCAACCTTAAGCCTGTTGTTGCCGTTAAGACCAAACAGCCCGTTGCCACTGCCATTGAGATTTTACAGAAGAATGGTTTTGACCAACTTCCCGTTTTAACTGAATCAGGAAAGCTGGCTGGTCTTATTACCCTTGGTAATCTGCTTTCATATCTTTCTTCTGGTCGTATTACTACTAGTGCACCTGTCGAAGATGCTATGATTGATTTCCGCAAGCTTCACGAGTTTACCTCCAATCCTGCCGAATCTGCAGTCAACATTGGCACTGCCACTCCTATTCCAGCTGCCCAGCAAAAGACCTCCCAAAAGAAGACCTTTGCCGAAATTACCGTTGATACCCCTCTGTCGGCCCTATCAAGATTCTTTGAGCACAAGTCATCAGCCATTGTTACTGAGCGTGATGGCAACACTCATAAGCCCGTTCACATTGTGACCAAGGTGGATTTGCTGGCTTATTTGGCCAAGCACAATTAAAGAAAAAAATGAAAATGAAAGAAAAAAATAGAAGTTTTGATAATGTGTGGGAAGAAAAAAGTTTCATGTGAAATCAAGTATGTAATAAAACTTTATGATATATGACTTATGCTTGTCATGTGATTTAAGACATTTAGGTCTGAGAAGAATGCTCGGCACCTTTCACTCCATCTCATCGTACATCCTCCGTAGTTACATCAGACGTTGTCCATTCAGGAAGACCTTTTAATCTTTTCATAAACGACGCCAATGATATAATTTCCAGGAATCGTACAAAGTTCAATACTTGACAACTATTTTACATTTTCTTAGGCGTCAAGTTTTAGCTCTTCTTTTCTTCATGCGTTAAAAATTTACATTGACCAAGCTTTGGAAAACCAAACCCAATCAAAATAGATATTGTCTTAGTATAATACCTACATCAGCAGAACTCTACAGTTTGCATAATAAATTATAAAAAAAAACTACAAATTTATAATTTATGTTGTAGTACAGTAAACATAAGGAAGAAATAGGTTCTGGTATTTCGCGATAAAAAAAAGTAAAAGAAGGGTAGAAATTTTATTAAAAATATTATATATGCCTAAAGCCATCTTACATAAAAAAAATTAAAATTCAATTAAACAATATATCACCTTGCAGGGTGATATATTGTTTAATTTTTAATCTCTGATGCTACTAAATTTTTCCAAAGAAATCGACTTCACACACATTATTTCAGACTTAATCATCATCACAAATGAAATTGTTCTTTACAAATAACACCATATAAGTTACACATGATACTTCTTTCTGTTTGAAGTTTCTTTTTCTTATTTAAAATGCAAAAAAAAAAAAAAAAAAAATTTAATATCTCTTTCTCTTCTTCGTTAAACAACCATCCACCAAGCAACTCCCAGCATCAAAACAATCACAACAGCCGTGATGATTCCAGCTCCTGCACGGTCTTTTGACGTCACAGTAATATCGTTTGAAACATAGGTATTTGTACGGTACCCTGTCCCTGCAGAGCCATTACCTGTTGACGATGCTCCAGTGTCACTTGTGAGAGGCGGTGGCCGTGTCCACACCTGTGTATTAAGAAGCAGCTCTAGTGCGCTCATCTGCTCACCAAGTCCGTACATGCCATCCCATCCATCTTGACTCCAATCAAGACCGCACGTATGGCCGTCGGTACCGCCACTGCAAGACGTTATCACACCCTGTGCTGAAGCTAAAAGATAAGTTTGGATCTCATCATTCATTTCCGGAGCCAGAAGACACACATGACCTAAAAATCGAGAAAAAATGGCTTTAAAGCAGCGCTGGTCATTGTTGCAGCGCCCTGTTGGCTGGCAGGCAGCTTCGTACATAATCTTGGAGTTTGCAAGAAAAAACACCGTAGAGCGAGACCATATGTGTGTTATTCGTGTAAGCCACTTGGCATCACCTGTATGGTTGTACATAAATGCTGCACCTGAAAGAAACAGTCCGGTATTATAAGTCCATTCTAACGCTGAAACCTCAGTACAATTATCGGAAATAAATCCACCATCATATACGGGCCAGCTGTCAGATGATGAATTGATGTAGCCCATGGTTTCGACCCAGTCCCAAGTCTTTTCAGCCCACTCGCCATATGTTTCATTTTGAGTGAAACGGTAAAGTCTAGCGGCAATGTTGAACAAGCATCCGTTTGACACTGTATTTTTGTAATTGTAGCCATTGTTCCATGTAAATATTTGCCAGCGTAGTCCTCCACCGCAGTGTTGTGTGTCCCAGCGTGACGCCATGGTGTTAAAGACAGCCTGTGCCAAATATAGCCACTGCGGCTCGTCATCATTAGGGTTTGTAAAATTCTTTTCGGCTGCTGCCATGACTGTGATTCCCCAGAATCCCTGGTCATCGTTACCTTCCGTTGTTGTTTGATTAGAAGGCATATAGTCCCAGTCATCTCCAACCTGGAACAACAACGATCTTTTGAGCACATCATTGTATGTTTCATCGCCAGTGTAAAACCAATAGTCCAGCATTGAGTTCCACGCTGCACCGGCCTCCCACCAATAGTATGGAGATGAAAACATCCCTGGTGTTTCGCCGTAATCATCGCCATTGTAGTAATCCATTAAGCCTTTTGCTAGCAGAGCCAGTCCGGCATTGCGGCTTTCTGTATTTGTAATGTCCATGTCCAGTGCTTGGATATTAGTAGGTATCAGAGCTAATGAAACTAAAAGAACCGACAAATTAATGGTTCTTATTTGAAAGAGCAAATGCATTTTGTATTTTAGAGGATATATTAGTGTTTTAAAGAAGTTTAGTTTAAAGAAAAATAACATTTAAGGAGGATCCAAAGGAGTTTTTATGTATGTGTTGGTCCCTCAATAGAGGAGGTTGTTATTTTGAATTTTCTTGCTCTAGTGCCAAGAGCCAAAAAAAAAAAAAAAAAAAAAAAAAATTGAGGGAGGCTGGGCACTGTTTAAACCCAAGAAACCTCCTGTTGCAGAAGCTGTTGCTATTTATACTAAGCAAATCAAGTCGCCATCGGGATAGTAGAAATCATCCAGTGGTATTAAAATATAAATGCTCAACCTCTATCATGGCACCTTAAATCCCCATAGTGTATTTATATGAGAATTTAATTTCAGGGTAAAAGATTACTCTGAGCAGTAGCTAGGTGTATCGTGGTATTAATTGTCCGAATATATTTCCATGGAAGTGATCCAAAGTTGATCAGAAAAGTTAAAGGCTACAAATTTTGATTTTAAGCAGTGAAATAAGCTGGCATTTAGACTTCTAATGTCAGCATTCTAAATACGCTTACAAACAAACATTACATCATGGCTATTAATAGTCTCTCTCCAAAAGCGCTCAGCCCCAAGGACAACTCTTGGCGTAGGGCAAGGGTTTTTGCAGATGCAGGAGCAAAAGGAATTAACAGACTAAGACGCGAGACTGAACAGTTACTGGGTAAGTGGTACAAAAAATTACAAAAAAATTACATCAAAGTAACTTGATTATTATAAATCTAACTCAAAAGAAAGGGAGGCATAAAAGTACTTACTGAAAGAGCTACCATTAAAATCTAATGGCCAGGGAAATTAGCTTCTAAATGTGAAAGATTTGAATGAAAAAAAAAAAAAACGTCATAAAAAAATTCATCAATTGTACTATCCTTAATCGTTCATGTTAGGCCAATTCCAATATAAATAAAAGATAAAGGAAATAGATATTTATGCATAATATAGTTCCAAGTTCATTCCATTATGAATTTCGTAGTCGGCCAAAGTAATGTGATCCTTATAAACAGTGTAACCCTTTTTAAGTACTAGATAAATTAGATAATTATTAAAAGGGATAAGATCAACTAACTTATCATACTCACTGATTTTGGTAGGATCTGTGCCAATTTGAGCGGCAAGAAGTTTCTTAAAGTCACCAATGGTATCATCAGGAAGAGCCTTAATCATGATAAAATTAGTAATTGATATTTCAAATAAACTTTAATAAAATAGTTACCTTGACTCGAACCTTACGACCAACTCGGTCATTACAAACAATTTCAATCATAGTAGGGTATATTAAAAAAAGCTCTATGGGTGAAGTAGATATTTTTTCTTTATTCTAGTGTCAAAAAATAAGAACAACTTAATCAAATAAATGAATTAACAAAAAATAATTGTAACAAATAATATTGTAACAATAATATTTATATATCATGTGATTATACATTGCTACTGTATTCAAAATAACTTTGAAGGCTCTACATTTCCAGAATAGGAAATTCTCAACTTCTCAGATTAATACAACATCTCTCGATAGATTATCTCTCGCAAAATCAGAACAGACTCAAGGTTGTCGAAAAAGCATAATCATGTTGCACACTAAACTTTATTACCAACCTTAGCCTCACAAGAAAACCATCAAATTAGACGAGTTCGTACGCGGGATCAACTATCGACTTATAGAGTCTTTATACTAGAGTCGTACAACCGTGCAAAACCAAAAAACCTGAAGAGATCTACTAGAATAAAAGGCTGATCAAAAACCTTTTACTAGATTCCACAAGCACAGCGTCACTGAAATTTTTATAGGCAAAACTTAAATTTCTCAAAATAAACTTTTGGAGCCTTAAAAAAAATGAATTTAAAACAAAAATCATATCTTTGCCTAAATTCGTAAATGAAAAGGATAACTTGCTAATTACAATTGATTTTAAAAAAATGAAAAATTTTTATATACAGAGTGTTTAAATTTTAAGAGTGGTGCGCTGATATCTGGCTTCATTTAATGGAAACTCAAACAAACTGAAACGACGACAGGTTCCCTCAATTTCTTAAATCGCTTAAAGGGTTATAACAAAAGGGCCTGCCGGATTTGCTTTCAAACTACTCTAAAACTTATAAGTTCTAGTACCTGATCATGTATTGTACCAATCATTACCAACAGCGTATGAGTGTGGTGACACACCCACAATGGTGTCAAGAAAATGGGCAATATTGGAATTAATTCTACCCAGCTAATACAAAACATAACTCTATGAAAAATGCTTGACAGTGCACTATTCCATCTTTTCTGCAAAAAAGTAGGAGTTCTTCCAATGCACATAAAGCTAGGATATCTAACACGAAGAGCTACCATTTTCCTCTACAACTCCATGAAAACACACCAGAACAACCCAGCTAAGAACTAACTTATGACTGGAAGACACGCAGCTGAACCTGACAAGAGATTGGATGAAATCAAAATAAATGATTTTCTGTTTTATAAAAGCAAAATCTATATCAAACTGTAACTCGAATTTCAACGAATTTTCAAACCCACTTGGAGTATTGACAAAATTAACTATAGTAAAATAGAAAGAAATCACACGCCCTAAACTAAATGTGTTTAAATTCTACCAGGACCAATAATACCAAAAAAATAAATTAAAATGAACTAAACTGTTATAACCATCACATAAATAAATCTATAAAACCAAAAATTAAAAATATAGCGTCATATATCAAGACAACTTGTAAAAATACACAAACCAATAAAACTTAAAAAAAAAATTAAAAACATAATGTAAAAGCACAAAACCGTATGCTTAATTAAAAAATAATGGTCATCACATCATAGCAAAAAGTAAAATCGTAGCAAGGACAATGGCACCATGTCTAGGTGCAATTGAATGGGCAGCATTGACCTGTTCAATACCAGTACCGCTTGATGAAGGAGGAACAACAGAGCCAGTATACTGTGCGGGAGCTGAAGTAGAAGCAGACGGAACACTGCCGGTGCCCTTACTACTCACAAACTCAACAGGGGAACTTGAGTAAGTTGATTCAGAAGAGATTAGGGAAGATGAAACAGAAATGGAAGTGGTAGGTTGGGTGCTTTCAATGAAAGAGTGCGTCACACCCTCAGTAACAAAGGTAACTGTGGTGTAGCTTGAAGAACTTTGTTCAGAGGCGGACTCAGATGGGGTACCAATGATAGCAGAGTTAGTAGTTTCAGATTCAACCACTGGATTAGAAGAATAAGTAGGAGAAGAGCTAGAAGTGGACTCAAGGCTTGCACTTGGAACAGAGCTGGTGGCCAGAACACCATTAGAGTTCGAAGGAGAGCCCGAAGATTCAGAACCTTCAGAAATACTAGAAACAGTTTCCAAGGGAACAGAAGGTGTGCCGGCCGAAGAGGTTGTAATAAAAGAATTAGAAGCAGAAGTTGATTCAACGGCTCTTGAGAAAGATGACATCTCGCTTTTAACTGAAGTAAATGTAATGAAGCGTGTTGAAACCTCAGTAGTTTCTGAGGTAACAGATGATGAAACTGAAACTGGAGCAGAAGATGAAACAATTCCAGAAGTAGAACCAGTACCCAAAAATGATAGTTTAGTACCAGGAGCTGTAGCAGAAACAGAAGTGAATTCAGAAACAGATTGGAAACTAGAAAGTGAAGGCTTAACTGTAACAGAGGCAGTGCCGGAAACTGAAGCAGATGCAGAACTGGTGGAGGAAATAGTTGAAGAGCTGAACTCCGAAGTTGAACCAGTCTCAATAGAGGGAGCGGAAATTGAAACAGTACCAGATGATAGCAATGGTGAAATTGTTTCACAGGGTTCAGTAACTGTGTAAGTAATATCTCCACTAACTGTGGTATATGTGGTGTAAACAGTATTTGTAGAAATAACATCATGACCGGACGTATGTTGGCAAGATTCACAAGACTCGGTCACTGTAGTAGTAGTTCCATCAATCACAGTTGTATAAGTAGAAAATTGTGTTTCCGTGATAACAGCAGAACTAGTGTCGCAGGGAAGTGTGACAGTGAGGGTTTGATCACCAATAACAGTGGTGTAAGTTGTAAAGGAAGAAGTCGTCGTGACAACAATTGAACCAGAATCAGATGCCGAGACTGCATTTGTGGCAGATGATGAGAGCGAATTGATAGTAGAAGTCTCAGTGTTGACAAAAGAAGTCTGGGCGTTAACAGATGACGCCTCAGCTTGAGATGTTTTAGGATTAAATGTAGACGAGTCGGAAGCAGAACGAGTAAAAGTAGAATTCCAGGAGGGTTTTGTGGTGGGAATGTAAACAGAGGAAATATAGGAAGATACAATAGATGTATCAGTATCAGACTCATCAAAAGACTCTGTAGGAGATTCAGTTTCCAAACTGGAAAGGAATACTGAAGTACTAGTAGCATCAGAAGTAAAGGTAGAAGATGATTCTGAAGCATAAGCAGCAGAGTCAGAAGCGGCCTGAGATGTAGATTCAGATACGAAAACATTGGATGACTCAGTTTCAATAGGCAGAGTAAGAGAACCAGACGACTCAGTGGAATCAACAGGACACCAAACAATAACCTCGAGATCACAAGCTTCAAAGGAATTAATAGTTGACTGAGAGAGTTCAAGGCCAGATTGATAAACAGACAAGCATTGATAACAAACTGAGTAAGCTTCAATGACAGAGGATAAAATGGAACAAGTATCACCGTGCGAAGAAACAGTTTCAGAAACGACACCACAAGCTGTAACACAAGAATCAAATGAAGCATCACGCTTCATTGGTAAAATACAGTAGAATGAGGCATCAGAAGAAATGGGAACTTCGAAAGATTCAGACGAGGAATAAAGCGAAGTAATAGCTTCGGAAGTTGCAGAATAAACAGAAGAAGCGTCGGCAGCCGATTCAGAAGCGGCATCAGCAGCCGATTCAGATGCAGCGTCAGCAGCAGACTCAGAAGCAGCGTCAGCGGCAGACTCAGAAGCGGCGTCAGCAGCAGACTCAGATGCAGCGTCAGCAGCAGACTCAGAGAGACTGTTAGCACCAGATTCAGAAGCAGCGTCAGCGGCAGACTCAGAAGCAGCGTCGGCGGCGGATTCAGAAGCAGCGTCGGCAGCAGATTCAGAAGCAGCATCAGCAGCAGACTCAGAAGCGGCATCAGCAGCAGACTCAGAGGGACTGTTAGCACCAGATTCAGAGGCAGCGTCAGCAGCAGACTCAGAAGCAGCATCAGCAGCGGATTCAGAAGCAGCATCAGCAGCGGATTCAGAAGCAGCATCAGCAGCGGATTCAGAAGCGGCATCGGCAGCGGATTCAGATGCAGCATAGGCAGCAGACTCAGAAGCGGCATCAGGTACGGATTCAGAAGCAGCGTCAGCAGCGGATTCAGAAGCAGCGTCAGCAGCAGACTCAGAAGCAGCGTCGACGACAGACTCAGATGCTGCATCAGCAGCGGATTCAGAAGCGGCGTCTGCAGCGGATTCAGAAGCGGCATCAGCTGCGGACTCAGAGGCGGCATCAGCAGCAGACTCAGAAGCAGCGTCAGCGGCAGACTCAGAAGCAGCATCAGCGGCAGACTCAGAAGCAGCGTCAGCAGCGGATTCAGAAGCGGCATCAGCTGCGGACTCAGAAGCAGCGTCAGCAGCAGACTCAGAAGCCGCATCGGCAGCAGACTCAGATGCAGCGTCAGCGGCAGACTCAGATGCAGCGTCAGCTGCGGACTCAGAAGCAGCATCAGCGGCAGACTCAGAAGCGGCATCAGCGGCAGACTCAGATGCTGCATCAGCAGCGGATTCAGAAGCAGCGTCGGCGGCAGACTCAGATGCAGCGTCGGCGGCAGACTCAGAAGCAGCGTCGGCGGCAGACTCAGATGCTGCATTAGCAGCAGACTCAGAAGCAGCATCAGCAGCGGATTCAGAAGCAGCATCAGCAGCGGATTCAGAAGCAGCATCAGCAGCGGATTCAGAAGCCGCATCGGCAGCAGACTCAGATGCAGCATCAGCAGCGGATTCAGATGCAGCGTCAGCAGCGGATTCAGAAGCAGCGTCGGCGGCAGACTCAGAAGCAGCGTCGGCGGCAGACTCAGATGCAGCATCAGCAGCGGATTCAGAAACGGAGTAGTCAATCGATTCAGAAGAAGCGTCAGCGGCAGATTCAGAAGCAGCGACAGCAGCAGACTCAGAAGCAGCGTCAGCAGCGGATTCAGAAGCAGCATCAGCAGCGGATTCAGAAGCAGCATCGGCGGCAGACTCAGAAGCGGCGTCGGCGGCAGACTCAGAAGCAGCATCAGCCGCAGACTCAGAAGCAGCATCAGCGGCAGATTCAGAAGCGGCGTCAGCGGCAGACTCAGAAGCGGCATCAGCTGCGGACTCAGAGGCGGCATCAGCAGCAGACTCAGAAGCAGCGTCAGCGGCAGACTCAGAAGCAGCATCAGCAGCAGACTCAGAAGCAGCATTGGCAGCGGATTCAGAAGCAGCGTCGGCGGCAGACTCAGAAGCAGCGTCGGCGGCAGACTCAGATGCAGCATCAGCAGCGGATTCAGAAGCAGCATCGGCGGCGGATTCTGAAGCAGCATCAGCAGCGGATTCTGAAGCAGCGGATTCAGAAGCAGCATCAGCAGCGGATTCAGAAGCAGCGTCGGCGGCAGACTCAGAAGCAGCGTCGGCGGCAGACTCAGAAGCGGCGTCAGCGGCAGACTCAGAAGCGGCATCAGCTGCGGACTCAGAGGCGGCATCAGCAGCAGACTCAGAAGCAGCGTCAGCGGCAGACTCAGAAGCAGCATCAGCAGCAGACTCAGATGCACCGTCAGCAGCAGACTCAGATGCAGCATCGGCAGCAGACTCAGAAGCAGCATTGGCAGCGGATTCAGAAGCAGCATCGGCGGCAGACTCAGAAGCAGCGTCGGCGGCAGACTCAGAAGCAGCGTCAGCGGCAGACTCAGAAGCGGCGTCAGCGGCAGACTCAGAAGCGGCATCAGCTGCGGACTCAGAGGCGGCATCAGCGGCAGACTCAGAAGCAGCGTCGGCAGCAGACTCAGATGCAGCGTCAGCAGCAGACTCAGAAGCAGCGTCAGCAGCAGATTCAGAAGCAGCGTCGGCGGCAGACTCAGAAGCGGCGTCAGCAGCAGACTCAGAAGCAGCATCGGCAGCAGACTCAGAAGCAGCATCGGCAGCGGATTCAGAAGCAGCGTCAGCAGCGGATTCTGAAACGGAGTCGTCAATCGATTCAGAAGAAGCGTCAGCGGCAGATTCAGAAGCAGCATCAGCAGCAGACTCAGAAGCAGCGTCAGCGGCAGACTCAGAGGCAGCATCAGCAGCAGACTCAGATGCAGCGTCAGCAGCAGACTCAGAAGCAGCATCAGCAGCGGATTCAGAAGCAGCATCAGCAGCAGATTCAGAAGCAGCGTCGGCGGCAGACTCAGAAGCGGCATCAGCAGCAGACTCTGATGCAGCGTCAGCGGCAGACTCTGATGCAGCGTCAGCGGCAGACTCAGAAGCAGCGTCGGCGGCAGACTCAGAAGCGGCATCAGCAGCAGACTCAGAAGCAGCATCAGCAGCGGATTCAGAAGCAGCATCAGCAGCGGATTCAGAAGCAGCGTCAGCAGCGGATTCAGATGCAGCGTCAGCAGCAGACTCAGAAGCAGCGTCGGCGGCAGACTCAGATGCAGCATCGGCAGCAGACTCAGAAGCAGCATCGGCAGCGGATTCAGAAGCAGCGTCAGCAGCGGATTCTGAAACGGAGTCGTCAATCGATTCAGAAGAAGCGTCAGCGGCAGATTCAGAAGCAGCATCAGCAGCAGACTCAGAAGCAGCGTCAGCGGCAGACTCAGAAGCAGCATCAGCAGCAGATTCAGAAGCAGCGTCGGCGGCAGACTCAGAAGCGGCATCAGCAGCAGACTCAGATGCAGCGTCAGCAGCAGATTCCGAAGCAGCGTCGGCGGCAGACTCGGAAGCAGCATCAGCAGCGGATTCAGAAGCGGCATCAGCAGCAGACTCAGAAGCAGCGTCGGCGGCAGACTCAGAGGCGGCATCAGCAGCAGACTCAGAGGCAGCATCAGCAGCAGACTCAGATGCAGCGTCAGCAGCAGACTCAGAAGCAGCATCAGCAGCGGATTCAGAAGCAGCATCAGCAGCAGATTCAGAAGCAGCGTCGGCGGCAGACTCAGAAGCGGCATCAGCAGCAGACTCAGATGCAGCGTCAGCGGCAGACTCAGAAGCAGCGTCGGCGGCAGACTCAGAGGCGGCATCAGCAGCAGACTCAGAAGCAGCATCAGCAGCGGATTCAGAAGCAGCATCAGCAGCGGATTCAGAAGCAGCATCAGCAGCGGATTCAGAAGCGGCATCGGCAGCGGATTCAGAAGCAGCGTCGGCGGCAGACTCAGATGCAGCACCGGCAGCAGACTCAGAAGCAGCATCAGCAGCGGATTCAGAAGCAGCATCGGCAGCGGATTCAGAAGCAGCGTCAGCAGCGGATTCTGAAACGGAGTCGTCAATCGATTCAGAAGAAGCGTCAGCGGCAGATTCAGAAGCAGCATCAGCTGCAGACTCAGAAGCGGCATCAGCAGCAGACTCAGATGCAGCGTCAGCAGCAGATTCCGAAGCAGCGTCGGCGGCAGACTCGGAAGCAGCATCAGCAGCGGATTCAGAAGCGGCATCAGCAGCAGACTCAGAAGCAGCGTCAGCGGCAGACTCAGAAGCAGCATCAGCAGCAGACTCAGATGCAGCGTCAGCGGCAGACTCAGATGCAGCGTCAGCGGCAGACTCAGAAGCAGCGTCGGCGGCAGACTCAGAGGCGGCATCAGCAGCAGACTCAGAAGCAGCATCAGCAGCGGATTCAGAAGCAGCGTCAGCAGCGGATTCAGATGCAGCGTCAGCAGCAGACTCAGAAGCAGCGTCGGCGGCAGACTCAGATGCAGCACCGGCAGCAGACTCAGAAGCAGCATCAGCAGCGGATTCAGAAGCAGCATCGGCAGCGGATTCAGAAGCAGCGTCAGCAGCGGATTCTGAAACGGAGTCGTCAATCGATTCAGAAGAAGCGTCAGCGGCAGATTCAGAAGCAGCGTCGGCGGCAGACTCAGAAGCAGCGTCGGCGGCAGACTCAGAAGCAGCGTCAGCGGCAGACTCAGAAGCGGCATCAGCTGCGGACTCAGAAGCAGCATCAGCGGCAGACTCAGAAGCGGCATCAGCGGCAGACTCAGATGCTGCATCAGCAGCGGATTCAGAAGCAGCGTCGGCGGCAGACTCAGAAGCAGCATCAGCAGCAGACTCAGATGCAGCGTCAGCGGCAGACTCAGATGCAGCGTCAGCTGCGGACTCAGAAGCAGCATCAGCGGCAGACTCAGAAGCGGCATCAGCGGCAGACTCAGATGCTGCATCAGCAGCGGATTCAGAAGCAGCGTCGGCGGCAGACTCAGATGCAGCATCGGCAGCAGACTCAGAAGCAGCGTCGGCGGCAGACTCAGATGCAGCATCAGCAGCGGATTCAGAAACGGAGTAGTCAATCGATTCAGAAGAAGCGTCAGCGGCAGATTCAGAAGCAGCGACAGCAGCAGACTCAGAAGCAGCGTCAGCAGCGGATTCAGAAGCAGCATCAGCAGCGGATTCAGAAGCAGCATCGGCGGCAGACTCAGAAGCGGCGTCAGCGGCAGACTCAGAAGCGGCATCAGCTGCGGACTCAGAGGCGGCATCAGCAGCAGACTCAGAAGCAGCGTCAGCGGCAGACTCAGAAGCAGCATCAGCAGCGGATTCAGAAGCAGCATCAGCAGCGGATTCAGAAGCAGCATCAGCAGCGGATTCAGAAGCGGCATCGGCAGCGGATTCAGAACCAGCGTCAGCGGCAGACTCAGAAGCAGCATCAGCGGCAGACTCAGAAGCAGCATCAGCAGCAGACTCAGAAGCGGCATCAGCGGCAGACTCAGATGCTGCATCAGCAGCGGATTCAGAAGCGGCATCAGCTGCGGACTCAGATGCAGCGTCAGCAGCGGATTCAGATGCAGCGTCAGCAGCGGATTCAGAAGCAGCATCAGCAGCGGATTCAGAAGCAGCGGATTCAGAAGCAGCGTCAGCAGCGGATTCAGAAGCAGCATCGGCGGCAGACTCAGAAGCGGCGTCGGCGGCAGACTCAGAAGCAGCATTAGCCGCAGACTCAGAAGCAGCATCAGCGGCAGACTCAGAAGCGGCATCAGCTGCGGACTCAGAAGCAGCATCAGCGGCAGACTCAGAAGCGGCATCAGCGGCAGACTCAGATGCTGCATCAGCAGCGGATTCAGAAGCAGCGTCGGCGGCAGACTCAGAAGCAGCGTCGGCTGCGGATTCAGAAGCAGCGTCAGCAGCAGATTCAGAAGCAGCGTCGGCAGCAGACTCAGAAGCAGCGTCGGCGGCAGACTCAGAAGCAGCGTCGGCGGCAGACTCAGATGCTGCATTAGCAGCGGATTCAGAAGCCGCATCGGCAGCAGACTCAGATGCAGCATCAGCAGCGGATTCAGAAGCAGCATCAGCAGCGGATTCAGAAGCAGCATCAGCAGCGGATTCAGAAGCAGCATCGGCGGCAGACTCAGAAGCGGCGTCGGCGGCAGACTCAGAAGCAGCATCAGCCGCAGACTCAGAAGCAGCATCAGCGGCAGACTCAGAAGCGGCATCAGCGGCAGACTCAGATGCTGCATCAGCTGCGGATTCAGAAGCAGCGTCAGCAGCAGATTCAGAAGCAGCGTCGGCAGCAGACTCAGAAGCAGCGTCGGCGGCAGACTCAGAAGCAGCGTCGGCGGCAGACTCAGATGCTGCATTAGCAGCGGATTCAGAAGCGGCATCAGCTGCGGACTCAGAGGCGGCATCAGCAGCAGACTCAGAACCAGCGTCAGCGGCAGACTCAGAAGCAGCATCAGCGGCAGACTCAGAAGCAGCATCAGCAGCAGACTCAGAAGCGGCATCAGCGGCAGACTCAGATGCTGCATCAGCAGCGGATTCAGAAGCGGCATCAGCTGCGGACTCAGATGCAGCGTCAGCAGCGGATTCAGATGCAGCGTCAGCAGCGGATTCAGAAGCAGCATCAGCAGCGGATTCAGAAGCAGCGGATTCAGAAGCAGCGTCAGCAGCGGATTCAGAAGCAGCATCGGCGGCAGACTCAGAAGCGGCGTCGGCGGCAGACTCAGAAGCAGCATCAGCCGCAGACTCAGAAGCAGCATCAGCGGCAGACTCAGAAGCGGCATCAGCGGCAGACTCAGATGCTGCATCAGCAGCGGATTCAGAAGCGGCATCAGCTGCGGACTCAGATGCATCGTCAGCAGCGGATTCAGATGCAGCGTCAGCAGCGGATTCAGAAGCAGCATCAGCAGCGGATTCAGAAGCAGCGTCAGCAGCAGATTCAGAAGCAGCGTCAGCAGCAGACTCAGAAGCAGCATCGGCGGCAGACTCAGAAGCGGCGTCGGCGGCAGATTCTGAAATCGCATCTACTGAAGATTCAGACAATGATTCTATAAAATCATTGTTACAAATTCCCGATTGCAATTCTGTCACGCAACTATCTCCGTTTACCATGGCTACTATACTGTTTTGTAATGTCAAAGGCTTTGTATAATCACCCAAGATAGAACCGCACATCAAACATCCTCCTAAAATTTCCTTTTCACTAAGAGTCAAGGAATCACATGTTGTTGATGCCAAATCTGCTGCCATATTTTCCGCAATGGAACAATAGGAGGTACACAATTCAGTGTTTAATGATGAGATGTCACAAGTATCCAATGAACACAAATTGGTATCTTCGTAATCACAATCTGCTAATAATCCTGTAACCAAGTTTAGTACCGAACTTAACAAAGTACCAATTACATCCAGCAAACCAGATACAAGAGCTAGAACTCCACCCAGTAGACATGTTATCAATCCACTACAGGACGAACTTGCTGAAGACCCAATATTTCCACAAAGCAAGCAACCAACAACGCTTCTTCGAACCACGTTATCAACCAAACCACATGCCACAACTCCTAGTAAAGTTGGATCGTAAGTGCTAGCCGTTCCGCAAATATCTTCACAGTTATTACTGCTAATACTTCCTATTTCACAAACACAGTCACCAGTTGTTGATGCAGAAACAAGATTTTTGCTTTCACACTCGTCTAGCCATGCCTGAGTTGTTGTGTGACTTGATTTTAGTGACGGGTATGCTGCCAGACAGTACATGCAAGCCGATAAAACTGAAACAGTTGTTCCCTTCGTAGATACATTATCAGAAGAAGTATCTACACTGCACGTAATTGTTGGATCCCCAAGATTTAAAAAGGCGGCTACATATAAACTATTACTCGTAAGAACTGAATCAGCATAAGTACAGACAGTGTCACAAATTGTGGTATTTGTGTTGCAAACAGCCCATGCAGCTGCAATTCCGTATATTGGAATTAATAATGCACTTAAACGCATATCTAGCTGGTATTCATTAGTAATTGAACGTATTATAATAGTTGATGTTCTTACTTAGTCTTTTTTTTGATCTCTCAATCAATTATTCTCTTGATTATAGTTAGATTATATATTTAAATTACAAAATTACCTTTACTCACCTCGAAACTTTAGAAATATTTATTATTAAAAAATTTTTCTATGTTTTAATTTGTTGTTGTAAAATAATTGAAAGAAAGGGTATGTATCTAGATTATGTTCTTTCTTCTAGAACCTTAAAAAAAAAAGAAGAGGAAAAGAAGGCAAGTGCTTCCAGTTATATAAAAAACTGGCAATCCAATATATATGTTTTTTTTATTTAATTAATTTTTTATTTTTTATTTTTTATTTTTTATTTTTTATTTTTTATTTTTTTGTTTTTTTGTATTTTTGTTTTTGGTTTTGGTTTTGGTTTTTCTTTTATGTGATATCACAATAATCCAATTTTTTGGATACTAATTTTAAGCTTTGACAAATTTGTTTTTTTGCATACATAATTACTTTAGTGGAATGCTATTTGTATAGCTACCTAATTAGGAAATTGATTTTCGTTTAAAGAGCCCAAATAAATAATTTCAAATGCCTTTAAAGATGATTTTTTAAACAAGACTTATTATCCCATTATTGAAATATACTTCACTTTAAAATGAACATGGTTACTAAATAACGATCTATTTCTAGTTATTATTTTTTCAGTGAATCTATTTAGCTCCAAAGCTAAATTGCTTTAAGCTTTGGCATTTATCCGTTTGAAATCTATAATTTATTCCTATTTTTATTTAACGATCGGGTTAGCTTGGATTTTTATTTTTTTAAATCTATTAGTCATTAATAATTAATATTTATCAAAGTTTGTGTTTTATGGTTGCTGGAAATTTTTCAACTCTGATTTAGCCCCAATAAATATTTAATAGATTTTAATTATTAAATCTATATACATTTCATAAATAAAATCTATGTATATCTGCATGATGGTAATTTTATTTCACCATTTTGGTGAACATAGTATTACATGTCATAAATATTTTTATAATTTAAGGCTAATCCAATTTGGGAATTTCTTCATTTAAATAAATTTAACGGCTAATAGACATGCATACCACTACAAGGATTGCTTGAATTTTTTATTCCGGACTGATTTTGTACCGAAAAGTTGCTAGGAAAAATACTCTTTTTTCCTCGCATTCTAGAAATAATTGACAACTGTAGAAAAAGAAGTTAAAGGACTGGCCATAAGCGTTTAACTTATCCCTTTGCACTTAGCTTATCCAGTAACATGCAATTAGACCATCTCAGATTTGCCAACCAGAACTAGTTCAAACATTTGAACATCTGGTAAGAATTCATTTAAATATAAATTTTAAAAATATAAAAGAGAATATCTTATTTTGCTGTCAAAGTTTCTTTTCTCATGAAAATTTTGATTTTTCCTATACAAAATTATTTTAACGATTCAATTAAATTTGCAAATGAAATTTTAATTCAAAAATTTATTTTTTTGGTATTGGTAATTATATAAAACCCCTTATTACCTAGTATTGGTCTAGTATAGGCTCTATCACATAAGCATAATAATAGTATGGTTAATTTTAAGCGAAATCGCTACCAAAACCAAGAGTCTAATATATTGTTCTTCACTAGTAGATTTTTTTCTATCAAACTAAACGATTTACTTTTATTCTCGTTAAAAAAAAACTCCAACGATTCTGTTTATCATAAATAATTATTTTTAATGATAATAGTATCAAAAGGTTTGTAAAATGAAACCTCTTAATAATATAATTGTTTGACAATAGATTAGGTTAAAAAAATATATTTATTGATTGATGTTTTTAAACCTTCATATCTAGTATCTAGATAGGGGAAATGTGAATTCACATTACTTTCGAAAGTAAAAAAATTCATAAGATCTCACCTATAATATCTCGATATCTACTTGAATACCTCGTTTATCTAAACCTCTCTTTTTTTTTAATAGCACCAAAGTATTCATAACCTTTGGTTGTTTCTGCAGTATGTACCAACCCACCACTCACCTTAGACTTTTATAACATCACATTATTCATGATAATAATATTATTAAGTGAACACATACAAGTTAGCAATAATAGTGATTTTCAAATTTTAAAAGGTTTAAGCAAATTAAAAATTTTAACTTAAATTTTATCCTAGTATTTACTTATTATAATGTATTGGAATATATTGGAATATATTGGAATAATTTCAAAAATATGTAATCAAACGGTCTTTCTAAGAGTTATTTTTTTAGCTCATCTCTTACACCATTTCCACAAACCATTTCTTTCTTCTAAACAAGAAAACCTAAATTTATATCATAATCAAGATAATATAGTCTAATAAAAAAAAACAAAAAATATTACATGACATACTTTGTCTCCATTTATGTTACGCTGCCCTTGCTTCCATGGGTCTATTGGGTTCTGTTGCAAACCATCATGTCTTCGGTCATGTACAAAAAGGCCCGGTCAAGTGGAGTCCTTTATACTAATTTTTTCTCCCTAGATAATAGTTTATTGTCCATCATTGAAAACACAATAATATAATAATTGAAAAAAAAAATCACAGTCTTGTAATTTAATCTAATTAGTAACTAATTTGGATTGTTGTGTTTTGCCAGCCACTCTAATGTGATCGTTGTAATCATCCCGAAAGTTGCGACATTCTGACAGCTCATCCTCAAACACATCTGTATCCTCCTCAACCTACATCTTATAAGTAATGTCAATTCCCTAGCGAGCTGAGTCCTATAAAATGGAAAGGCTATTCATAGTGATTAAGGTCAACTGCCTTTGATGCATTATTGACTACCAAAACCGATACAATGGAAGATATATGATATAACTCTTGAAAATGTCATTATTGGTCCCCCAGGTGTGTTCCTGATATAAATGTAAGTACTCTTAAAATTTTTTATTCTATCTTCAACCGTCTTAATTTAGTCTTTCAGCTCACATAATTAAGCATTGAGCCTCAATAGATCAAATTTGACTATCTGAATTTCTTTAAATATCGATGGGGTATTATAGCATTCTTTCATAGTCTAAGAACTCCTAGCTTTTTCGTGCTATAACAGTACCAAGCATAAAGTTACGTAGCAAACTATCAATTATCTCATCATCATCAACGTGACAATCAATGCCATTAACATTGTCATCGTCACTATGTAAATCTTGAGATGAAATATTATTTTTGGCTGCAGAAATTTCTTTGTCAAAACTTTCAAAAATTCAATCTGGATTGCTTGTAGAAACATGCAGTCATTTAGTAGCCCATCTGAGTATTTAAGTAGATTAAACAACAGAAAAGTTAACCTTAAATACAAGGAGAATTTTAAAGCACCAATCTTTACAAAATAATTGTACTTGTTGGTAAAAAATTTCATTCTTGTTAATTTCCTTTAAAGACTCGATCTGGTCTCGATAGATATAGTAAAACTCCGATAAATTAAATCAGGACTAAAGTATCCCAGATAATGTAACTTGTAAACTAGCACTATTTGCCCTATGCCTCTAATGCTCAAAAACAAGAATAGTCCTCTGTGGCCCCTCTGTTGAAACTTAAACACCTTGGCGAACCTTAAGAAAATATATGTAATTTTTGTGAGATAATTTTTCCAATTTCACAAAGGTTTTAAAATAATTTTTACGTGATTATTTGAAGTATATAAAATTTGGATAGAGTAGTTCTTCAAAACGGCTTGCTTCCTTATCAAATATAGAAAAAATGAAAATTTGATAAGATCGTTTATGCTCCAGCCGTTTCACATATGAAGGTGCCTAAAAAATGGGTCAAATCAAAATAACTGCAATGAAATTAGTTTTGAAGTAAACATCTAGTGTACACAACAAGTCCTGTTTGGTTTATTTTACTTTGGTGAATGTACATGGGGATTCTTTTTCCAATAATTTTGCATCTATCAAGTCTTGAAGGGTCAGGTAAGAATGCTAAAAGCCACTCCTCTTGTCGCCTTTAATCCTCAATGTGAAGGTTCCTAAAGCTGCAAATAAATGTTCCATGTACTTTGTCGACCAAGTTCAATAAAATCTACCAGCTTTGAATTTCTCTTTTCCTCTAAGTTAATTATTAATTAAATGATTTCAAATTCTTTAAGGCCACTAAAAATTTTAAGATTCTTTTTGGGACACCAAATCTGGGTAAAGAGAAACTCTGATTTTTACAGATTAAAGATATGGCTCAAAAAGCGAAGCTAGTCTATCAATAGAATCAAATCCAATAGTGATTCTTCTAAGGACAGCAGCACCAATAACTCACTGTATGACTACGACAGCAAATTTTGAATTAAGTATTTTAATATAGGATGAGCTGATTTCTGAATTTAAACAAACCCACTTGTAATATGCCTAAATTACTGATATGTCTTTGACTTTTGTGGCAATATTTGGCCATCCGCAAAGTTTCATTGATTTACTCATAACCACCGCAATAAGAAATATTTCAATGTTTATAAAAGTTTTTGAGTATTTCTTTTTAGTCCATCTTTTAAATGCTATTTGATGCTTTTAATATTATGTTCTATCTCAAATGATATCTTTGTCAGTGTCTATTTTGTTAAATCTCAAAATTAGACATTCTACTATAATGAAAGATATAAAAAAATAAAGAAGTAATAATATAAAGATTTTTAACAAAAGAAACTAAATTATTTTCTTTTCACTTTTAAATATTTATTTAAAATAATATGGAACAAATTAATTAAATTAAAAAAAAATTTAAAGGTTTGCCTCAAAAAGGTCACCTGCAGCTCGTAGGGATTGCATTTACTAATAGCCAATTTCTGAATATTTGTATTAAACAAATATATTTGACTATCATTTCTATTTTGGATTGTAAATGCTTTTTTTCAATTGGCGTGAATGAGATTATAATTTTCAATTGTGATTGGAAATTTTGAATCAAGGGAATCTATATTTAATTGGCTTATTTACAATGTATTTCGACAA